TCTGTGCCTGGGGCTGGTCTATCTGGAACTGAGGATTCCGCGGTGAGTGGCTTGTGGGAAGGAGGAGGTCCAGCCTGGTATTGGCTGTGTTGCTGCGTACGGCCCTTGTAGTGCTCCTCGTGCTGCCCCAGGGGCTCAGTGCTGACACGCTGGATCTGCGGAGGCTCAAAGGGCTGGATATCAAGGTGGGACGAGGACCGGCTGGCGCCTCTGGCGGGGTAGATGGATTGGGGCAGGCTGGGCTGGGACGAGTTGTTGGGGAGCTGCGGCAGCTTCTTCTCCGCCAGGTCGCCTTCGTCTGGGTCCGGCGCAGGGTCGGAGGGCGGGAGCGGGCCGACTTGGTACGGCTTCGGGTGAGGGATTGGGTTGCTAATTTTCTTCCTGACGGAGACGTTTCGACTAGGCTTGGCGGGATTCTGCGAGGAACTCTTGTCCTTGGAATGCAGACTGAAGAAGCTTCTGCGGGATTTGCGCGGCTGTGTTTCGGTCAGCGGGGAGGCCTCGGTGCTGTGAGGAGCGGAGGGGAGCGACGGGGCGGCAGAGAGAGCGTCGATGCCGTGGTCAGGCTGAAGGCTCGCTGAGGGGCCGGAGGGGACGAGGTTCAGGGTCGGCCTGCCTGCTGCTGGCGGATAGGGGTCTGATGCCTGTAGCGGGAGAGAGAAGTTCTCAGATCGACTCCCGGCATGGGCAGGATGGGTATAGCTGGCGGTGCTGTGCTGGCCAAGTTGATACGTGCTGCTCGACAGCTCGCCGGACCCGGCGGCAGGCTGGAAAGTATGCTGCGGGTGGGGGCTAACCGAGTGCTGCTGCTGGTAGAGCTGCTGCTGCTGCTGCTGCTGGTGCTGATGATGATGATGATGAAGCTGCTGCTGGCTACCGTCTCTGCTGTGGTGGGAGTGGTGGTTCTGGCTGTTGATGCTGTGGTCGCTGTCGTTGTGCGGAGCCGACTCCACGGAATTCAAGAGTGTCGGCTGCGATTTGTTCTTGTGGAAGAATTGCATGAGTGTTGGCTCCTCGAGGACAAGAACTGTGGCAGAGAGAGAGAGAGAGAGATCGTGTCCGTCTTCTGTTTGGAGTTTGTTTCTTTTTCGTCTTCTCTTCCTCTCTGTCCGCTGCTTGTCCGGCCCTTGATGAACAACGATCCTGAGGGCAGGGATGGGATGGGGGGCCGCCGTCGGAAAAGCACCTGGTGGGGGTTATTTTTCTTCTTCCTTTCTTCCCTTTGGCTGTGCAGTGACTAACGAACCAGTTGAAAGGCGTCGCTCCGTGTCCAGCTCACCAGTCGAACCGCCCAGTTGGCTGCCGGACGATGCTTGTCCCGTCTAAATATAACTAAACTCCAGGGGGCGCAGTCGAGGGCGCGCGCGATGCAGACGGCGATCTCCAGCGAGGGGCGAAGGCAGTACCCTGTATATCATACATCCGTTATATAACTGCACAAAAGGGACAGGAGTGTCAACAGGGCAGAGAGTGTTAGTGAAGAGACGAGGCAGCGGTTGACACTAGTTGATTCCATCGTATTCAGCCAGTGGCCGGCACTCGACGGGTTTGAGGTTGAATACGTTTACTGGTAGGAACTGTGCAGAGGCCGAACTGATGGCAATAGTTTATCTAACGTGAAGCTATAGAGAGGGCATAGTTCAGGGCCCTTTGATAACTAAATGAAAGAAAGGGAGAAGAGAGCCCAGGGTTAGACACCGACACAGGCATAGTATCCAATCTCGAGCTTCTCACAGGTAGGTCCTACCGCGGGATTCCACTGCTTGAGCTGTGCGACGGAGATGTGGTGCTTGCCGGAGACGCCCTCGCACGAGTCTCCCTTCTTGACCATCTCGAATTTCTTGCCTAGACATGAGCATGAGCTTCCGCTTCACAACGAAGGGCGGGCGTCACTTACATCCCGGGTTGGTTCCTGGCTTGGTGGGAGAAGGCCAGCCCTGGGCACCGCGAGCGGCGAGTGCTGCAGTGGCGGACGGGACCGGGTATCTGGCGGTCGGGCTGCCGTCCACGCAGACTCTCTCGTCTACCTGCAGCTCCTGGCAGTCGGTGTCAAGAGATCTGATAAAAGGTCAATACCATGCTGCAACGCCCACCAGCAGGCCGGCCCAGAAAAGCAAGACTTACGGGTTCATCTTGAAGAACTGGCCGAGGACGAGGCCAGGGTACTGCTTGACTATTTCTACGCAGGTGTCCCCGGCCTTGACGGTGTGGTGCTGCCTGCATCCCTGTATCGCGACGGAGCTGGGGCCGGTGCCAGCTGGGGCCGGCGCACTACGCTTGGAGCAGCCAGCCCCGGTTGGCCTCAGGCGCTTGGTCAGGGTCGTGGGATGGGCCGCCGCCTTTCCCTCCGTTCCCTGGGGCGGCATGAACGGCGGCGTAGACGGTGGCTCGGGGATTCCGGTTGCCACGTTCCGCTTGTCGTGAAGCCCTACGGAGATAGTGTGCCATTTGTCGGGCACGTAAACACAGTAAGACCGTTTGCTTCTGAGGTTGGAACATTCAGAGTTGAGCTGAGGGTTCTATGTACAGCGTTGTTAGCACAAGCCATATTGATCCAAGAAGGTGTAATCTGTACATACCAAGGAGATGAAGTGCTCCTTGGAGATATTCACGGTGGTCAAGAAGGCTTCACAGGTGAGCCCGCCCGCAACGTCAACCACGTTTATCCAGGCAGTGCAGCCGGTGTGGACCAGCTCGTCGACCCCGAAGCTGGGCAGTCGGCCATGGTGCCATTCGGGGCTGACAGCCTGGACAAGAGAGACGGCCACCAGGGGCAGGAGAGCGTACTTGACCATCCTCGAGAGGGCGAAGACTGTTGACTTTTGACTGTTGGAAAGAGAAGAAGAGAGAAGGGAGGCAGTTGTTATGCTGGAGAGAAGGATGCATGATAGAGAACAGTTCCACGTCGAGGGCATCCCCTTGAAGGCCTTTATATGTCGAGAGTCCGTCGCTCGCCAGCCATATCCCTCTTCTTCACTTCGCGATTCAACCCCCCCTCCAACGAAAAACAGTGATGGGTCTTCTTTGGTGTTTGCTCGCAGTAAATGCGCGACGTCCATCTTCACCATAGCCGGTGTCCCAGATATTGTATCACTGAGACGAAGCTGTTGGAGTGAGAAAGAGAGAGAGAGAGAGCGGCGATGATGCTCGACTCCGTAACAGCCAAAGAAAGAGACGGCCTGTTCCTGCATCACTTTTCCTTTGCCCGTCCGGTAGCACAGAAGACAAAACATAGTCCACTCTTATTCTCATGTTTTCTTTTTTTTTTTTTCCTTTTTTATTGTTGTTGGTATCATTTCGCCCGTCGAGAGAGTGTGTGTGTTGATGTTCGAGAGAGCGAAGAGTGGATTTGTGGATGTTGGACACGTTAAACAGGTAGTTCGACAAAGAACCAGCGAAACATATAACGAGATAAACTCCTCACAGTCTTCAACTACGTAGGGGTATAATGAAGAAGAATAAAAATGATAACAGCGCCAGTCGTGGCCGTCGATGTGGCCGTCGATTGTATGTCCGTTGATCGATCGACCGACAGCCCCCGTCAACAGCTCCGTTGGCCTGTTGTCCCTTGTCGCTTATGAAAACAGGGGCCGTCAGGAAGACTGTTCTATAAGGTACGGCAGACGACTTACATGGATCGACAACTGTCGAAGAAGACGCAAAGGCGGTTCAAGTAGCACGCAGAGTATCAGCCATACATCCAACGACGACGCCGCGAAAGTAGTATCGAGGACGCATGCAGAGGTTAGAATATGGGGTATTAAAGACAATCTGCGATAGGCCGATACAAGTTAAAATCTCGATATTCGGTCGCTTCTTAGTTATATAATCCCCGTTAAGGACTTGGTCAAGAGGTAGCAACCACACAGCTACATAGTAGTTTTTTCTAAAAAAAAAAAAAAGAAAAGAGAAAAAGAGACAAGGCAGGCTACTGGTTATCTGTAGAAGGATTGAAAAAAAAAAAGGTTGGTCGAAAAAGAAAAACACTCAGGTATCTCATTTGGGTACTATAGGCTCCTGGCTCGTCGCATCGCTGTCTCCTCTATGAGCAGTATGGAGGGTATAATAATCTGGCTCCGCCTTTGCCTGTCCTACTCCGTACATCCCTATGGCCTCTTCTGACACCTGGGTGTCTACCTGGGTGTCCATCTGGGTGTCAATCTGGGTGTCTATGCCCACGCTCGGTAGGGTGATGTCGTATCCCGGACGCGGTTTTCGACGTAGAGTGTGCCGCCATGAGTGTGAATTCTGTGACGATTTACGTGAAGACAAGGTCTCATTAAGGATGAGACTGACCAGTGGTCCCAGGGTCGGAATACAAGCGGCGATGATGATTAGATATTGTTCAATACACGCCCAGACGACGAGGTCGATGGTATTCCAGGAATAGTCTGCGCGTGCGGAGAGACGGGAAAGGAATATTGTTTTGACGATGGCGGCACCCATTGCACTTTGAGAAGGTTAACTTCTGGGTACCTTTCTTTTTTTCTGCAAAAGAGTTTTGTGATAAGACTTACATTACACCAAGAGAGAGAATTGACCCGAGGGCAAGCTTCAACCGTACCGGCATGTGAAGCGTCGAAATTATAGTTATAGGATATATAGCCAGTACGAGATCAGAGAATGCCGAGATCGCTAGAAGGAGAGTTAGGATATATCAATATTGTACCAAAAAAAAAAAAATTTGGGTTGAACTGACCTCCCTGGAAAAATGCATAGTTCCTCTGGATTCTTGGGTCCCAGCACTTCCCTTTGATACTATGGTCCCAGAGCGATTGCACAGGCATGCATTGGCCGAATATCGTATATACACAAACAACGTTGCTAATCGTAAGCAAGACCATACCGCCGTAAAGGTAAGGGGCTGGGCCCTTTGCCTTTTGAACAAGACGGAGAAGAAAGAATACGATGGAGACTTTGGCCCAGTTCGTGGACATGACGTGGAAGGACTGGGAGATCCAGTTGAACTTATCCGCCTGGGTTCTCTGCTCATCGGTGAGGAAGACCTGGTGACGCCCGGTACCGTGTGAGATGCTGGCAGTGATCAAGGCCGAATTAATGGCGGAACATGCCTTTTTTTTTGAGTCCGTCAGTCAGTCGTTCATTAAAGGGAGTACCATTAGAAGAGGGCCTCACCAGGGCAAGAACCATGAATCCATCATCCCAGCCGAGGGCCTTGATGAGCCTCGTGCGAGTGTATAATCTAGCAAGCGTGATGATGGTTGATATGGCGAGGAGAGTCCATGTTAGGATTACAAGTTTCCCTCCGTTATTGACGTCTTCGTACTCCATCTTGGCCCATGGAATCAGTGTGTGTGTGTGTGTGTATTTCCGTGGTAGCTGAACAGGAATCCCTTCTACCCCTTAAAGAACGTTCCAACCGGTCAACGATATCCAGAATTCTCTCATGAGAAGAAACCAAAGGCAGACTGCCATCTCTTTATGAAAGAAGGTCAACCATCACGCCCTTTTTCGCCGCCTTCGATAGAATTCAGCCCGATTAGCTTGATGTTGTCTTGGGCTAAAAAAAAAGGGCACATATTCCCTCGGTACTCGAGAGACTTCTACTTTGTATACCATCCGGTTGGGCCAAGAGGGATCAAGCCTCCAGGGGCCTGAGCGACCACAGGATCTAATCTTCATGGGGTGTGGTTGGTGGCCAGCAACGGGGTACATGGTACCTGGCAGGCGGTTCTGGCCCTTTTCTTTGCCTACCCCAGTAAGTTAACTAGTTAACTAATCCTCGTTCTCCCTAGTCTCTCGCCTCTCTTCAAGGTTGGCGGCATCCAGCACTATTTGAATTTGATCGTCTGTGGTAAATAATCGACGAGCCGGCGCATATTGGCTGAAAATGTTATGTAAAAATAAAGCGGCTCGCTGTAGTTATCTATTGGGATGCACACTCTGCACATTCTGTCTTCATAGTTTGAATAACGGGGGATTCGGCACCATTGGTCTCCGTTAGAACCGTTAATGGTGGAAACAGGAGATCCTATCCCGTGTACTCCGTATGTAGTTCCAGAGCAAGATTGCCTTAAGCCTCAGCATAGTTAATAACTAGCGGCCGTTGCTGAGAGTTATACGCACCTCTTGAGCCGGAGAATTGATAGAATGATTTCACATTCCGACAGAACCTAAAAAAAGAAGACATCTTGATACTGCAGATGTCTATCCAAAGATACGGAGCGAAGTCAACGGTAAAAACAAAAGTATCACTACTAAGAGAACCGACCGGTAGATATAGACTCCAAGGCAAAGTTGAGAGCTCAGAAGCCTCAAACATATAGAATGCATCCCCGACCTCCCCGCTGAGACAAAACTCACACGACCATTATCTCATATGTGGTAGATGAGAGCGAGAATGATCAACCAAGCTAGCAGAGAGAACAATCCAGATGTTCGGTAAGCGTCTTGTCGTTCATATACTAGTAATGTATATCAAAAAAAGTGACAGGATGAATAACACTAGCTTTGCCCGAAAGAAGAAGAAAAGAGAGAAAAAAAAAGAAAAATGCCTGTTTCACCCCCTGAAAGTTGAACACGGGCCTTTGGTTGGGTATGAATATGGCCACAGCACCAAGTCGATGGTCGATGAGATATAATATGGAGTACTCCGTCCGGAGTACATAATAAAAAGATGTTTGTTTTTAGCTCTGAGCTTAGTTACGGGTTTAGCCCTGGCTCAATCGAAGTCCCTTTCGTATAACTAAACTCCAGTTCGCCGCAAAGGAGACTATTGAAGTGAAAATGCCCCAAGTGCCACCCATCCAAGCAAACTCGCTGCCGGGGCGCTCGTTGAACAGCAACTAGCTATCAGTGATGATTAGCAAGGATGGGTGATGAATATGTTCAAGGAAGAGGTGTAAACTGAGATGGCTTCCGCATCTTTTACTACCCCTTTAACGGTACTGTGTATATATGATAATAGCAACAACTAACGGTTAAACTATGTACCACACATACGTGGATGGGTGGATCGGCAAGCCCCGTTGTCTATTTTCTCTCTTTCCCATAACTAGTTGATCTGCTTCTCCGTGTTTTATGCTGGAAAGGATAGCCGAATCACAGCGCGGTTCTTCGGAGCGCCACCCATGCAAAGCCTAACGAGACATTTCTATTTAATAGGATGCATCCAGTCAGCAGAGCTGGTCTCCTCTACATAGAAGAGGAAACGGATTTTACACCATCTTCGAGGGGCACAAAGGTTAAACCGATTTTTAACGACACCTCGTTTTTTCATAACACTTCTCGCCATGGCTTCAATAGACAGCCCCAAAATGGACTTTACAGTAAGATCACCGTTTATTCGATAAGGTTGAGCATTCCAAAAACCCCTCTCTAATTCAGCCGTTGTATAGACATTCCACAACACGATTGATGGCAAGCTTACAACCACATCGACCACACGCCACGGAATCAACCCGGCCAATAAACAGCCACTCGCTGAGGTTCCCGTTTCAACGCAGGCAGATGTCGATAATGCAGTTGCTGCTGCACAAGCTGCCTTCAAGAAATGGTCTAAGACTTCCTTTGAAGAGCGTAGGACGGCTCTCCATGCGTTTGCCGAAGGGTTGGACTCGTACAAGGAAGGGTTTGCCGACCTTTTGACCACCGAGCAAGGAAAGCCTCTATTCCAAGCTAATATCGAGATCAATATGGCTGTGAACTTTGTCAAAGTTCTCTCCACGTTGGAACTGCCAGAAGAGGTCCTTGAAGACACAGAGGAACGCAAGATTCTCGGCCGCTACACCCCGTTGGGTGTCGTTGGTGGGATTATCCCATGGAATAGTCCAATTCTCCTAGCCTGTGGAAAGATGGCATGTGCTATCTATACGGGTAACTCGATTATAATTAAACCATCGCCATTCACCCCTTACTGCGACCTGAAATTAGGGGAGCTTGGGATACAGTATTTCCCACCTGGGGTCTTCCAGGTTCTTAGTGGTGGGGATGACCTCGGTCCTATGATGACAATTCATCCAGGGTTCGATAAGATCAGCTTTACCGGGTCGAGTGAGACCGGAAAGAGGGTCATGGAGAGTTGTGCAAAGACGCTGAAACGAGTAACACTCGAATTAGGTGGAAACGACGCGGCGATTGTGTGTGAAGATGTTGATATTGATGCAATTATTCCAAAGGTAAATGAAAGATACCCGAGAGAAACTCCGTAATGCTGCGGAGCACCCTTGTCTCGTTGCGTCGTGCTAACATGGTCCCGTGTAGGTTGCGATAACATCCTTCCTATGTTCCAGCCAGATCTGCATGATGATTAAACGTCTGTATGTTCATGAGAGGATCTACGATCGATTCCGTGACGCCCTAGTCAAGCATACTAAGGCGCTAAAATCCGGCGAGGGTCACATACCTGACGTATTCTTCGGTCCGGTTCAAAATAGTATGCAGTATGAGAAGGTCAAATCACTTATTGAAGCCATTAACAAGGAGGGGGTCAAGCCCGCTCTTGGTGGAAATACCGAAGAATCAGAGGGTTACTTTATCACACCTACTATTATCGATAACCCCCCTGAGACATCACGCATTGTGACTGAGGAGCCCTTTGGCCCTGTCCTTCCTCTTCTTAAGTGGTCCGATGAGGATGATGTTATTGCTCGCGCAAATAATACCAAGATGGGCCTCGGAGCCTCTGTCTGGACCAAGGATCTAGCCCGTGCTGAGAGAATAGCTAAGCAGCTAGAAGCTGGGTGTGTATGGGTTAACTCTCATTTTGACGTTGCCCCTAATGTTCCCGTTAGTGGACATAAATGGAGTGGTATTGGATCCGAGTTTGGCATTAGCGGATTGAAGACTTATTGTAACCTGCAATCCCTCTGGTTATCGAAGAAGTAGCAGACCCTCGCATTTCAATGAGCCTCGAGGGCTTGCGGCTCATTCGCTGCTCAATAATTAGAATCATATCATATGAAGTTGGAGAGCAGCTGGTTAAAGCTTACATTTTTCTTCCATTCTCTCTCTCTCCCTCCAGCTATATATTTAAATGACTGTAGGTCATGCGAGTAAGGACGAGCTCTCCCTTCTCGCTCGTTGGTAAATGGCCACTGTACTCCGTATTCCCCGAAGAGTCGATGTGTTTGTTAGCCAAAATGTGAACTTCCTGACGGGCGTTCCGGAACTAACTACATATTAGGTATGGGGTTAGTTAGAGAAGCCGTTTGATGCACGAAGGAGCGGGAACTCTGCATGCATGAAACAACGGCTGAGACGAGGAAGGTCGTTTGATATGGAAGATCCATGTCCCTTGCCTTGCTCAACCTTCTTATCCCCTAGAAGACATACTACATAGTATGTAGGGTCGCGAAGGCCATATCGACCCCGATATCAACAAGCGTCCACTCTATACTACATATGTAGCTGTTTAGTTAGCCTCCGAAGGGTGAAAAACTTGCATGCGACTATGGATTCTCCATCTCGAAGATCTGGAAAACTTGCTAGGTTGAATGCTGCCTTCGGGGTAAAGGAGCAGCTTCGTTCACTAGGGGGATCCCTTCGCACTTTGACATTGATGGGTGTATATAGTTACACACCATGGATCCTTGCAGTGTGTAAGTATATATCCATGTCTGTTTGATTGCGGAGTTCGAGATGCAGTCGAAGCCGTCGTAGCACCCTCCTTCCCCTTCCGAGCCCCCGTCCTGCAATCAACCGGTCGTGTATACATGTATATAGCAAACGTTTTCCCCTTCCATCTACCTTCATCCCCGTATATACACGACGTGCAATCATCGTTAAGATAAAAAAAGGGGGCTATATATATCCGTTTGTATCTCTTGTTTCATTCTCCATTTCTCTCTGCACGTTTCTCACTTGGCATTTGGCCTCCTCCTGCTCTCTCCAAAAAAAAATACCCTCTGTTGGTATACATGTTCAAGGCCCCCGACTCCAGTCAAATCCTGCACGAGTATCCAGACACACTCGGGTTCGTTTGATCGAAGGCGTAAGAAGCGTTTGCTAGTCAGTATCCTCATCCTCTCCGTCTCGGCTGGACATGGAGAGGAGATACCTTCGTTAGAGCGCGGCCCAGCCAGACATGTCTCCCAGTTCGCTGACACTTCCGGCAAAAAGAAGGCATATTATATACACACGCATACGCACGCACGCACGCACACACACACATATATATACCTTGTTGAGGGCGACGTTTCTCAGGATCCTGTTTCCCATGAAAAGGTGCAAATACTGTTCATAAACACCAAACAAGGAACTCCCTCGAAGATGGCTCTCAGTTGCGGAATACCTTCGATCTCCGCCCAGTCCCGACTGCTGATGGTAATCGCGATGTCGACCTGCTTCTTGATTACAGAGCTGGCCGTCGGTTTCAAGACCCATTCTCTCGCTCTCATCGCTGACGCATTCCACTACACGGGCGACCTGCTGTCATTCGTGGTAGCATACCTAGCTCAGAAGGTATGTACCTAGGTAGTCTCCGCATTTCCCCTAAGACTGACGGGCTGGTGCACGTCCACGGGTCGCTTGTGGCTCTGTGAGGCTAATGTATGTAATACATCTACCCTGAGTCTTCAGCATGCGGCTGCACTCCAGCGGGACATGATCCCTGAAGATACGGCCAGCACTCTCGAAGCCGCCGAGAACCGCACCGCAATTATCCGAGTCGACAAAAAGGACAGTCGTCATGTCCTGCCTCTCTTGGCTGCTTTCTTCAACAGTGTCTTCCTGCTTGCTCTGGGCTTGGCCATCTTCCTGCAAGGACTGGAGAAGTTCATCCATCTCGATGGTAAGGTTCTCTCTCTCTCTTGAAGCTGCAGGCCGAATGTTGACAGCAATGGACTAGAAATCGCCAACCCAAAGTTGGTTTTGATCATTGGCTGTGTCGGCATACTGACTAATGTCATCTGTGCCTGCATCCTGGGGGCAGATGGCCACTACCATCACGGTCACAGTCATGGCCACGGCCACGGACATGGCCACGGACATCAACACTCCCACGACCATGACGTAGCAGGCAACGAGACTCGATCAAGCGAGGACGAGAAGCTCTCACAGGGAACTGCCCTTTCGATGAAAGCCGTCCTCCTCCACGTCGCCGCAGACGCGCTCAACAACCTCGCCGTGATAGTATCGGCAGCCATCATCTGGAAGGTCCCTTCAGAGAACCCGCCAGAGTCCAGACCCCACCACGACTCGGAGCACAACCACTACGGCAGCCCACACGCAAAGTACTATGCCGACCCGGCATGTACCGTCTTCATTGCCATCCTGATCATGGCAAGCACGGGTCCGGTGGTGCTGCAGTCTGGCCGAGCTCTGGCAGCTGCTGCAACTGGGGCCAACGTCAAGGAGATATTAACTGACATCCCAAAGGAGGAGGACGGACACAAGGAAACCTGCCAGTAGATGTTTGGATATATGATTCTTCCCTCTGTCCTTTTCTCTTCTCTTCCTTGCTGGCACTTGACCGTCATTCTCCCAAGGTTCCCTTCCTTACATATATATAGGATAAAGGGTTGTTGCAATCATGTGAGTAAGGAAACCGTCCTACGTAGTATATCCCCGCCCATGTAAACACCCTATAGTTAGCTGTGTGTTCCATAGACAAATTTCCTCCTATATACAGATAGCTCGTCTCGGTGCTCTCGTAGCAACAGACATGAGATTAGTTGGTGAGCAAAAAGGAGAAAAAGCTGAGTAAGAAGGCTGAGTAAACGCTGAGTCATCGCTTCTGCTTTTCCTCTTCTCCTCGCCGATCTTTCCTCTTCCTTTCTTTCTTTTCTCCATGGCCAGAGCGACTGCTTACTCACCATACCCCCTTACTCAGCAGAGCCTTAACCGCATCTGGAAGGATGACTACGCCTAGCATCCTATTGGCCATGAGAAACGAAGTGGGGCCATGAGCTGTCAGCCTTGGCTTATCCTCTTTGGGACTAGCGTTGTGTGTCTAAAAGGGGATACCACGTGACACTTCCTGAAGATGAGAATAAAGGAAAGGTACTTAAAAGATACTTCTATTTTGCGTGGAAAACAGCGTAATCGGAAGTACTTTTAAGTACCCTGCCATCGCTAACTCTTCTTCACCCTTTCGTTTTTTTTTTTTCTGCCCGGCCTGCCCGCCCTTTTCCCAGTCGGGAAACATCGTCGACCTCAACTTCAGACCTCAACTTCATCTTCCAACTTCAAGACACTCTCCTCTCTCTCTCTCTCTCGCTCACTCTCTACCTCTCTCCCTCTCTATATATCACCATCGTCTCTCTTCTGCGTCCCCTGCCCTTCCGTTCTCGTCTTGCTTCTCCTCTCAAGGGTAGTTTGATTCGATGACCTTGCTAACCATCGCCGGCTGAGGTCTGTGTCCAGGTAAGATCCGAGTCCACACTGTCTGCTCGCGCCCTTCTGCCTGGTGCTGTCCTTCTACCCGGGAGACGGAACGAAGGAAGAGACCAGAGATCACTTGACGCTCTTCCTCCTGCTGTTGCCTGCCCTGTCTCTCTTGTCTCGCTGCTGGCTGGATGGCTGGGCGGGCGCCAAAGCTGCTGGTGCTGTCGAGTCATAAATCCTCACTGGTCCTCTCTATGTTTCGCTAGGCTAACGCATAAAAAACCATTCAAAGCAGACATCAAAGACGCAGACCTTATCACTCTTGCTCTCATACTCCTCTTGTCCCCCCTTCTCTCTCTCTCTCTCTTTCCTTTACTTCTTTCATCTCCTCTTTTTCTTCTTCCTTTTCTACTATCCTTATTTTATCTACTTCACGGCGAAAGCTCGGCCGTCTTAATCGTGTTAATCGTATTAATCGCCAACTTCATTCATTTTTTGCCTTCGAAAGAGCTTTTTTCGCCTTGTTCCTTTTTTTTTAATCTTTGAGTCATTCTGGTTAAAAGGTACGTCCCGTCATGTTCTCCTTACTTGGGGTTCCTTGGGTCCCTTTTTCTTTGCTCCACCGCAAACTCCCGACAAGCCCTTCGCCACATCTTTTCGCCACTACGGATTTCCCTTGCAAACAGAGTCATACCACATCGTCAACTTTTTTTGGCACCTTATATTGTCCTCTAATATAGGGTTATATTCGCTCTTTACTCACCAAACCTCTGACTCGCAGCCTCTTACCCGCCCTCTCCCTCATCACCATATCCATCCCTCCTCCCTCTCCGTCCTCTCTCTCCTAACATCTCTGGTCGCTAATAACAATAGCCGCGTTCCGAGCCGGTGCCGGTGCGCGGGTGCTGCCTAACTACCACGCCATCCACAGCCAGGTAACAATGTTCCTGGTCCTAACGTCCATTTCAAGCCCGATCACCTGCCCAGAAGATTCCAACGCCAGAGCCACTATGATAATGACTGCTATCTCCGTCTCCGTCTGAGTGCCGGGCCTCTTCTCGCCTCCCTTGAAGAGTCACGTCGACTTGTATGAGTGTGAAGTGCACGCCACCTTGCTATACATACTCTTGACCGCGCCTCTTTCTACTGCGTCCGTACCTGCATAAGGCTACCCGACCTATTACTCAACGGAACCTGGACTTAACTTGTCATATCATACGCTCATCACACCACTTTACCTTACTACCTCTGCCGTCGTTGGAATCTTCCTGGTGCAAAGTGATCGGGACTCGCCTGCTGCTCTTTATCACATCGTATCTGCCGCCGATATTCACCAAATACCAAAGTCACATCGCTCTCTGCATCTTATATCAACCGCCAACAAGTGACTCATAAATACTCACCATCATTACTTTATACATCTAACTGGATTCACCCGCCGTACCTTTTTCCAAATACTGGTTCGCCGCATATCAATACCGTCAGTCTGGCTGTGGATTTAGTTTAAATAAAAGGCCTCCCCGTCGCCTTCGGATTTCGTCATCACAAAGACGGGCCGTCTAACGCTGCCCTCTCGAAACGGTTACCACTCATCGGTCTATTCCCCTTTATAAAACAAGAATAAGCATACCCGGACAAACCGTCTACCAGTATCGATACTGTTCGAAAGTCAGGACAACGTCACTGTCCGGAACTTAGGAGAATGTCGGCATTTGTAGACGTCTTGGGTCTCAATCCTGTGAACCCAAGCATCCCCGAATCTCTTCACCAGGCTTGTCCCTATGCATCCTCTCTTGCCTCGTCGGCGTCCTCGTCTGCGTCGTCAGTCTTTTCTCTTGATGTCTCGTCCCAAACTTCGGCTGCCTCTTCCTCTTGCGCATCTTCAGATGCAATTTGGGAAAACAAGGTACCAGTCGACATTCAAGAGAAAAGGGCTGCCGTAGCGAACGATGCCGCTTCCGCAAAGGCCCGCTTCAGCAAAGTCGGGGAGACAGATGTCTCAACGAATCTGAGGCAGCACCCGCGGCGCACGGTTGCTACTCGCCCTCCACCTACCTTGGTTCGCCAGTGCGAAAGGAAAACCAACTTTGTTGATAGTCTTGTTGGTAAGTTTGTACCTCTACCCCTTACGCTCCTGCATAAAAGTCTAACGTATGCCCATAGACTCTGCGTCTCAGATAGTAGAGATCATTTGGCCCCTCTCAGCGGCTGCCTCGCAGAGAGGGGTTGAGTCGGCCCTTGGATGTAAAGGAGTGCTACCTCTGAGGACGTTCATTCAAGAAACTCTCCGCAGGTCGCGAACCAGTTACTCCACTCTGCAGGTTGCCCTTTATTATCTGATCCTGATTAAGCCACATGTTCCCAGTATCGACTTTACCCTGGAACAGCCCAAGCTGCAGCAGTCACATTCCCGCGCTATGCAATGTGGCCGACGAATGTTCCTCTCTGCTTTGATTCTTGCTTCCAAGTATCTGCAAGATAGGAACTACTCCGCCCGCGCATGGAGCAAGATATCGGGCCTCAACACAGCAGAGATCAATCAGAACGAACTCATGTTCCTGCAAGCCGTTGATTGGCGGTTGCACATCTCAGATGCCATCTTCCAACGCTGGAACGATATCGTTTTGAAGTATACACCAAATGCTAGTGGTATTCCTAGCGCCAGTGGCATGTGCTGGCGAACAGTCATTCCCATCCTGACCCCCCAGCTTGACACGCTTGATTGTCAAATTGAGGGTCCGTGGACAGTGTCAAACGTTGGCTCTCCAGCAGATACCGCCACTACACCTAGCAGTCCCTCCAGCTGCGACAGTCCTTCTTCCAGCCTCTCATTTTCTGAGATACCCAGAAGACCGTCGGCAGTTGACTTGGCAAGCGTCACCCTACCACCGCTTCCAAGGCTAGGATTGCTTCCTACCCCCCAACTCACCCCACAAGTCAGTGTGACTGCACGTACTCCTGCAGTGAGTATCAACGCTTGCCGTCCATCTATCTGCTCTGCTCTTTCGCAGGCCCAGACGGCCTTTGTACAACGGACCACCCTGGACCAACGCCCTACGCAACCCTTGTATATTAGCAAACAACAACCTTCCTTTGACTACCCCTCAGGATCGTTCCAGGGCCGCCGCTCGTCCCTGGCCCGCTCATCGTCATTCACTTCCTCTCCCGAGTCTTTAGCTTCTGATGCACCGTCTTTATCGTTCTCCTCCCGATCTTCTCGATCGTCTCGATCTTCTTCAATTTCTTCTGTTACATCTATGAACTGCGCAATCCGAACATCTCGTCGCAGCACCCCTACTTCCCAGCCAAACAACTGTTTGAAAGAAAACAGGAAGCCTCTCGCTATTGCTACGCCAATTGATGAGCATGAACCAAGCTATAACACATACCCCTCTCCACCTCTCCGTAGCTCTAGTGCAGCCAGTGCGGTTCCTGACCTGTCGAATTTTTCCATCGACACTCCTTCCGACCCAGATACCGCTGCCATCCAAGGACTATATGAGCTAGCCACAGGCTTCCCACTATCGCTAGACTGCACTACCCCATCTCCAACTAAAGGCGGCCGACGCTGCCGAAAACGCACTCGCGCCCCATCCACATCTGAAGGGACCAGCCTGCAGCAGAAAGTGCGCCATCTCATGGCTCTTGATGCGCGGGATCTCGAGGATGATAGCACTCCACTGGCTGTTTTGAGTGATAGCCAGGTTGCTGACTCGTTCTTGGTCAATAAGGTTACTGGTGTGAGTGCCAACGGAGTTAGTTCAAAGCGTGCTTGCTGCGGTAAGGAAAACGTCAGGACACTATGGGGCATTTAAGGCTACAAAGCTCCTTAACTCTTTTTTCTCTGGTATCTCTTCAAAAAGGAAAATAACAGCCTCGAATACCAACACAAGCAATTTAGCGAAAGGAAAATGGGATCCTTTCTTCGCACTTGCTTTTCTCTCTCTCTCGCCCTTTTGCGTCCTTTTTTTTTCTTTGCAATGCATCAAACCTGTGTGCGGCGTTTCTTCCTACTATTGCGCTCTCTCTCATTCGAGCTATATCTGATAGACCGACCTGTCTTGCTTTGCACTTTCGTTTATTTGCTACTCCTGTTACAGGTTGGGTTTGGCGGGCTGGCTGGTTGGCTTATCGGTTCTGGAGTGACTTGAGGATTCTTCGCATACATGCATTGCATATATTCCCATTCCCTTTATGCGCTGCCATCTACAATCTATATATAACTATCTATCGCACCATATACATTTGATCTTGTATCCCGTTAGTAGTGCGACTTGTTTTTTTTACCTCGCTAGGCTACTTGAAAGAGTAGTTCCAACACGCATTAGCATAGTGAAGCATAGTGAAATCCAACATAACCTTCCTGACTCATTCAAATGTACTGTTTTTATCTAGCCATAAGGAAAAAGGAGGAGGAAATATAATAAGAGATATCAGCGGAGTTACTCGTGAGCCCAGCCTGGCTCCAGTGGCTCAGCGTCAACAAGCCATCCAAACTTGTCTTCGACTTCACCCATCTGGATGCCCTGGAGGGTCTTGATCAGTTGCCTGAAGACCTCTCCTCCCTCGCCGCCGGCACCGGCATCGAACTCGAACTTGTCTCCCTTAGACCTCATCGTAATGCTCCTGATGGGCACCAGGGCCGCCGCCGTCCCAGCCGCCATGACTTCGTCGAAGCTCGCCAGCTCGTCGTAGAGAACCGCCCGCTTCTCGACCCTGAAGCCGAGCATATGCTCTCCGATCTCGCGCACCGAAGCCGCAGTGACACTGTCGATGACGTTCTTGCTATCCGGGAAGACGAGGGTGATGGCGCCGGTCTTCTTGTCCTTTTGCACACCGATGAAGGCAGAGGTGGAGAACTCATCGATCTCCGACCTGGTCCTGCTGTCTAGATGCAGGGTGATGCCGTACCCTTCGGCCCTGGCCTGGTCACTGTGTCGAAGTACGGGGGCATAGTTGCCACCCAGCTTGGCCGAGCCCGTCCCTTCTGGCGCGGACCGGTCAAAGTCCTCGAGCACCAGGGCATCCACGGCGTGGACGCCATGGTACACACCCGTAGGCATGACGAAGACGACGAACGTATACTCGTCCGGCGGCACGAGGCCCAGCTGTGCCGAGCTGCCCATCACCAACGGACGAATGTACATGGCCGCCCGCGTCTCGTGGGGAGGCACAAAGGCAGCGTTGGCACTGACGGCGCGGCGCACGCAGTCGACGAAATGGTCTGCAGGCACGGGCGGGATGGAGACGAACTCTGCAGAGCGGTGCAGCCTGGCAGCGTTGCGGTCTGGCCTGAAGATGGCGATGCGGCCGTTCGGATGGGCGGCGGAGGGAGGATGGCGGAAGGCCTTCATCCCCTCGTAGGCTTGCTGGCCGTAGTTGAGGGCCGGCGCCATGCCGTGCAGCTGCAGGTAGGGCGACTCGACGAAGCGAGGAGGCGACCACTGGCCTCCGGCTGAGTGAGAGAAGTGCGATTCGACATGGCCGCTGACTTCTCTGACCTTGAAGCCGACGTTCTTCCAGTCTATATGCATCTGTTAGTCGAGCCGTACTTGTACCGGGTTAAATATCAAGGTTCGAGTCATACCGATGGCGGAGGTTGGGGGAGGAGGGAAGTCTTTGCTAGCCATTGTGCTGTTCCAAGTAGATACTCCGTAGAAAGCTGGGCTGTAAGAATGAGGATGAGGGAACGCAGCCTTTGATCCAAGGAGCGTGTGCGTTGTCCTTTTTATACCTGGCGGACAGCAAATGGCTCAGCTAGTTGGATGTAACTAAGTATCAAACAAGCAGCCTATGGCATTTGGCTATCACGGCAAACTTGCTTTTTCTAGCGAGACGGCAAAGTCGGCCGTCATCGATGATATTTTACGTATGCTGTATCTAGTTATATATATGTGATGTATGCTGAAGACATCCCTGTCGCTGACGGAGATATAGATCGGGCATAGTGTACGATGTTGCATCCTGCAGGCTGATGCTAGGCTGGGATAAAGAGCCGGTTTTATTCCATCTTCTGTGCCGTTTAAGTCTAGTCATCTTTGCAAACCCGTACTTGGAGACTGGATAAAGGAGTCTTCGCCATGTGATGTGGGATGCCACAGGCGGAGAGATAGAAGCCGGACACGATGGCATCCTGCAGGCCGATAGCTATCATTTAAGAGGATAGATTCACTAAAAACATCATACGTCAAGATCCAATTCATTCGGTCATGTCATGCCATGTTATTCCAATCATAAACCGTCAACGTTCAACGTCCCTTGCTTTCGATATCTACCTAGTTATACTCCGTCCTATACCTGCTTGACCCCACCATCATGTTCATGGTGGTGTCCTTTCTCAGAAACCTGCTCCCGGATGCTATCGAGATGGTACAGCTCCGGGCACACGGCGTGCTTTCGCTGGAAGATATATCGCTTGATCCACCACGGCAAGACCTTCGTGAGCTGGTACTTCGCATGGGTCCGGGTAGGCACTCCAAAGATGTAGTCCAGCTCTTCAAGGGTGCGCTGTTTGGTCTCGTACAGGAACAGAAAGATCATGACCAGGGCGATGATGTTGAGTCCCGCGTAGAAACCAAACGCTCCGGGCGTGGTCAATGCAAGGTCTAGTCGACGGAAGGTGAGCGCCAGCACGGCCGCCCAGAAGTTATTCGTGGCCACAGCCCAGGCCATGCCGACTTCTCTGTGGGAGAGGGGGAAGACCTCGGCCGAATAGGTAAAGGGGACCGGTCCCTCTCCGGGCGAATAGAAGGCACCAAAGAGGTAGATGAATGTAGCGATCAGGCCGAGATGCGCACGGCTGCTTTCAGGGATGTAAAAGGACATCCCCGCCGCAAGAAGAGTCCAGAACATGTTGGGAAACGTGAAGAGAAGGAGACCACGGCGGCCAAAGGTATCAATAGTCCAGACGGCGGGCCAGGCAAAGACAAAGTTAACAAGGCCAAAGCCAAAGGAGGCCAAGAGCGCGGTGATATTGTTTGCACCCGCGCGTTCGAAGATGGTTGATGAGTAGAAGGCGATGATGTTGACTATATTACCATTAGTATATATATCACAGCATGGTTTGGCGCATTTGGTTTGTTTGTAGAGAAGGGAGCAAGCTTACTTCCGCACATCTGCTGGGCAATCATGACAACACCGGAGGCCTGGGTGGCACGACGCACGCGGGGGATGGTGAAAAGCTCAATGAAGCGAGTGAAGAAGTTGTCCGTCTTGATCAAACCGCTCTCCACGAGTATAGCCCGCTCATGCTGAAGCTGGGCATGGATAAAGTACACATCCCTGGCGGCCTGTAGGGGGGTGTTTCTCAGCCTCAGCAGCGAACGATATGCCTTTGCAACCTTGCCCTTCTTCAGCAGCCAACGCGGTGACTCAGCACAAAAGTAAATACCAATCACAAGTGGGACGGCTGGGATAAATGCGGAGCCCAGCTGCAGCCTCCATGCGATCCTTCCGGTGTTGACGACAGCCAGATTAGCAACGGTACCAAGGAAGATTCCACACGCGGTCCAGACCTGCCACGACATGACCAGTCCTCCACGGACGTTGGCGGGGGTATTTTCAGCCGAGAAGACGGGCACCGTGACTTCCTTTAGACCCATGCCTATTCCAAGCAGGACACGGCAGATGACAAGCTGACCCCAGTTCTGAGTGAGAGCAGAGCCGATAGGTGCAAGCAAAGAGAAAATAGCTGCGATGAAGATTGTTCCTCGACGCCCAATCAAGTCGTTGATGGGATCAGAAAGCCAGCCAGCACTGAAGAATAACCCCGTTAGAACAGTAGCTTAGCCCGCTTAACCAGCCGAGTTTCACTTACAAGAGAGCAATGGTAATGTAGGGGACTGAGTTGATGAAACCAACGATCCACGCATTTTTCTCACAGATCGCATCAGTAGGACAGTAAGCTGGATTATCGGGGATACCAAACTCTATGGGAAATGAAAGATTCGCTCCATTCGATCCTACACGCTGTGTTAATGGGGGTTACGTAGAAAGGAATAATAACGAAAAAAAAAAAAAAAAAAGATACACACCAGTCTGATCCCATCCCTGGATAGCGGCAGCAATGGAGTTGAGGATGATAGTATAGTACAGACCCCAGGGGAGCTTCCAGCGATGCGTGACCTCTTCACGTAGGCAAATACGGTCGTCTTCATCGAGTTCAGGCAGGGTCTCGAAATCCTTGGGGTTCTGGGCGACGAGAGCACCTTTTTCGAGTAGGGGAATGATATCCTGCAAGCCGTGCTCCCGGGCAAAGCCGCGTACATCGTCCAGCAACTGGTCCCTGGGGACTTCGGCGAGTGGATTTTTAATTCTATACATGTAACTCGTCAGCCCGACGGAGAGGACACCCCAAATGGCCTGGTCGACTCACTCTCCGGTGACATTTTCAGAGAACTGCCTGTGGTCTTTGACAGTGTCAAAGAGAGAGCCACGTCTCTCGGCCCTGGACAGCCCAGGTTAGCAGATGTTGCATGGCAGAAAGTAAGCACTGACAGGGAAGTGCGTCGTTACCCTCCTATCCCATCCGTATCAGCCATCCTGGACAGCTACCTACTCAGCCGGAAGAGTAGATAAGAACACCGGTGAGAGAGGGATTGACTGAGCGGAAGCGGTCAATGTATATAAGACGAAGCTGCCACCAACCCGCAGTTGAAACAGAGTTGCACAAGCAAAACTGAGCTGGAGTGCAGCGCAGGATGCCCCAGCCGTATATAAATATATATATGTTCGTGTAGCCCTGGTCAATCCATGGTTGCTTTCTTTTCTTTTTCTTTTCTCTTTTGTTTTTTGCTCGGTGAGGGCTTAAAGCATCGCCCAAAGCGGAAGTGCGTTAAGTACTGGTACAAGCCCATGACGGCCGGGGTCGCTGGGCCGCTGAGGTACAGGTACTTGGCTCAATGCCTTTTTCCCGACGCATTATGAAGGTTGGCTTTGCTAGTGGCTGCGTTGGTGTGATCTCCTCCTGGTCTTGTCTTCTGGTCCCGCCTTGGGCTTGGGCTTGTGTGGTCATCCTTCGCGGCGGTCATGCTCTCGCCGCTCGAGCTACGTTGCAGGCTAAGGTACAGGGCCAGGGATGAGCTCTGGCATGGTTTATATGGACAGACGAAGCGAGGGAGAAGATGAAATCATTTCGAAGCTGGAGTTGATGAAGTCGAGGTTGAAGTTTGAAGTTGATGAAGCTGAATATGGTAAAGTATTAACATGCTTAGTACACTTACGTTACAGTACAGAGTTACAGCTCGTTTAGCCCGCAGTTTCTTTGTTTCACTCCATGTACGGTAAATATATTACATCTTTACAGGTAGTATTTCCGTTACACATACTGTATTTCTGCTGATACATCCTTTCGAGCCAGAATGTGGGCATTAGAACTTCAAATCGTTTTGATATCATGCAGTTCGTCTTTCTACGAGTTAGGCATCGTTTGTACCGGTATATGAAAAGAACGCATACCCAGTGTACATTCTTTGGCTTTTCCACTACCGCCCCAGCTAAAATTAATACCTCAACAGGTACTGTGGCCAGCTCGTTAGGTTCAAGTAGCAACCAACAATGAAATCAATTAAACTCCTTCTACGTCTCTTCTAACGTCCGCATGCCACATGCCTCTTTGTTCCTCGCATCCACGAATCTGTTTCATGCTGCAGTTGTTTTTATATATTCCATCTATAATCTCATCAACCCGTCTGCAATCAGGCATAACTAGCGACTCCGTCTCCACCTTAACTTAAATGCCCTCTGCGAGATTATGTGCTTATTTTATTCCCCAGCTTCTAAGCGGCTAAGGGTATCCCACACGGCTAGAAAAGTCGGGGTAGCGTGCCGTGTAAAGTGCGGAGAGTTGTCCTTGAAAGTCGAGTGAGCTGTTTTGTTGACAAATTGCTATTATATCGCGCCCGATGGCGTTATAAACTCTGATGGCTGTCCTGTGACGCTTCTTGGAACATATATATCAGAAAAGGTAGGTTGCGTTGTGACAAATGATTACACGTTTGAGTATATCGTTAGCATGCTCATATTTGAAGCGCCCTTTCATTAGAGAGAGTAGAAGTATATGGGGTAACAATTTACCTAAATGATCCGGCATCGACTTAACACCTAGGTCTTTTGAACCCTAAGTACTGTAAAGGGATAGGATCGTGCCTGTTATGAAGTTAATGGTAGACACCCATATACGTTAAGTTTTCCACCTACCGCTTGCCATTATATAGAGTATATGCTACCAATTCCGCAGGTGTGTTGTCTTTCACCAAAAACACAAATATTGACTGTGGGGAAAACCTTTTTTGATATAGACATCCGAATGAGCTCACGTAGTTTGGTTGTTCTACTTTCCAAGTAGCGGAAAGTTTTTGGAAGGATTAAATTCCTGGTTTAATGAAGACGTGAGAACGGGTATAGATCGAGAGACACGGGAACATAGGTAAAAACGGTAACGAATATCCTACCTTGCGTTCCGCCTTTCTATTATATATCGTCAGGGATTTTAATGAGCTAGCCATTGGGCAAATAACTCCCCGAGGCTTTGAACTAGGGAATGAAACGATAATACGGCGGGTGTCAGCCGTAGGACTCGAACCCACACGTCTTCATGCCACCCGCCGCAGAGTGACATTCAGTACGCTACCAGGTGGCTGCCGTAAACCACCGGCTAACGTTTTCCTTTATAAGGAAAAAAAAAAAAAAAAAAAAAAAAAAAGGGGGATCAAAAAATTGTGGGTTGAGCACATGAGGACGCGATGACGCCGAGTCCGAAGCCCCAGTCAAGTTAGAATCTGAAAAATATCAGATCTGAAGTAAGAGAGATTAGGCCCGAAGTCCTAGTAATAAACGCCTTGTCCGAAGCCAAGGCCAGGTCCCTAGTCCTAAAAATGTCCCCATATGTTTCAACCCATTTTGTCATCGCATGTAGAACCGACTCTAGAGTCAGTGGATTTATCACTACTATATCCCACGTTGATATGTTCTAAACATATAAATTTCGCGCTTGCCCTTTTTCCACAGCCCTGCTCTTAGCTATGATACCCTTGGGTGTGCAGAACTGGATCTTGAAGCCTCGGTCTGTTGGAGAGTAGACGGGCGAAGTTGGGTAGTAGGTTGTTGTGCTCGCGGTGCTGCACTTGAAGTGCGCTTGGTTTTGCGAGCTCTCGTACGGGTATCATCATGGCGATACGAAGACCGCCCCGTTCGGTCGTCATGCCATGTCTCGCGGCTTCCTTCTATGTACTGATCATGGTAGTTCCCGAGGGAATCCATTGCCCAATACTTGTAATCGACCGGGACTTGATCCCACAATTCCAGTGGTTTCTTGGGCTTTCGGCTCAACACGCTGTTGAAGCGCCATTTCATTATGTCCTGCCATGGGGATGAAGGTTACAATTGCAACCAAAATATCGCAGACAAGCTTCCCTATGATAGAAACCGCGTTGGAGTTTGCGAAGCTTTCAAGGTTTCCGAGGTAGATTGAAGCAATAGTATCCAGAAGTGGAGCTGCAAGACCACTTGCTGATATGACAAGGCTGGATCTATGATTTGAGTTCCTCGGGTCGGCAGCCATACGTTGCTGTACTATTAAAGCAGCGCAAACGATGATCTCTCCTAGCAAGTAGGGCCAAAGGAAGCCACTACCGCTCTTGAGCAGATCTCTAGCAGCTTTTTTAGTCCATAGTGATATGAACCGAGCCACCAATGCAACTAGCAGTGTGAGGGTGTTGCCTGGATTTTCTCCAGTAAGCCACTGCCAGAACCTTAGACAAAGCCATTCGAAGCAAGTCTTAAATGTCTCCCATTTAGTTTGGGGACATCCTGGCAAGACTGGAGACACATAGGGAGCCCGTGGAGGACCCTCTTCGTAGAACAATTTAGCAAAGCTTTGTTTGCACTGATTCTTCTGAAAGGGTAATGTAGCCACTTCTCTCTTGATTGATAGTTTCACGTAGTCATGAACCTCATCCGAGGCTAACCAATTTTTCATGAGCGTCTCATCGCGTCTAGAAAAATGAGGCTATGTTAGCACACTTATAGAATAGACCAGGGTTGGGAAGACGAACGAGGTCGATCCTGGCGCCATTTTGATGTCTTCTTGGTGATATACTACTCTAGTAGTTCAGGGAGTCACTCGATGTGATATCGGGAAAGCAAGGGTATGCTATCGGGGGTCACTCTGGTAAGAAGAGGGATGTTGTCTTAACAAAGATGCTGTCAACAAGATGATGTGGTGGCAATGAGAAGAAGACGTTGTCTCGAGAGGAGGAGGAGGAAGAAGAAGAAGACGAAGAAGACAAAGACTGGCGTCTGTTGTGGGAAGTCGATCTCGCTTCACTTTCCGCGTTTCGCGTTTGGCCACGTTGCTCTGTCCTATTAGGGTAAGACCCTTTCGAGGAGCCAAAGCTCACCTGACTTGTGCCTGCGAAAAACTACAGAAAAATAGGGACACTCGTTCATATCACCGATATGATATCCCTTTAGCACGGAGGAAAACTCTACAGGGCCGGTAAATGGGCTTCTAAGCAGTGGCATGTTTGCTGCCCACGACTCTATATCAGATTCAGGGGCACCGTAGAAACAGGGTATCAAAGTGTACCAATGTGAGAATATATTTCCAGACGGCTGTACCTAGAAGATGGTTCCGTATCTATTCTCTATCCATTTTTGCATCGCCCCCGCAGTTTTCAAAGCATCCTCCTCAGTAGCATATGTCGATGTTATCTGGCGACTTTCAATATCATTCTTAGGTGTATAAATACATTCACCTCTCTGATTGTAGGCTTTTAGAAAAGAAAACTCTTTCCTAATTTGAGTCGTATTTGACCATCTTCCCACTATTTCCTTAAAAGCCTTTCCTTCCTGGGAAGATGGAAGCGCTGAGGCTGTTAAGCAGTCGTATATTTGAGATTCAAACTTATAAAGAAAGAGTAACGGGTCTAAACCACCGTGTTCATCGCTTAAGCACTTATTTACCCTATCGACTGTAGCAATGATATCGTCACGGTAGGGATATCGTTTCTTCACTTCACTTTTAAACACAGAAAGCATAAAAGTGATCTGGGAAGCGTTTGATTCCGCTTCACTTATATCATCGACAGCGCGAAGTCTATGCTCACGCAACTCGGTTGAAGGAAAAAGCTCAGTGTAGACTTCCCTAATAAAATTGTAAACGCTGGGCATGGTCTCAGTCGCTCCTGACAGGTTGTCCTATATGTTTGGCGAGTTGGAAATAGGATAGCAAGATGGACAAGTCTGCTAGCACGGGAATGCTTAGTTTTCGCTTTGACGCTTATATATGAAGATAGGAGAAGTATACCGGCCTTAGTTACTAAGAGTTAATCAAGATCAACTTCCTATGTTTGCGACAACGTGAGGACATATAGATATTATAGGATTAAATAATCGTGATATAGGTTGGATGGGAGAACAGACAAGACTTGACGTCAAGTTAAGCTTGCTGATCATGATATTAGGTAAGCAGCCAGCCCGATAACATAAGCAGCGTGGTAGGTCCACGTAACCTTCCAAGTTGCCTCCTTAAGTCTCGTAATCTATATTGCTCCCTCGCTTTACTCTTGAGGACACTGAGGCGCTATTTCAAATAGATATTCTCATTAATCTCTAAATATGAACAACATACTGGTTTATGCCTTGAGACCACACAGCTTTGCTTTAGGGCTAGTGTGGCATTATCTTGCTCTATTCGCCTATTAAGTCAGAGACTTAAGGCTAACATATATTAGTCAGTTGGAATACCCATTTGATAAACCTGGACATGAATAAATTTGGCTGTACTATTGACTGTGGCCCGTTGTGCAAGCTCACTCAATAGAGAAACATAGATTTTTGCATGTTATATGAAGATATAAAATACATACAAAAAATATCAAATACAATACCAAGCATGAAATAGTATAGCCTTCAACATAACTCATACCTCCATGTCCTTAATATCCTTACTACTGTGCTTCCCTTGTTCTAGCAGATATGGCCTTGTACATATCTACTGATAATAGAGTGGGACATAAACAGATGGCTAATACACTTAGAGTAGAACACCCTCCGCTCTTACAAAATGAAGGTGATATATGCAGCTATGTGTCTTTGTGTCCTCGCTTAGGGAACCCGTTCTCTAGTGTCTAGCGACCTCTGCAACTCTGTAATAGTGGTGGACGCAGGATAAACTGGAGTTTATAGTAGGACAAGCCTTCCCAGAGGGGTAATAAGCCCTAGCCCTAGCCCCAGCACCTCACTACTACACTTCCCTCACTTCTCCTTCTCCCACTCTCCTCTCTCTTCTTCTCTTCTTCTTTTTTCTTCCCGTCCACAATCGAATTACATCTGCGTACGTATTGCCTACGTGAGCCTGGAAACGCATGAATAATCGTATTCTAACATAATATTCTCAGTTTTTCATCCTCGTGGAAGATAAAAGCCATGGCTAAAGTGAGCCTCCCTGTTATTGCTATGGTTGGATCAAGATAGCTGATGATTGTTTTATAGTTCGCAAATCAGGGGAGGGGCTCGCGCCCGCAGAGAGGTGGTCGGCGTGGTGGACAGCTGGCGAGGGGTGTGGTGTCGAGGAGGGCCGGGAGAAGGCCAGCAAGGGACGAGGAAGAGGTGGAGGCAGAAGAGGAAAGGCAAGAGGCCGTGAGGCAATTGCTTCGCGGCCTCTCGCTGGCTGAGCAAGCGGCAGAGCTAACCCGTCTCCGGGAGGCGGCGGCAGCTGAGAGAAGACAACTCCTCTGGAAAGAGGAGAGGATTTAGATCCTAGAGGAGGCGATGATGATGAGCCTCCGTCAGGGGCGCTCGTCAGAGCTTGCCGGTGACCATGTCTCTGAATCTGCGCCTGCTCAGCTACTTCCTACTTCGGTGGAAGGAAAGGTGGGGGGGAAAGAGTCTGAGGCTCCGGCTGAAGATTCTACAGTGGCGTAGCTGTGTTTTGTAGCTACCTACCAGCTGGTGCCCCGGAGTTCTGGAGTTTGGGCGTTTGGGATTTGGGCGTTTCGCGGGCGTTTGGGCGTTCTGTTTACCTAGGCAAGACTTGCACCTCTACGCGGTGTCTAGGATTAGTAACCAGATAGCTATCTGGTGAAGCCAAGCAGGTCAGAAGATGTCACATAGCGTTGGTTTACTGGGCTACATATATATATGGCGAATATTAACCAGATTTTGCCTAAATCTCTAGTTACTCTGTTTTACTCCGTGCCAGAAATCTCTTTCTAGTGCGGTTCAATGAATCCGCGCCATGGTTACCTTCACCTCACACACTAGTATTGTGGAGGCCTGGAGGGAATCCGCATAATTACCTGCCTAGTAGATACTCGAGAGAAGCTATTCTATACATTGTCTTTGCTCTATTATTGATGAGGATTATACCCTTATAGTCATTCTTCCACTAGAGGATGATACTATTGGGTTTGCGTAGTCCGCGGTGTTTCACAAGAAGAATTGCCTTCATCGTTCTTAGCCTTCCTAGAGATCTTTATCTGCTACAGCTTTGTCATGCAACTAATCGCGGGAGAATTCGGCTTTATTTTCATGCTGGTCGAACTTCACTCCTTAAACATTTTCCTTAAATGCTGCGCATCCACTATGTACTCTATGTCTGTTCCCAGTAAATAAGTGTGTTCTCTCACGTAAAGTGAAGTCTTTCTTTCCTCTTTCGAACCCTTTGGTGGATCGCGCTTATGTCACGTGAGGTTAACGTTACCTCGGCAACGGCGGCTTGTTGACGCCTAGCCGCTTTAGGAAGCGAGCTATCTTTTTTTGCCTCTCGTTGGCAGTTTCAAAGATAAGATCAAGTTCATGGTCAAGGCGAGCCAGAGCTCTCGGGAGGTAGACCTACATACAGCCTACGACAGCGAGTGACCTCTGCCTCTACACGCCCATAATGGAAGCTCTCCTAGCGCACTCCTTTGACTACCTCTCCTCCTACGACCAGGGCAAGATCCGAAAGGGACTTCGACAGGTCGAGGGCCTACTGGCACAGATATGCCTGTCGCGGTCGAAACTGACAGCTGCAGAGAAGAGGCGGTCTATGATACCACTCGGCTCAGCCCCGTCTCCGCCAAAGTCGACCAGCGAACTGAGTGACGATCCAGCGTTCAGGGAGTTCTACAAGCTCCAGGACGGCTTTCAGTGGAATGGTGAGCGCACTCCGATGTCAATCCTCCATCTGCCTTTTCGCACGCGCGCTAATCCATGAATTTCTCATCTCAGTCGCCCTACGATTGATATCATGTCTCGAACACCTACTTGGCCGCGGGAGCAACGGTACAAACGATCTGCTCATCGTCTCGGCGCTTGACCTCATCCAAGGCATATTGCTCCTCCACCCGCCTTCTCGCGCCCTCTTTGCTCGCGAGATATATATGAACATCCTGCTTGATCTCCTGGAGCCGGCGAATTGTCCTGCGATCCAGTCTGCGACGCTCTTGACACTAGTCACGGCCCTACTCGACACCCCCACCAACACGCGTACGTTCGAGGAACTGGACGGCCTGCTAACGATAACATCCCTATTCAAGCTACGGTCCACATCTCGAGAAGTGAAGCTCAAGCTAGTTGAGTTCCTCTACTTCTATCTCATGCCTGAAACTCCGCAGCTACCGGTCGTGAATGCCAGTGCACCTAGCACTGCTACCGGTCTGCAACGCACCCCGAGCAAGCTCGGGGCTCCATCATCGCGAAGTGTCGACGTTTCTGGACGTAGACGGTCTACGACCAGCACGGATACAAAAACAACCGAAGAGAAACAGGGTCTCCTGGGGAGGTATCTAAGTAACGTCGAGGACCTGGTCGAGGATCTAAAGGAAACTGCACCGTTTGGAAGCGCCGTATTTTAACTATTTTGACGTTTACCTTTCTTTTCTTGGTTTCCTGTCTGCTTTTGGAGTCTCACAACTTGGTATTTTGTTGTTCGAGGCTTTTCCTTTTAGTCTATTCTGCTCCTGCGCGGTGTCATGGCGGTCCGGCTTTTTCTTTGTTTTCTTTTTTGTTCCTTTCACTTCATCAATAATTATGGTAATTTGTTTTCTCTGTACACTCTGTACTCCGTACGATCTCTTATTTCATCCTCGAATCAGCCAGTGGATGGACGAAAAGTTTGATGTTGCCGCCAAAGGGCGCAAGCGGAGTCCCAAATAGAAATCTATTTCCATGAGTCAAGAGTCTCGTATTGCTAGTTATATATTCTAACATGTATTTGCTGTATACTATAAAATCCGGATTGGTATTGTCTGTATATAAAGAAGCGGACATAGCTTATGCCGAAACTTCTTGAAATAACACATACATACAGCTTCCATCGTAGCCAGGACGATATTCCAACATGGTACAGAGTACTACGAAGCCCAAGAGGGAGGTCAAGTACATCGATACTGTCGATGCATATAACCAATGGGCAGAGGTATGCGTATCCTCAACATCTACACGACGGAAAAAAGCGGACAAGCTAACTTGTTCGCAGGTTTACGACACGGACGAAAACTTCCTCCAGGCACTTGATACTCTGGAGATGAAGACCCTGCTGCCGATATTTCTATCTCTGAGCAAGCCGCAAAGCGAGAAAGCAAAGTATGTCGACCTTGGCTGCGGAACAGGGAGAAATACGCTACCTCTTGCTCAACATGCAGCAGAGGCATCTGTTGTCGGCATGGATCCATCGGAGAAGATGCTTGAGCTTGCGCGTAAGCGTACCGCAGAAGTCGGGAATGTGAAGCTGGAATTATATGATATGCTTGCATCTACCGGTCCGCTCGCAAGCGCACTGGAGGCCGACGGAATCATCTCGACGCTGGTGGTGGAACATGTACCGATAAAGGACTTCTTCAACGCAGTGACGAGCATGTTAAAACCCGGCGGCATTCTGTTAGTGACAAATATGCATTCTGAGATGGGCGGCATCAGTCAGGCCGGTTTTGTCGATCCACAGACCGGGGTGAAGATCAGCGGCACAAGCTATGCGCATAGTGCAGAGGAGGTTATCGCAGAGGCTGCTCAGTTTGGGCTGGAGCTGGTAGGAGAGATGAAGGAGGTAATGGTGGACGAGAAACTTGCTCCGCGACTGGGACCGCGGGCTTCAAAGTGGATTGGGATCCGGGTGTGGTTTGGAGGTTGTTTCCGGAGAAAGTGAGCAGGTGAGCTGGTGACTGGTGTAAGGGTATATGAGGATGATAAATGACGAAGTTATTATACATAAAAGAAATGACTCTCTTAATGATGAGCAAGGGATATATCCTACTTTCCAACGCCGTTTCCCCAAACGCTGTCTCTCTTTTTCTTTTTTTGCTAGAAGTAAGTATCCAAGAGTCGTTGACGGTGTTGAACAAGGTTTTCATGTCGGCTGAGATATGTTGCCAGCGGGTTACGCTGCCACCCGAGCGTCTGGTCGAGTATAAGATGGGTATATGCAAAAACGCTGGCATCAAACAAGCCTGGTTTGGCCCTGCCAAAGAAGAAGTTATCACTCCCTAGAACGACAGAAAGAGCACAGAAGGCACTCTTTGCTTCGGCGAGTAAGTCGTCTGCGTCGATATAGGGAGACGCCCGTTGCAGCTGGCTCCTGGCCGCCTCGCGAAGCTGATATGCCAGTACCATTCGCACCGCTGGGTTCGTTGTCGAAGGATTCACGTATGCTTTTCCTGCGATGGACTCGAAGTTGGAGCTATCTAAGTAGACAGTATAGAGCTATTATACACCCCAAGTCAGCAAGTCACTTCTTCGCATTTTTTTCTTTCTTTTTTTTTTTTGTTTAGGGCAAGGTGTCCATACCCAAGCGTCACGTATCCTATGATCTAACAGCGAAGTGTATACCTGCTCTCTCATACCGGCATCCATATCCTGGTCGACATTGGTGTGCTCATCTGCCCATTGCTGTAACTTGTTGGAAGGAACGGGGAGGACGCAGTCTGGCCCGGGGATACCCCCAAGCGTGGGGAGAAGGAAAGGCAAGGCTCCGTTTGGAGATGCATGGTTATTGGAAGGAATTGTACGGAATTGTATGCCGCAGAACTTGAGATATGCCTGCTCTTCCATGTCAGCAAATGCAGCCTATCAAGCAGAGAAACAGGAAGAGAAAGGAGTGAACCCTGACCTGCCACTTGAGACACTGCGGGTTCATTGAGGGCCTCCCCTTCCTAGCAGCCTGTGGACTTGTGAACACATACAACCGGTGCTCATCTGGCAGCTTGTTCGATATACTGCTGCTGGCTGGCGCCGTGTTGGGCGGATATGTCACAAGCGGGAATTGGTCGAAGACACGCTTGATGGGCAAGGGGATCGCAGGGAACCACGATTTGGACTGGCTGGCAGAGTCCTCCTCCGCCATGGCCACAGCTCAATGCCTTTCTTTTTCTTTCTTTCTTTCTTTCTTTTTTTTGTTTTCTATATATCTCGAGTCAAAGTCTTCAGAACCTCTCAAGCGTTTCTTCTATGTTGCTACTTATTTTCTAAAGCCGAGCTAAAGTCACGTGAGAAGCTATCGTCCATGGATGATGACTTGAGGCTTTCACGATAGCTCGACCATCCGCTACAAAGACAGAACTCAAGGCCGAGGGTTTTACTTCTATACCTCCGAGGAAGACACTGTCAACCTACGAGCTCTCATCCTGGAACACGATATCTACTCCCGTCAAACTGCGCTGCATGTTGTCATTACCGGCCGCGGAGCTGATGCAGTGCGGACACTGCTAAATGCGAGAACAGATTCCAAGAAGCCTGCCCGCAATGCTTAAGCGACGAGTGGGACAACTTATTGGTGATAGCTGCGATACACAGAAAAGGAAGCGCACCATTGTCAAGATGCTTTGGGATCATGGTGTGGCGCATGGTCTTCCAGTGTACATAGGCAGGCGCTCGATCGTCTTTCAAGTGTACACAAGTCGGTGACGCTTCGTCGGTCCAAGTTATTGGGCTTTGATGAAATTATGAGCGACCTTTGTGCCGGGCGGGCCTACGATGCGGATGAGGCGGATGCACAGAAACGCCTTGACCAGGCGTTGTTGAGAGCAGCGTTCCATAGGTAATACCAAACAGAATAGTGCCATACGGTGGTTAATATGTGTCTACAAAAGTAAGTAAAGGCCATCAAGCTATTGTCAGGCGTTAGGGTAAGGATATACCCAACATAGTGTTTCGGATAACACTGCCTTGCATATCAGTGCTTCTTCCTCCGATACTGTCAGTATGGGTTCTATGAGCGAGGCGCGGATACATATATATATCTTACAAACACCATGAAGAAAGAACCGTGGTAGGCGCAATGGTAAGACAGAGACGCTGCCTTTATAAAAACGCTACAACAATACGACGCCTCAGCCTTTGTCACAAATAATTTGGGTAGGACACCAATGCATAAACTAGCCCATTACGGAACATGTTCACTCTTCTGCTTTGCTTCCAACACTATGGCAAGCCTAAATGTTTTTAATACAAATTTTTGTAGGGAAACTCTGCTCTATGTGGCAACTAAGGGAAACCGGAAATCGTCAAGAGACTACTGGCGGACAGAGGTTGCACCCGTTATGTGCCTTCCTTAGGCGAGACAGCGCTCATTATCTACTCTCTCACAGGAATATTGAGGATTGGAGAGATTCTACAGGTCGATAACCTTCGCCTTAAGGGGTGAAGGCCATAGACCTAACGGAGCAAGGAAAGACTATTCTACACCGTCTTGCTGATATTAGCGCCAATAACGGGCATTACGACGGAGCTACAGTTCTAGCAGGACGTCTTATCAAACCCGGTTCAAACACTGAAGCGCGTGCCGTTGTACCGGATGACACATACCGGCATATGCTTAAGGGCTATTATCTCCGACTTGCCCTACAAGAGGAGCATCCACCCGCCTACAGACAGATACCACTGCACTATGCACCAAGTAACGGATTAATTGTTGTAGTAAAGACACTACTTATATCTTTGGCGACAATCCAGTTGTGGGAGATTGTGCACGCCTGCACTACGTGCTGTATATACACATCCAGCTAACAGACGCTCACGTACCATAACAGCGAGGCAGCAGATCATCAAGCTTCCACTGGCTCATGGTGCAAGTTAAAGGTGTGTATGGCTGGGCTGTTGTCCACCGGCTGTCCCTCTGAGGAAGGGCGTCTCTCTATAGTATCACTACTTTGTATACGAGAATGTTCATCAGATCTGATTAGCTACTTAGATCTGATTTCTTTGATCATATTTTGTTACTCCAAATAGTATATTCCGTATCAGGTTTAGTCCGCTTATCTAATAACTACGTCGATATCTTTTTTCGTCTTCTCAATATTAGTAGTATATTAACTAATTATTATCATATATACGGAGTACAGCGAGGGTCAAAAAAAAAAAAAAATAAAAGATACGAGTCAGCCATAAAAATAGGTTGCTATTATTGAACTCTTGCGAGCTAGTCTGGAATTGCTTCTCATTCGTTGCGTACTGCAGCACATATCCCTGCCATCACACTTCTCCCCCCCCCCCCCCCCGCCTCGCAGCAGCACCTTACACGCAGGCGTTGGTTATTATTAGCTAAACGAGCGAAGAAGGGAAAAGCAAAGAGAGAGGGAAAGAGAAGAAAAAAAGAGTCGCTTATCCGGATCTTTCTCATAAATCAGCCATCCTGTCGGTCAGCCAGAGAGTGACACTCTCCCATCCGTCCTGACGATCTGTGGCACTCGCTGAAGGGCCTGCCAGCACCCGCAAGCCCCTGACGCAACCCAAGTGGGAAAACGAAGGAATCATGCCTCTGGACGAGGAGGGGGCCAAGTGGTCATGGTTAGACGCCCTTTTATATACCAAAAAAAAAAAAAAAAAAAAAAAAAGCCAAGTTTGGTTCATATGTTATAATGCACGGGCTGACACAGATATCATAGTGAGCCATGCATTCGGGGGCATCGCTCGTCCAAGTGCCAACACTTCGACAGACTCATGATGAAGGTGCCCAAGGCAGGCCGTCCGCTTCAGAAATGTCCTCATCCAAAGGGTACCTGCAGCTGCCAGAAACTTTATGCATTCATGGTTAGAATACCGAAAGGTGAGCATATTATCATTATATCTTATACATCCTTCGGGGCTAATATGGGTTCTTAGGCTCTACTTGTCTATGTCGGCCGCTGTATAAAGTGCCAGCGACTGCCAGTGAAACAGAGCAGCAGCAACCACAACAGCAACCACAACTTCCTAGTAGTTCAACAGTGGCAGTAACAACGACGATGCCGTTGTCTCCAGTGACTCCTGCAACTCCCTCTGCGAGTGCAAACCGCATCCAGAAGCGCTCCAGACGTCAGAATAGTATTCAGGCCTCGGTTGACAGCGTGTCTAGGGGGCTAGGTATGCTGGAATCTCCAGTCCCGGTCAAAAAAGAGTCGTCTACTCCAACAGTCCCCAAGGTGAACGGTTCTACAATGGTAGAAAATGAAGGACCGGAGTCTGGCACATACCAGAAAACGAATGGAAGCCCTACTTCAACAGTAGCACCTGCACTACAAAATGGTGGATGCTGTGGCTCGAAAGGGCAGCCAAAAAACCACCAGGGAAACATACAGAAAGCTCCGGGTTACGAGCTGCCTCATCATACTCTACAGCCTCAACAGATCCAACCCAAGCTACTCCAGAAACAATTTACAACTCCTTCCACAGCATCAGAACCTGCATCTACTCCCGCCCCTCTCCTACTCAACTCTCTAAATAGTGAATACGCACAGTATGCCCCCAGCTCACAGACTGTTCCCACTACAACCTTTTCTTCTCCTGGCAAAAACCAGCAACATCAACAACCACAACAACAATTTAGCTCCTTTGACCAATTTGGGTCATCCGGCAGTTTGGCACTTGGTCTCCCAGCTAGTTTCAGTCCAGCCATGTCTCAGGTTGGATGTAAAGGCCACAACTGTGGTTGTGGGGATGGCTGCCAATGTCTAGGTTGCGCATCCCACCCTTACAATGACACCACACGGCATTACATCCAAGAAATGGGGTATATGATGGCGTCGGAATATGGTGATCAAGGTACTGAGGGAACTGACGAAGTCCAGTCGCCGACCTATAGTGCGCGCGTTCCCCCGGAACTGCACCTAGCTGGCTTCGGGCAAAGCCACTTCTCCCAAGGCTACGCCCATACTACACCATTCCAGCCTCATATATTCGGATATGGTGACGGTTCTTCAATACCGGCAACAATGTCTCAAAACACTAGTGATGGTGAACTGATGATGAGCCCTACCGCCTATTACACTGTTGAATATCCCATCAGTATGCTTGATTCATGCACAAATATTTCAGGGACCTGCCAGTGCACCATGAACTGCACCTGCGTCGGCTGCTTAATACACCAGGGCCACAATGGCATTTCGACTGAATCCTCCCCACCTCCAGACTTACCACAAGTAACGAGTCCGAACGATAATACTCCAGAGCCCATCTCTTTCTATTCAACACAAACGCAAACACCACTGCTTACACAAATGCAGATACAAGCAGGCGCGCAGGCGCATCTGCAAGCACACGTTCCGGTTTCTAATGGATATAATATACACTATCCCAGTCATACAGCTGTGGAGTCTCCACCTGTCTAAATGTCGGCAGATATGATATGGGCCAGGTGTTCCTTTCGATTCTTGTATTTATTTTAAGAACGGTGCGTTATACCCCTAGATAGAGCTATCGCCATGTTCCTTTCTCCTCTCTAAGTCACTATGATGATTAGCAGCGCGATGTTTGGCGTCTGCCCACAGATACATCTTAAATCTAGAAAGCGCAGGCACAATAACGTCTGTTTTAAAAAACATATACAGTACACTCTATTCTGTAGGAAGCGTTGATGTAAGTTAAAAAAAAGTAGTATTGTACAAGCCCCTGACGTTTCCCATGGGGGTTCGAGTGAGATAGATATATGGAGCTGCGCACCGATGAGAATAGGGCAAGACAAAGATAAATAGAAAGCGTTGAATGCCAGATTTCTGTGTATGGATAAATGCATGTGGTGTATTTTTTGGGCTTTTATTGTTAACTTCCCTGACCTCCATCACTTTCGCCATGCACCATTCCCCTGGCAGGCATGATTTAGGATCTTGGGAAGCGGAGGTTCTGAGACCACGGCTGATCGCCTCGTCGGAAAGAAGCTGTTGAAAAAAAAGAAACAAGGTTAGTAACCTTACGCCAATTGACTACCAACCAGCCCGTCTGCACATCATAGCAAAACAGATGGAAAGTGTTTTGAAGATCCATACCATCAGCTTCTTCCCATGCTCGGCCGGCACCGAAACCCAGACCTATCCACGCAGGCCATGCTCGTCTCTTGAACAGAAGGATCGAAAATACAACACCAAAACCGAGACCGACAGAGGATCGAATGAGGAGGGACGAAATTGCGCGGTCCCACTAAATAGTTTCAACCCATCAGCCATATAACCCCCTCCTGCTAGTCATATTTCCGTTTTCTAATTCTTGCCCCTTGTCTTCAAAGTCGAATACGTTAAATTATCCATGAGCCGAGGGGCATACCTTTTCGTTCAGTAGAGTCTCGCTGACAGGTTTGCTGGCACGAGGCACAGGCTGTGTAGATTCGACGGAGTCAGCCATCTTGACAAGGCCTAGATGGCATCTGTAAGCATGTGAGCCCAATTGACGGTTAGCCAGTATCCTACTTACCGTGGTGTGTGTGTCTGAAGGAGAGTCACGGAGGTTGTGTTTTGTTCTTACTTGCTTCGATTGGGCTTTCGTCAATTTGGACGTCGGGACGGCGTCGGAAGATCTTTACTCCTGGATGCATAAAAAATATCCTTGCAAGCTGACCATATCAAAAAAAAAACCATCGCGGAGTTGGGAAGAAGATAGCATGAGGTCGCCTTTACAAGGGGACAGTAAGTGTGGTTAGGATGGTTCCAGAGTCCAAGGTAGGGTAATGTCATTTGGTTTCCTTTTTAACCTTGAACTTTGCTAATTTTCTACAAATACAGACCCCCGCGTATCAAGCATTGCTTGCGCTGGAGAAAGGGATGTCAAGCTCTCCAATTGAACAGCTCATAGAGGCTGCTAGGGTTACCGGAATCGATCTTGAGAGCTATAGAGGCCAAACTTCGATTAGCGATAGTGAACTCCCCCCAGTTACGTCGGCTCTCTCTGCACCCAAGGAGGAATGGGTCCTGCGATGGTTGTTGAAGAAGCTAAAGGGCTCAACCGATGAACCGAACGAATACCGAAATAATAAGCAAGCTTGGATACTGTTACGTGCTCTCTTTCGACGAATTCCTATTAGGAGTCTGGCGTTTACGCTAAACGAAAATGATTTCTTATCTATACTTCGAGATTCCTTGGTGGCCTTCGACTGGGCGAGCAGCCAGGAAACCAATTCTCTGAAAGTAGACTATAGCTCAAAAGCAGGGGCACAGCTGAAACGTATACCGGAATCGGATTCTTCTACCCGAAGTCGGAAACGCAAACGGACAGACGCCTCTAACGTGGACATCCCGAAAGATGAGAGCACGCATGATTCCCAGTGTGATGATTTCCTTGCGATCCTCGAATCCGTCAATACTCTTCTAAAGCTCGCTGATCAGCTTCCTCAATCTAAGCTTTCACTAAAAGCCCAGCTTAAGCTTATCTTTCGCGGAGAGGCCAAAACAAGTGCTGTTATCCTAGGGATTTCCTGCAGTCATGCTCAGACTGCCGTTAACCGGGTCAATATTACTAGCGCAGCTTCGTTTACACAGCGACTTTATGTGTCTCTTATACCGGTGTTAGAAATATGGGAACTCCGTTCAGATCATTTTGAGAATGGGTCAACCAGTTCTAGTAATGTATATTTTATATCCTTTACCATTATCGTGCTCTTCCAAAAACTAATTTTCCTGTCAGGAAGTGTTTGTATCTCATGCCTTGGTTGGTGTATTGGGATTAATTAAAACAATACGCCAATATCCTGGAAGCCCGGAACTTGTCAATGGTCTCGAGAGATTGGTAGCCCTTCATACTGTCCTCAATCTCCGCGAAGCGTACTTCTCCTCAGAAGCCGTAACTTCCAGTAGTGAGAGCAACCTGAAGAAAGTGCGGCACCTCAGCAATGAATTTAAATCGAGGTTAGGGCCTGTTCTTTCTAGTGCGGATGCCAGCATTCTTCCCACACTCTTTGATATTTCTATCCGTGCTATGCCTAGAAATAATTTTCGACGGCAGCTTCACGAAACACCCTGGTTAGAATCGTTTGCTATTTGCCTTATGTCTCAAGCAGGCTACCCACTCAATGAAGACCAGGTCACAGGTTCTGTTACAGAGGGAGTTCACTGGTTACAAGAATTTCTGGATGTAGCTATCCATAGAAATCTCAAACTCTCCTTGGGGGTCCTCGTCCAAATAGCAAGCCGATATTCTGGTCTCTCAAACGCCCAGAATGGAATTGAATGGCACCTAATAGCTCGGATAGTGCAGCTTGACGTGGATGTGTTCCTACTGAATTCTGGCATAGAGCAGTCCGCCGTCTTGCTAAACTCCCTACTCAACGGTATAACAATTTTATCGCTCCAAAAATGCCCCGCCTCAAGTGAAATTCACAATGTAATAAAACGTGAAATTGTCATTCCACTAGCACGAGGATTTTTCAATGCTAGAGACGGGTCAGCCTTTATCCGAATATGGACCGAACAGCTTTCCCAAGTGGAGTCAGCGCGGCAGACTGATGAAAAAAACCTCTTGATTTCCATCTGGGAAGACGACGAAGTAGTCAAAGCTTGCGGGGGCTGTTTAGCAGTTTCAGGCGCTCAGCTTGACACACAGGTAGTGGATATCTTGGGCAAGGCACAACCAATTAAGTCTTCTCTACTTGAATCTTCAAGCGCATATTCTTATTTGGTTGTACTTGACTCTATCCTAATGTCCCCAATAAAAGGAGGTCTCGATACTATTTCAACTGTTCATTATGAGCAAACATTTGAAAAGTTATTCACCCTTTTATCTTCTAGTCTTCCAAGAGTTTATTGGAGATGGAGAGTATGGCGGTGCATACAAAACTCTGTTTCCCGGTACCCAGATTGCTCGGAAGCAATTCAGTTTGATATAAAAGGCTCATTGGTTCCTATGGCTCTCCGTAAGCTGGAACTCTTCGCTCAAAGTTGCAGCTCTATCTCACCTCAAGATTGTTTGGAGACTTTTATGTCTCTCGGTTTCCTCATATGTCTTTGCAATAAAGCATTGGGGGATTCTTTCAATGAGTATATAAACGGGGCAACCTATGCTTTACTACAAAACTTCAAACCTCTCTTAAGGTCCGGGTCAACCGCGTGGGATGGTCGAATGGAAACACTATCAACTCCGGCGGCTGTTAGTATTGCTTGCGGTGCCGCTTTGCTTTCCAACAGCTCGATTATGGCCCGGCTGCCCCCTAACACCCGGCAACTCCTATTTACTGGCATTATCTCATCCCTTGAGGTTGGCCCAGCCTCCACAATAAAAAGCCAACTCTCTGAAATTTGGAAAGATTTTCTGTCATCACGATCCACCTTAGAATTGTCTTCTATCGTGGATGATCTTGTCAATGTGATCTATGATAAGCTTACAAAAAATGGGGCTCCATCTAAGTTGCTAATCAGCAGTCTCCTGTATACCCCTACTCGCCTAATTCCCCGCTCACAACGTGGTTCAATTGCAGACCTTCTTCAATCCTTTTTCTTAGATGGTAAAGTCAAATCGGAGATGAAGTTGGACGCGTTATTGCTTATGACCAGGCTGGTGGAAGTTTCGAGGTTGTCAGCTCAAATAACCAGTGATGAGGATAAAATCTGGGAAATTTCACGTTCAGTAAATGTGGATAGTGAAGATAACGTTCAGTTACTTTTCGATGCTTTCAAAAAATTCCACGGAGTTATTATAAGCCGATTCGAAGCGGCACCTGGAGATTCCGTGACGAAGTTTATTAAGAACCTCTATTCAAGGGCAACGAAATCAGTGCCCAGGAGTTACCGAACTATGGAATATCCCCTATTTATCCTCTCCCTTTCGCTTTTGTACAAACATGAGCAGAAGCTCGACAGCAAGGAGAAGTTCGAGATAATCTGTGCCCTACGACAGAAAACGTTCAATGACCTTATTTCGGATCTACACTCCCTAGCCAAAACAATAAAGAAGGCATCTGGTGAACCCGATACTGTCAATTTAGCTGGAACTTTGTGCATGTTAGACACATTCCCAGACCTCCAACATGAGAGCAAAGATTTGCGGAAGAAGATTCGCAAAATTGAGGAATACATGTCTAAATACAATTCACCTGAACATTTAAAGAAACAAGCTAGACTACTTAGTGTGACCTCAAAAGCTCCAGGTGCCGACATTGAATCTCGCTTACATGACTACATGGCGCTATTTCCACTTGAACAACTGCACGGAAGGGATCAAAGAACCCTCGTCCAAAAGATAAATATTCAAGTATTGGAGATGGGAGAGGACGCAGTCGTTCAATTAATTCATAATATTTGCGAAGCGGAATTGCTTGAGGGAAAAAACGGCTACCGACTTCTATTGCTAGGCATGGCAATAGTTAGCTTGGATCCAATCCAAGACAGAGAATCTTTAGTGTCACGCGAACTGTCAACAGCTTTCACTAAAATTTCGGTAGCATTCTCCCATACGGCATCCATCGAGTCATTCTGCCTAGCAGCAGAATCCCTTGATACCATTCTTCGGTCACAATCTAGGTCTGTTACTCAATGGAACATAGACAATCTACTGGCCAATATATCCCTAATCTTATCTCCCTCTGGCCCACTAATCGATATTAAATTCGCGGGTACTATTCACTCCCGGCTCTGCAAACTGCTTGGTACCTTGTTTGGTCTATATCGACAAAAACTTAGTGGTAGATTCCACCTAGTTCTCCCGATAATGCAAGCCCTCTTACGGTGCTTATTCACCAGCAATAAGAAGGCGTCAGGCTCATCTGGAGCTGGGTTAGCTCTTCCAGCTTGGGTTATAGGTTCTTTTGGCCTTGAAGCGGAGCATGGCACACGGTTTGCCCGCCTCCTTAGCGCCCTCTGCGATCCAACTGTGTCCTCGGTCCAACGACATGGAGGTGCCCATTCACGGCAGGCATTGAATGATAATACAAAGAAGATGAGAAGTTTGGCAGGCCAGTATCTGCAGTACCTTGTTATGGAGTACTCATCGTGCCAATTGAAGGGGCATATTTCCCCCGAGATGAAAGCAGCGCTGATGCCCGGGATGTATGTGGTACTAGATGTCATGTCACAGAGTACAATGCGTGCCATGAACGCAGGGATGGATTCTTCAAGTCGTGCGGTGTTTAAGACGCTCTACGATGATTATATTCGATTCGGGAAGTGGGATCACAATTAAAAGTCTTCATTTTCTATTTGACTAGCTGCAGCGTTCTAGCATAGTGTCGGCCGGTTTGGTTGTACAGTGTACCCAAGTATATAAGCTAGGTTGCAATGTGTATAGACATTAGAAACAATGATACCATTAATGGCTGTGAATTTGATATTTTCCCTATACAGGGCGAGAGCGGAAGCTATAATGTGCGCCTGGTTATCCTGGAAGCAAGCTATTGACTCGGCAACCAGCTTCATATTCGTAATAGATGGTTCAGAAATTGGCAAGGCACTCAAACAACGTGTAACTACCTCCTTTATTCTGATGATTATCATTTTTGATGATGTTCTTCGAAGCTGTCAATCAGCCTGTATAATCGTGCCTTTTCTTGGGGGCCTCCGAATATACTGTCAACTCCTTTCCTACAAATTTCAAACAAGATAGAACGGTCAAGGTTGAAATTCTCCGCCGCTAGCAAATATTCGTTAGACACTGGGCTGCAAAAAAAGCCCACATCATCAGTCTGTCATTTATTAGAGTCAGCAACGCCATTCACATTCAAAGTTTGTAGGTTGGTTTGAAACCTACGCAGAGGATTATGGGGCACTCCTTGTGCCTCCAGTAGCTAAAATGATGATCTGGGTAGCTTCCTGTAATTAGTTTTGCATGTACGTTACACGATAAACATAGTTCAAGCCCTAACTTGCGCCGAACAATCTCGTCTTTGATATCGTCAGGGACGTTGATTACATGGCCAAGCCTATCGGGTTGAAAAGAGAGTAATGTCGTAAGCTCCCTCGGCGACGACGAGAACTCTACCTCTGCAAAGTGCAAAGTAACACCTAATCCGTTTTGTTTTGCTTTGGAAAATGCAGCTTTAAAGATGGATACGTCTCCTTTTGAAGGGTTCCCACCTAATTCAACCCCGACGACCCCACGGTGTTTAAACTGAATAGCAAGGTCCACAACGATTTCAGCTTCGGCGGCTGATTTCGTACGATCAACGGATAAAATAAGATATGTCGACATTGCCTCGTTCTTGAACTCATCTATAACCTCGAGAACTGTAGAGACGTACTTTTCTTTCGAGATTCCATGCTCTTGGCTTTCTCGAGGCGTTGTTCTCAGCTCAAGATATCGCACTCCATCATCCTGAAAGTCTTGAAGAACGCGTCTGGTGGAATAGCGTAGGCTTTCTAGGTCACTACATAGCAGATAGATCAAATTGGAAAAGACCTGAAAGAACCTAGTGTTTTCCTCTGTTAGTGTCGACATCAGTATATGGTATGGTTTCATAATTGATTTCACGTATAAGATAAGCGCCAGATAATTTAATCGAGACTGAGAACATATCAAAGCGATGTGATAATGAAGAAAACACGTACGTCTTCAAAGAATAGTCAACTTTCCCCGGCGGCATGGCTATCATTGGGTCGGGAATTTGTAAATCGGAGTCTCGTTCCCTTTTACGCAGCCATATTTCCCGAAGACATTCCCGTGTTATGCTTCCACTTAAGTGTGCATGAAGCTGATTTATGTTTAGTTCAAGCAGTCATTGCAGTTTTGCGTCATATAGTGCGGGAGTCTCATACCTCTATCTTTGGAAGGGCCTTGGTGAAAGCAGCAGTAACTTCAGTAGATTTCTCCATTATTTCGATAGACACACCGTACAGAGTATATCATATTTATCGCCTTTTTTTTTTGGATATGCTCATTTACAGGCCATGGACGGTGGAGTCAAATGAGTTTGAAGTTGAAGGTTTGCCTGCCAAGCTTATTTTAGAGTAATCACGTGAGCACTATAACTTCCCGTTGCCAAGACCTCTCGTTTTTAAGGTTTGATCCGAGGGTCTAATACATAGTAATTTACTCAGATGAAAGTCTATAGAAAGCTTTGTATGGAGTACGTTAATTCTCGAAAGAAAGGAAAAAATATCTCAATTTTAACTGCAATAGCAAGGTACATAACGGGCTTCTGAAGTACGATGTTAACTTCGTACCACTGGTTTGAGCTTCACCATAAGAGGTTCTTTCCTCCATAGGCCGTATATACTTTGGTTCCTGGTCCAATTTGTGGACTCCGATGAAAGTTCCAGATCAAAATTCCACAGAATTCGCGCAAAGACTAGTCGCATTTCACCCTTTGCCATCCTATAAGAGGGAATAAGTTAGTACCTTAGTGCCAGTATGGTACGCCTAAAGACAAGCACTTACCCCTGGCCTATGCAATTTCGAGGACCAATTGAGAATGGCTGGAATATCTCCCTGGAGTCATCCTTAAATCGGGGATCATTAAGCCAGCGTTCGGGGATAAACTCCTCGGCACGTAGAAAGTTACGTTCTGAGTGATATGCAGCCAGCTGAGAAATGGAAACAACGGTCTATATATAATGTCAGTAAGCAATTAAACTCAACCGTAGTAATGGATTATCGCGCGTTGGGCAGATCCATGGGATGATGTATGTGTCAACTTTCTGGGGTAGGATAAATAACGTACGTTTTCTGGTATCCAGTAACCGCATACAGATTTCCCCCCTTTAGGAATAGTGCGAGCCATTATGGCAGGCACAGGAGGGTATGTTCGCAATGTTTCAGTAAGGACAGCAATCAGATATGGCAAATTATCCAGTTCACTTATCGTAATATCTTTTTCTTCTTTGAAACTCGATCGGACCTCTTGAACTAGGCGTTGGTAAATTGAGGGGTTCCTGAGGAGATAAAAGGTGGCACCGCTCAGTGCAGTCGCAGTAGTTTCACTTCCGGCAAGTAGGAGGGTTGAGGCGTTGGACGTCAGTTCAGCGTCGGTGAAATCGCCTCTATCATTATGAGACAAAATATACGACATAAAATCTCTCTTGTCAGGGTCCCCCTTTTCAACTCTTTGCTTTATCGTTTCGAAGGCAAACTTTTCAAACTGTAGAACAGTTTCCAGCGCATCGGAGCGCACAAAGAAGCGTTGAAAGATGCCAAGAAGTGGGAGGCGTTTAAAAGGCTGAGTGCGAATGAGATGGAAAAAGAAATCATTAACCATGGCGATCACGTAGTGAGGCTTCCTGGTCTCAAGGCACCCGAATGTCTGGCCAAAAGCCAAGTCTCCAATAATGTCAAAGGTGGTCCAGTTATATCGTTTTGTCATGTTTACCGGCTCCGATCCATGTTCTTTGATATGTAGTTTCAGTCCAGATATCAGGAGGTCTACAAGGCGCTGCATGATGCCTTCCTGGCCTCGCAATGCCTTTTCTGAAAACGCATGCGAAAGCATGCGGCGATGCCGAGTGTGCTCCGTAACATCTTCATCGGCTATGCCAAAACCACGCTTGCTTGCAACACGGAACGAATCGTCTCTTTTAAACTGGCCATTACGGCTTTTAGAGCCGTAGATCTCTTTCCACACCGAGGGGGTATTGAATGAGACATCTCTGGGCGATGTCCGGACTACAGGCCCGTACTTGTCATGAAGAGTCTTCAAAGTGAATGGCCATGTCCCCCAGTAGGATCCCCATAGAAAAGGAATTTGCGAGACGGCATATAGTTTCGGGCCTGGAATCGACGCCATAGGATGAAGGAATAAGTTATAAACAACCGTTCCAATGGCGTAAAGTATCTAGATTTGACCATTCAGCGACTGATGAAGCAAAGCCAGGTGTGTTTGACATACCGCAAGTGAAACCAGAATGGCACACCCATCAGCGACCGTTAGGTCTACTAAATGTAGAGGAGCCATGATGCAGTAATACCCTAGATATAAAGAGGCGTGACAACCTTACTATAATCTAGGGAGGAGAACAGAGCCAACAGATCGCTTGAGAAGGAGGACCTGAGCCTTTAAGTAGTTATCCTCGAGGCTATGGGGACGCTTCGAGGTGGAAATCTTTGCATATCAACCCGGGGACCCGGCCGCCTGACACAAAAAGTTTTATGCCATTGTATAACGAAAGCCAGTGACCGCCCAGGCCGTCAGGATGGCTTGCTGCGCATCCGCTTCTTTGTTGCCTGGCGGGGGGGAGATAGGTATATAACAATGAATGGTGCATATGCAACTTTGAGCAGTTAACCTGGCGATCTCCGGGGCGCCGCTACGCCTTTGGTTTCAAGACATCCGCTCTCTAGCTATAGACAAGGATATGGAATAATGTGAATACCCCAGAGAATCAAACTACTGGGGGACTCTGGAATGGCCTTGTCTTTCAATGGCTAGTGATACCCGTTCGTGGCGAACTTGTATGCGGCTTGTAGCACCACCACCATTGGTGTACTTGTGTATGCATGTACTCCGCATAACTGCTCCATATACACACGTAGTGAGTAGTTAACGAGTTGGTGAATAAAACGGCGACGCTGTATCGTCAAGTGTAGTTACTCTCGCAGTCTGCGGTTTCTTCTATTGTCGGGTTGTCTCTGGCTGGGATAAAATCCATCCTGCGGAAGTTCACCACGATATAAACCGGCTGGCAGTTCCAGGCAGCCCGTTAAGCTGTAAGGAGTCAATTCTGGAACAAACTGTTTATTAATAAAGGCTTGAAGGACAGGGGTGGACGTTTACATGCTTCGTACTCTGTATATACAGACAGTGCTTTGGATGAAGCGGATCAATCCAAGAGAGTAGAAAAGAACTCCCGGGCTCCGACACACCCAGACACACCCAGACACACCCAAGAGAGAGAGGGTGGGGGATAGCCAGAAGCTCTTGTTAGCCAGAAGTTCTTGTTGGTCATATTATCAGGCATGTAAGTTACAGCCACATCTACACATATTTCCGGCTCTCTTACAACCGAGAATTGAACGTAAAAACTCCATGCATGGTTACAAAAGTCGGATTTCGGAGCACTGCTTTGCCGGAGGTAATGCGCATGGTATTTACATGGATAGCCTTGAGCAGACAGAGTGTTCAATGCCGGACCAATGGACAAGGGTGGTACATGCTGATGGTTGTGGGAGCCTGTCTATGCAACAAGGATGTCTTGTCATGGAAGATAAGTCAAATAGAAGCCGGGAGAGCCTCAACAAAGGACAAAGAAAGGGGAAGAAGAATTGGCATTTCTACTATAGCTAAGCAAGCGTAGAGACGCAGGAGGCTAGGCTGATTGCTTTGAATAAACATAGTGGAGAACGGCCATACATCGGGCTGCCAGCAGTTATAACAATAATAACGTAGAAAGTAAGCTGATTTAAGGAAATAACTCATGAGGGTCCATTCTGGCATTTTGCGCCTTGGCATACATACATATATAAAGCCTAAGCCTGTCGTGAGGCGTCAGCGTTACTTATGTACAGCGAGTTGCGTGCCATAACAAGGTAATATATGATTTGATTTGATGCCACATAGACCGATCACATATTCAACTCCCCCGGCGGAAGAGAGGGGGAGGTTAGGTGAGGCCACGAGCAAGTAGTAATGATATCGCCATCAAACCGCGCATGCCACACAGGCCGCGCGAAGCCATGCGATCTTTGAGCCTGCGGGGCGTCTGGCTTTCAGCAGCAGCAGGTGTAGCAGCAGCTCCACATATCGCGAGCTAGGTATGGATAGCTTCTATCTCTTTCATTCAAATTGTTTTTTTTTCTGTCCCGCCCCTTTTCCCCCTTTTCTGATATCAGTTTGCGAAAATCCGTAGTTTCATGTCCACACCACCGGTTGCAATAACACATCGGATCTGGACATCTGGACCCTCGGTTTTCTTGCTATCGCCGTTTCTTCCATCGCCTGCTCCGTGGCCCGTGGGTGTGTCCTTGAATATAGATGGAGCCCATCTTAGACAGGTAATGAACCGTTCATGTGCATCCCTCATCACCTTGATGCATTTGCCTTCTTGGCTTAGATCCCAACACCGTAATGTCCTGTCGTCCGACACCGAAAATAGATATTTGCCGCCAGGATGGAAGGCCAGTGCCCGTATCCAGTTGTCATGTCCTACCAACGTCATCAGGCAAGTGCCTCGGGCATCCCACAGCTTGATCGTCTTATCTCGAGAACCAGTGGCCATAAATTCAGCCGTGCTACTGGCAGCCGGGGGTTTCTTTAGCCCGGTGAGCGGTGAAAGATACTGGTATGAAGAAGACGGCGCGAGAGCACAACACTCATTAAAGTGATCGTGCCCAAACATTGTCACTTTGCTTTCCGGGTTCGAGACGGAGATATCCCATAGCCTAGCAGTGCTGTCGTCTCCGGTGGAGAGCAGGAACCTCCCGTCCGGAGAAGGATAAACGTCTCGTACCCAAGCAGTATGGCCCTGTAGTGTTCGCACGCAGTATCCGGTGTTGACATCCCATATCTTTAGAGACTTGTCTCTACTTGCGCTGACCAGTAGGTTACCCGATGACGGCGCCCCCGAAGCACCCAGGGGTATAAATCGAACCGCACTAACACTGTGGTCATGGCCCAGCAAAGTCCGTATGTTCTTATACTCGTTCGCGGGATCCCATAGTTTAATGCTTAAATCTGAGCTGCACGACGCCAGGAGTATGCCGCCCCTCGGCCCTCCAAAGTCCACGTCCACGACCGCGCGCGTGTGACCCTTGATCGTCCGCTCCAGCTCTCCCAGCTCCCAGTCCCATATCTTGATAGTACAATCATCAGACCCCGAAGCAATGGAGGAGAATATAGGATGAAATGCGACGCTGTTAATGGTGTCTCGGTGTGATTCCAAAGCGTGTCGAGCAGGGGCGGTCGGGATCCAGGAGGCAGGGTCCTTGTTGCGTTTAGCGAGGGAGATAGGTGTCGCATTATCAAGCTCAGTCTGTAGCGCCGACATCCGGGATTCAAGGTCCATAATCTGCCGGTGGAATCGACGGTTAGAACATGCTTTCATAAAAGTATAAATGCGCAAGAGATCCAGATATGTAACGACGTGCCTTTTTCTGTAGCCGGACTACGCTCGTCCATTTCTTCTCCAGCAACGTCTCATATTTCTTCGCCGTTGCCGTGTCAAACGCATTCTCACTTAGATTCAGCTCCGCCCTCAAGGTGTTGGCCGTGTTCAGTAGATTATTAGCAGTGAGGTATGCTATGATTGATTTATGACTATGCACACGCCCGGTTAGCTTCCTGATCTATCCCAGCATTGCCAGCAACCCATAGGCCATGACAAGCCAGCACCTACAGCTCTTCAGCTTGCCGATTGGTCAATATCGGACTCATCTTCAGCGGCTCTTATCACGGCAAGGGCCTTATTCGTTTCGTCTTCCCAAAAGGCCCAGGGCCCCCTCTATGAAGGGTCACTTTCGGCTGTTTTTTTTCCTCCTTTTTGCCGCTAATGATGGTCGACGTCAGGACAAGCTGGTGGGATAGCGTGGGGAGGGGGGGGGGGGGGGGGAAGGAGGGTTGAGTAGTTGGGTAGTTATCTGTGGTCTAGGCGCAAGCTGGGGCGGTCAAGGGGAAGCAGGACGCAAGCGCGGAGCTGTAGGCCAAGGGACTAGGAAATGCCTGAGGGAGCAGAGATGTCGGTGACGACTTGGGCGAGCTGGAGTGTCTGCGGCGGTTGTTCGTCTCTTGGGCCTTTGGGCAAGTTTCGTCCTTCTTCTTCGTTATATTAAAACTGGCTTTGCGGGAACTAAATAACTTGCCAAAAGAGGAACAAAAGCGAGATCTCGGCAGAAAGATGTTCCGGCTTATATAAGCAGGACGGGACAAAATATAGGTACAGTTGTATAGATACATATATATTCTACGGCAGCACTGGCGGTTGCTACACTTGGACAAGGTTACATATTATTAGCCTAGGTAGCATGGAGCATATAAGGGCATAATAGTATATGACATCAACAGGTCGGTTTTACCAGCTTATGGAGAGAAGATGTCGGACATAGTCACCAAGGAGACACCCGGTGTGTCAAGAAGATGGATCATACCGGGCATGAATAACTCTTGCCACGGATGGTGGCCTGAGAAGGCTGGACTGAGAGGTACATAATGTACTCGCCCCGTCAGTTGGGTATAAATATCCTAAGCTTATAAAAGACAGATCCGACGCTGCAGCTCATGCAGGGTAGGTAGGGGGCTATCGGCCGCAGCCTCCGCCTCGGTGCCCTCTCCGGGCGAAAAAAAAAAGATAAACTCAAGAAGCGAGCGTTGGCTCAGCGCGGTTGGAACATGTTGGGCACAGAGAGTCATACCGGCATGCTGGCCGCTAGTGAGTCGACCAGCCTGCCTAGTGAGGCGGGAAGGTTGCCTGGGTGGCTTCGTCGTCTCCAGTACACGAGGTTGTATCGAGTTTCTCAGGCGAGTGGATAATAGCGCAACGGCCGGCAACAGAGGCCAAGCTGTTCCGTGACAACGTGGCTGTGATGCATTCGATCGATGGAAGAGCCTCCGAGAGGATCGTTGGCCATCACGAGACAACGTGTGTTCTCCCAGCTTGCTGAAGGAGTAGGCAGTTGAATAAAAGTGATCGGTAGTATTATATGCCTTATACAGCGTCTGCATCGTACATGGTAGCCTGGGCAGAGCTGTCATCCGTTGCTGGATCTTCCCTCCTCCGAAGCAGCCTATCTCTAAAAGCACCCATTCAAGGGAAGACAGCTCAGCACCTTTTTCCTTTCTCTCCCTCTAGGGAGGTCCAACCTAGGGTGAGGTTAGAAACACGGTAAGCCCGTAACATGTCGTCGTCTTCAGGCCTGGTCATGGTCGAGACGCCTGGTCGACTGACACGACACACATCAACTCATGTAGATATTCATCATGGCTCGTCGTCTGCCTCAAGATACCAGTGCCGTCACCCTTTCTCCTTGGATCCCTTCAATTCCCCCATGTCTGAGCAGTAAATAACTTGTCTTTTTGACTTGAAAGATCGATATTTTTCCTCTTCTGGTCGTCTGTTTATAACTTCCACGTGACTTCGCCAGGGAAAAAAGAGAAAAAAAAAGGTCGGTTTCGCTCTCGCTCGCTCACTCACGCTCACTTCTCTGCCTTCTGCCTTGTTTTTTTATTTTTTATTTTTCACTGCCACCCCCGATAAGACCACGCAAACCGAAGATGTAAAGGTCATGGCTTTCATGGAAGGCTCAGGGATATTTATATTAGCTTTAGGGATATATATATCGGTTTAGTAGCTACCTTTAACTTTAGGGATATCTATATTAGCTTTACCTTGCGTATTGTATCTGCCTGGTGCCTTTCATCGATCACGGGTTCACCACCTAGGCAGCCCTTTTTCGCCTCCGACATGTCTATCTTTAGAGTCAGACCACTACTCATCTCTTCCTAAGGATCTTCCTAAGGAAGAAACGAAGCGATCCTTACAAAGCGCTGACTGAAATAGCTAGTGGTTATATGGGGGGGGGTCCGGGTGGTGTTATAACCCGGGTTACTACGTACGTTATGCCAAGCCGCAGTGTAACCGATTATGTAAGCAGTTATAGCTTTATTGCGTATTACCGCCACTCAGGCCTCTTAGCCCAGCTCTGCTCTACTCTGCTCTACTCTCTCTACTCCCCCCCCCTGTACCCCTGTATATTTCGTACATACAATGGGCTAATGCGGCCAAATAAGTGAACAGATAGGTATTTACCTTACTATATACCGCATACCCTATTTCCGACCTTTATATTACCCCCTTTCCTCGTCCAGAATGGACCGTGCAGACGGCAGCATGAGTGCCCTGGACCGGCAGTCCAATATCAACGTTGCCCTGTTCGAGAACCAGGAGCGTACGCTCCTATATACCCAAAAGAACCGGCCTAAGAATACGCAGATCGCGTACAGTGCCCGGCAGGAGGAGTGGAGAGTATATACTTCCCTTTCTTACTACTATCTCCCGTCTCTTATCCCCCCGGCCTGGCTCCCTATCAGGCTGATATATATATATCCTTATGTCCCACTGCCGCATGTCTACAGGCTGACTGTACGGTATATCGATCGATTCCAATCCCAATAGGCATGGTGCCAAAGGGTTGGATTTGCGGACGGAGAGATTGTGTCCGAGCCGAAACTAAATATGTTCTTGCAGGAGGAGGTTATGTACAGAGAAATCAGGCCATCTCGATATAAGAAGAGCCGTACGAATATAGAGGGGGAGTCCGTTAAACAGACGCTATCAGAGGCATCGATCAAGGCGTACATTGCCGCTCTGGTGGACCTCTGGGGCGTACAGGTCAGCATGAGGACAAATACCCATGCATCCCCCAGGGGTGCACTGGTAAAGGGCCTGATTCGTACACGCAGACAGCAGGAGTCAAAGAGGAAGAGGGAGCAGTACGAGGACCGTGGCCTCAACTCCCTTCAGGATGGATATACCTCTGCTGAATTCGTACGGCTCATCCGATTCTGCTGGTCCTCTGGGTACAACGTTTCTGGCCAGCTGGAGCCGTTCCTCCGTACGGCGGCCGACCTTCTCCTTGCTCATACCCTTCTCCTCCGTGGTGAGGTACGGCGTAAGGTTCAAATGGCCGACCTCTTTACCCTGACTCTGGATAATGAGGGCCCAACTCCCTGCCATGCCATGGTTGTACTTATAGATAATGGCAAGACGAACCAGGATGGCCGCCGCGAGTACGGCACTGCTGTACGGCATAAGAACCCCCTTCTCTGTACGATGGCCAGTATTGGCTTCTACTTCTTTATGCGCTGGAATATTATGGGGGAGACACCACCCAACTTCCAGCGCCGGGAGCTCTGGTACGACCTTCTTGTCATCAAGGGCCAGAGTAATGTCAAGCCAATTGCGTACGAGACCCAGCTGCAGTGGTCAAACCGTGTGTACAAGGGGATCGGCCTTGGGATAAAGAAGAAGACCCATGCTGGACGGTCCCAGGGGGCCAAGTTTGCTGAGTTGGCAGGAGTAAATGAGGGCCAGATTCGAAGGGCTGGACGGTGGAATTCTGACTCTCTTACAACTTCCTATCTTACTAATATTCCCAGGAAGTTCGTACGTGCAATGGCAGGCTTCCAGCCGGTAGAAACAGGGGCGTACTATCTGCCGCGTACAAAGATTGAGCCGCCTGCATCCCTCAAGCAGGCACTCTGGCCTTGGGTCGATGAGTGGCTGCTCTGGCAGGCCTCGTACACCGGCTCTGGCTCTGAGGACGTACAGCTGCCTCCAGAGTCAGTGAGGTTCGATAGTGGGAAGGTGGACCACGGGGATCTTGCCTCGCAGGGGTTCCTCTATCTGCTTGACTATCTTCGTACAGTCATTCTGCAGGACTCTGTTCTATTTATGCAGGAGTTCCCCGGCCATCCAATATGGAGCCACTCCCTCTTTGCACGGGATGACTACCTCTGCTTCTCCCAGCTTGTACGAGACTCCCTGATAGATGTGGAGGAGCCGCAGGATGTCCAGCTTCGCCGTACGGTTCCTGCCATTGCCACGCGGCTGCAGACCATTGAGCAGTCCATTGTGCAGACTCTTAAGGTATCAGAGGAGCGGAATGTTGGATTCCTACAGACAATTGATAGGAATATCAAGGATATAGTGGACGGTACAGTGTCTTTCACCGTACGAGCCAATGCTCCAGGCTCGCCTCTGTCCGCTGCGGCCACTGCCACCGCCACTGCCGCCTCCACTCCATATGCCACTCCTAGGTGTATGCATGGAGCCATTCCCCATCCTTCCTTGTCCCCTTCCTGCTCCCCTCACCCCCCCTCTTCCTCTGCTGTAGCAGCCGCTCCCCATACTGGCCCCCCGCCCCTTTCTATGGGCTTCTCTCAATCCCGTACGATTGGGACGTTATGATCTCTGGCGAGAGTGGGCTGAGGGCCTTGGTGGCCGGCCGTCGGTACGGAGCATGGAGGAGGCATATGGGCCTAGATGGCGCCGCCACCGTCCTGGGGAGAGCATGATGTTCTCCCGCAGGAAGGTAGTGGTTGATGAGATCGTACGGAGGCAGCGCGTACAGAAGAAGAGCCTGTCCGTTGTTATTGAGGAGCTGGAGACAGTACGGGTAAAGCATGGCTTCTCATTAAATGCCTTGGTCAAGCACCTCAAGGAGATAAGGAAGCTAGCCTAAGGGAGTCAGTATAGGATATCTAATATAGAATATAGAATATGGATTGGTGTACGCTACTCTGTTCCTTACCGATATATATTTTTAAATAGGATTGGCCTCTGGCCTTGATAGATATACGTAGTAATAAAAAAATACTCTTTTCTTATACTTATACTCTATATATTAAGGTGTTGCTTGTACGTTGTTACTAGAAGAAAGGCTTCCTAATCGGGTTAGGCTGTACACGCTCTCGCTACACGTTGATATCAGCTTTGGCCTCACCTCCTCCCTCTTTTCTCCTTCTCTTCCTTCTCCTCCTTAGCCTATTCCACGTACACGTCCGGTAAGTCATCCCTTTTGGACACTATTCTATCCTCTCTGTACTCGTTTCATCGTCCAGAGCCGAGCTGCAGCCTATCCTGCCATCTAGGCCACGTCTGGGAGTCCTTGTACTGATATCCGGCCTGGGAATATGTGTACAGAATAGAATATCAGGTATGTTATGCCCTCCCCCTCCCCCCTCCCCTCTCCCCCCTCCCCCTTATCTGCCCTCTGCCCTCTGTACGATGCAGCAGGCATAGATATAGAGAGGGAAAGGGGGGAATAAATACTATTTGTACAGCCATAGGCCATAGTATACTAACTAGGTGGGTATAGGATAGATTCCAATCAATTAGTACCCCTATACTCTTTCTCTCCTCTTTTTTTTCCTCTTTTGAGATGTAAGTACGGCCTATTATCTATAATATCCTATCTATCCGTCCATAATATAGTATATATTAGTAAGGATATACTAATAAAAGATGGGATAATAGGCCTTTTAACAACAACACTGCTGGGGACGGGATGTAAGTTATATATCTAGCACCCTCCCCCACCCTACTCCGCCCCTATCCCTATCTAATACTGTACAATGCACGGCACGGGTATACTGACATGGATATAGGGCCCTTGTGCTGTACGACCGCCAGATCGCCCGGATGACGGACACGCCTGGTATCCTCAGGGTCGGTGGCCAGGAGCTTGCCCCGTACGTCCACAATGACTTGGGCCGTGCGGTATTGTCCCTCCCGGGACTCCATGTGCGCTATGTGCCGTACAGCATAGATGCACGGCAAATACTATCGCATCGGGCCTCGTACATTAACGGCCTGCTGGTCCAATCCAGAGGGAGGCCTGAGGTGCATGCCTGTACCGACTGTCGGGGACGTACAGGTCTCAGGCCTTTCACAGAGTGCGTCCGGCTCCCCGGCCACTTCGGCGGAGCATGTGGTAACTGCAAGTGGCGCGATCGTGCCTCCCACTGCTCCGTACGGGACGAGATACAGCAGGCACGTACGGAGGTCATAGTCCTGGACGATGACTCTGGGGATGACCGCCAGGTCATTGACCTAACGGGCGATGGGCCGGTACGACGGCCAAGGGCCAGGATAACTGGAGGAGGAAATGGGTCTTCGGCCAGCAGGGCCATTGTGCTTCTTTAAATGGGTAAGGACATGATTTCATTGATATCTTTGGACTGAGTGACTGCGTTCCATTTGGATTTGGGGCTTTTGCCCTACTGCACCCATCCCAGCCGTACGGGCCCTGTGTACGGCACCCTGGGCATGGCCTGCACCTCTCCGTGGTGCCTGGGACGAGTAGTCGAGCTTCAATGTACGCCCTCAGCCTGCATCTTGCAGTGCAATGATGGATGGGCAGGGAGCATGTACAAGAAGAGCTCGATGAAACTAAGCAGGCCAGGCCTTATATAATGATTACATGTACGTTGATTGATTGGATGAGCTTACTTGTACTAAAATTAACCTGAGGCATAACTTGCTGCTCGCCAAGCGGCCATATAACCCGGTTATATGGGGGGGCGCAGGCGTACGGCAGGCAGTTGTAACCGGGTTATATGGTGGGCAAGTTATAACCTGCGCTAACTTACACCTTCTATACCTAAACTTATCCATAGGATCTTCTTGTCCAGCCTGCCGTATAATTTTGAGCCGCAATACGAGCGAGGCGCAAGTATATATAAAGAATATAATACTCGCTCGTTCGCTTGTAACTTTGTACCTGCAACCTGCGGTCCCGTTACTACTACTATCACTTCTATCAATCGTCCAGCGTCCTTGAAAATAAAATAACAAAAGATTTTTAACTATGTGTTGAAAGACCTCCCAGGGATAGTCTACGGTATTATGGTTGAGCGAGTCGAGTACTATTTGCTTCCACGAAGTGAATGGAAAATCAGAACGCCCTCGGCCACTCCTCCTCTTGAAGAAATAAAGATGTCTCAAAGGGCCTCGCCCGTATCTGCCACCGCTACGTCACCAAGGCCGAGATTGGCCGTCAAGCGAGCTCACGACCCCCCCAGGAATCAGGACGGAAACATTTTCTGCGACCACCCGGACTGTCGTGGTGATCCTCCGGTCTTTCGCCGCCCTTGTGAATGGAAGTAAGTCATCTTTTCTTGCTAATCATGCTTCCAATTCTGCAGTGATACTGACTGTCCTACACAGTAAGCACATGGACAAACATGATCGGCCATACAAGTGCAATGACCCTGACTGTGCAAAGTTGCCGGGCTTTACGTACTCTGGTGGCCTGCTCCGGCACCAGCGTGAAGTGCACCGGATGCACACGCAGGGGAAGAAGTTAATGTGTCCTTACTCTGACTGCAACCGAAGTTCCGGTAAGGGTTTCACGAGACAAGAAAACCTGAAAGAGCATATCCGCCGTCTTCACAGGTCTGAAGACCTTCCTCTTGCACTCAACAACACCACCTTACCGCCTCTCTCCCGAACTTCTTCTAGCACTATTATTATTGCGGGGATATCAGCCCCAGTCACTATTCCGTCTGTGGTTAATGACCCTCGGGTCTTGCCCCCTATCTCACTACCTGTGCACCATCCACCGAAACGGAAGAGGACCTCCGCCACGTCTTCAGTATATGTATCTGAAGAAGAGGAGCGCCTCGAAGTGCGTGCATTACGCGACGAGTGTCTCATCTACGCGCGAGCTAGAATACAAAGGCTGCCAATAGATGAATTAAAAAGAGAATGGGCGAACTACGACGACTACTTCGTGATCCATGATTCCTAACGATAACATAAATCTTCTCTCCAACTTGACTTCGCCCTGCAGGCTACCGGGCCAGCTGCAAGGCTTTCACCTTTTACATCCCCCCTGGTCAGAGGTAGAGGTTCTTTTCTCCCGATATGAGTTGATCTTTTGGTGACATGGCACGTAATAAATTAATGACCAGCCCTCCCTCCTCTTGGTCAATTATTAATATAATACGGGCTCCATTTATGTACTCCTTTTCTTATACCCGTTAATAAGACTGTAAATAGATCACCAGACTGCACAGAGGCCCACATACCTATGCATATCCATACATACATACACCAGTCCACTTAATATTTACCGTAAACAGTTTGGCGTACAAGCCCACCCTCCTCAGAACCAGCTGTTTCATCCCAAGTAGCCGCATGACACGAGCTGCAGAGCCTCATCTTCCATGGCGGCTTAGCTAGCCCGATGCAGGCACCAGCCTCGTATAATTCGACCTCAGCTTCCCAGCTAGTGACAGGCTACAGGAGCGAATCACCATCTTAAACAGCGCCCTAGCGTTGACTATCGAAAGAAATTATACCACAGGGGCTCACATAAGGCGGCCGCAGTCTCCGTCCTCCGCTGCTCCTCCATCCGTCGATCCGCGCAGCTGAGGACGAGCCTGGAGATGCTTAATCTTTCTCTGTTTCTTTTTCTCTCTCCCCCCCCTGTTTGTCCTCCAGCCACAAGTCTTGAAGTACTTTGTACATTACTATGTAGTGAGGATTTGCTCGATATGAGTTACAGTAGTGTATATTTGTATACTTGTTTACGAGTAGGCTGGGGCTGGCAGGGGTTCCAATATGGTGATTGAGCCACCCCCTGTCTCCTTCATCGGACGGAAACATCACCCATTCACAGAGAAGAACCGGCCATGCTGTCGATATATCGTATGCGATCTTGATTTGCCCCGTACCGCTTACATCGTTGGTTCAGCGTTTTTGTATTTACCCGAAACAACAATTCTGGAGCTGAGCGAGTTAACTGCTTATGTCATCAACTGGTGCCTAGCGTTTATTAGTCAGCACATACAGTTGCCTACTACATATTATGTAATGTCACTATTGGCGATGTGAATCGAATGGGAGTGGATGACATAATCCAACACATACCATTTTTGTGACATCAACAGAAGAAAAAGATACAAAGTCGACCTTGTTCATATTCACAAGCTCGAGGAATGTTGATACTGATGATAAATTGGGGTTTCCTTGTTCTATTCACGCTAATGGTGAAAAAGCGACCGACTAGTTACTAAGAATCCACAGCTGGGGACAAGTCTTTCTACCTGACCATCACCCCTTTGAACGTCATTCACTGGTTTCTGCTTACGCTTTGCTATTAAAGGGAGAAGAACCTGCCACTTTACTACATATATATCTCTCTGCCTTGTTCTCTTCCCTTGCTAGTACTATTCACCTTTTTTTCTCCTTCCTCTATTGATCTATACATGCCAGGAGGGACATCAACGGTTCCCGTTATAGCAGTTCCATGGCCTCCTCAACCCCGCAGTATATTGCCAACCAGCAATATACCAACGCTTGGTGGAGTGGCCTGGCAGACAGTGTTTATTCAGCTATAGAGATTGCTGAATCCCAGCCTTTAGCTATACCTAGCTCATACGATCTCCCACCAGTGCAATATGCCTGCCCGGAATTCATCAAGTTCCTATCTAGCACCCAACTCCGCCGGCGTGCTCATCTCTTAGATTGGTCGTATGAACAACGCAGGACTGCACAGGATATCTTACCTTTCTTATACCTGGGACCAGCTACGATTACCCGTGACAAGGACTTTCTTGTGAAGGAGGGCATCACTTTACTCTTGGCCATCAGGGATCGCAACCGAGTTCAGGCCCTGACAGTCAACGGGGAGAAGTCAGCAGCTATCCTGGGGATTGACTCCGATTTTCTCGAAGTATCCAATACACAGGAACTTATCAGTGAAATTCCAAACGTCATCCGTCGAATCAATAGCCATCTATGCCCTTGTGCAGCCCACCAGCCCTCAGGAGGGAAAGCAAGAAAAGTGCTAGTGTTCTGCGATACTGGGAATGAAAAGTCAGCTTGTGTAGTTGCCGCATATATTATGGCCATGTTACAGACCAGAGCAACTGCTGCAGCGAGCCACGTTCAGGTACGGAGATTATGTACCAACATTGGCAGTACCTTCGACATATTAAAATCTTTCGAAACCATCCTCGATGCTCAGAGGGTTATCGCCAGAAACACGGTAGATCATCAAAGTCAGTCAGGCGGACTAGAGTCTAACCATCAGGTTTCACGGAAAAGGTCCTTTCAAGTTGCCCAGAAATCTCAACTGGCAGACGGGGAGGCTATGGATATAGATCTCTCACAAGAAATAGGGGACTATCCAAGTCGACCCTCTCACCCTCCGTTCCGTGACCTAACCCGGTGACTAGAGAAGCGGTGACACATATTATCCTTGACTACCTTCTATCGGCTTCTTCTTCTTCTTCTTTTATTTTCCTTCTAAAGCACCCTTAGCTAGCGCAGGAAGCGTCAGTCCTAAGTGGCCAAGGACGTCAAATTGCGGAACTTGCCTTCCTCATTATGAAAGTTACGGCTTGATGTTTATTAGAGGCTCGACTTTTACCAAAACATATGCCGGCTCTACCCCTTTCCCTTTCCTTTTTTTTACACCCTTTTTTTTTAATATGGATCCTTTGTATGCTCTGGTGGTCAACGGCATACATTCTTTCACTGCTCCCTTGTATTCATTATCCTGGCCTTTCAACAATGTTATTTATCCGTACAATACCATCCACAGTGACCTTCTACGTCCTCTAGCAGTGGAAGCCGTCTTCTTACTGCCTTTTTGGTGCATTCTATTATCTATAGGCTACTCCCGGCACTTCTGCTACCAAAATAGGGACATAGATGAGCTCTATGTTTTTCACGACGCTGCAATGACTATTCACAGTCTTAAAACTGGACTCTTCTTCACTGCTAGTTTTTCTCCTCTTTCACTCTTCTTTACAAGCCGGCAGCCTCCTTGCTTGATATCTTTCCCAAAAAAAACCTGTTCATCTGCCCATTTGGTCCCTACTACTAACTCTGCTACTCGCTCCCTTGGAAACCGGGGCGTAAGCATTCAGGGCCTTCGATTAGATATTTATAACCCACTGTTATAGATCAAAGCCACTGTTCACATCACTTTTGTGGCAGGAACATCGCTGAGTTCGCGCGCGTAGGTCAACCGCCAGCAACAATGCGGCTGAGGGAGAGAAACCGCCTCCGGCCTCCTGTGAGGTATGGAGCTGGGGACTGGGTCAGGACAAAGACGACTGGCCGTCGAGACGCGTCAACTACGTCTGCAGAGATAGACGACGGGCTGCCTCCTCCGCCGCGAATACCTCTTATCGCGAGACCAACAGCAGGGCCGCCGCCATACATCGATTACAATCCAAACTCCCCTCCGGCTGCGTTTCCAACTATTGACGGTCCTCGACCAGGGAATATGCCGCCCTCAAACAATGAAACGAGTTCTCCTGGTAACAATGACAACGAGTGAGTGTTACTCCTTCACAAACAAACAGAAGGCAATGGTATAGTTTCTGACACTCAGAATCAATTCTTTCTAGGTTTCAGAAGGAGGCCTGGAGCGACATGGAGTCAAGCGACGAAGATAATAACGGAGATGACAACGACAATTCTGTTGACGTTGAAGATTATAAGTATCTTCACGCACCCACACATGTCGAATGGAAGGACCTCAACCCCGTTATACAGGTAGAGATAGTCCAGAACCTCACTCAAGTCTATAATTGGCCACGGGTTGTAGGCATGCTACAGCTTACAGCGTCGGAGCAAGAAGAGGCCTTCAATAGCCCGGCACATCGCCATAAGCAGACGGAGGAGGAATCCCGGAAACTCAACGAGATGCAAGTCAAGCAGCTGAGGGCACTCCTCCGTATTGACAACAGCGTCCTGAGGAGATCAAGAGTTCCAGGACAGCTCGTCTTTCGAAATATATCAAAACAATACTTTCGAGCAGCTAGAAACCGTACAACTACTGATCATCTCATGATCAAAGCAAGTGAGCTTCTAGCTGCTCGAAGGTTTCTGCGAAGGTTGGAGATTGACACAAAGTACGCTGGAGAATGGAGGAATGACCTGGCAACCATTAACCAAGCACAAGACAACGGCGAGGACGAGTTTCGGTGGATTCTCGATCCAGAAGACTTTGAACAGGATGCACGCAACCAACCCGCCACCCAGGTGGACTCTTCTTCACCTTCGCTTCACCAAAGCAGCAGTAGTAGCACCAATTCGGATATTCGTTTCATCAATCATTTTGCATCTCCAGGCGGAAATACGTACAACGTGCCGGTGTACGAAAGGCGAAATTTACCATTGCCCTCAACACCCCTAAATGCTGCTCAACAGATTTTTGGCCGGAGAAAATCCATTAAAAAAAACAGAGGCACTCCTAACCAAGCTATAAGCAGCGAACCAGAATCCTCAATAGTGCGACTGAACGTTGGGCCCGAGGGTGCAGCGCAGATACAGAACATCGTCCCGACCATGTCATCTTTATCGCCACAGTCACCTCAAGATATACCATCGAGTCCCCCACTACCCTTATCCTCCACTAGCGACCATCTGCCAAGTTCATCTTCAATATCTAGAGGGGCAGAATCAAGGAAACGCCGACGCCCACAGTCTGCTGCCTCATCAAGCCCTTTAGGAGGTGACGACATGCTTCCATTGCCGAGGGTACTAAGCGGACCATGGTGGTATAATACAGGTCAGGTCTATCCTCAAACTGGAATCACATCATCCAAGACACTCAACGAAAGACTGCATGCAGTGAGAGCTGAGAGTGAGAAAAACCGAAAATCCACTTCCCTCACCGTTGGTAGGCCGTTACAGAAGCCACACTTTAACTTACCAATCCAGGGCTCACCTCTGATGAACAACAGCCAAGCCTCACCTGTCCCTTGCAGCGATGACACAATCCCTCAGACTCCCCCACCTGGGTATACGGATTCCCCAATGCCCCAAAGTAACACGCAAACGAAGAAAAATATTAAAAACCTAGTCATTCAAGCATCCAATAAGCCGGTTGGGGCCAAGGTGGCATCAAGTTCTTCAGACAATGCAGAGCAAGGGCCTCCCTACTCACCTATATCACCACAGATGGGAACCTTTCCAGTGGCAGGGGTAGCTGGGAGCGTAGATGAACAAGGTCAGGATACTGGCCCCATGGACATTGATATCCCAAATCCAGCTGACGGTCGAGAGGGGAAAAGAGAAACAGTGATTGCTGCCCCAATAAATAGGAAATTGTCCGCGGCTGAAAAAGTACACTCATTTGTTTCGCTGCCGTCAAAAGTTCAACCCGCTCAACAGAGTTCCATCAATCTTTCCCACCCTACCACCAAGACAGCCAGTGAAAGCGGAGTTACAACCACGAAGCCTCCGAATATAAAGTCTGACCCCAAAAGTGAAGATACTTGCGATGATAAATCCTTTACCACAATGCTCCATGTCTGCTGCGATGTCCCGCCAAGGAAACCAAAGAAAGAGGAGGATGAATGCCACCCTCACATGCTCTTGCATTCACCGTCGGTCAAAGCTGAAGAAAAGAAAGAAGCAGATGAAATCCAGGCTAAGGGGAGGCCAACTAAGAAAAAGACCAAATGTTCTCCTAAGGAGCGACGGCGCAGTACAAGATTGAATGGTTCTACTGCTAAAACGATAAAACCTCGCGCAGCCATGAATTAGGAAAAGAGGGGAAAAAAATCCAAAAAGTTCAAAACATTCAATCTTCGGTGTCTGGGTATCTACTTTGTGCTATGATCTCTCTGGTGCTTTTGATCGATCGAGTGGGAAAGGCTTGGAGTGCTTTTGGAATTGCGAAGTTTGGCATTTTGATGAAACACATCAATCTCCACTCTATCAAGTAGTTAATAGTTCGAGTCCGTGTTCTTCTTTAAATTAGTTTACGACAATAAATGAAGATGATGAAAACCCTGAAAAATCTTTGCTTGTTCGTCCATCTCTATCATTATTTATAGTAAGGTCATCCATGACGTCACAAGAAACAGAGGCTCCCATCACGTGGAGATAAGATAAGATTAGGCAAAACGGCGCCAAACCCGATGTGGTCAACACGCAAACAGGCAAACGCCAAGTAATACACTAAACCGAATCAGGACGACGCGTTTAAGTGGAAAAGAGAAATTCTTCCTCGCGCTCTTGTGGTATTTATTTATCAGGCAGACACTGTGGATGGCAATGATAAATATCTGCAGCTATTCTTTACATTTTACTATTTGTCACTGTTTTAGTCATTTGGTGGGATTCCTCCTCAGAAGTCTGGATTATGGGCCCATTGTAGTGGGATATCAAAATCTAGAGTGCTATTTGAATCTCGCCTATACTGCTTTCCATATTATATCAAATAAAATCCCGGTGCCACTTGTTTGAGTTAATACCGTGTCGGAAACATGGCGATACTGGGGAAGAAGGACGAAAATAAAGAGAATATCATGGCGCCGGAGGCAACTAATAAATATGAAGAGGTGGAAGATGACATGGAGGGCATGGGTATGAAAGCCAAGGCACTGACGAAGCTACTTCAAACCAGCTCGGTACTCCTTATCCTCCCTCCTCAGCAGCATAGAAATATGGTACTAATACAGACCTATATTTATAGGTGTTTGTAGCTATAATGGCCGACAAAATGAAGGAGCAACAAAAGAAGCAACAAGAACAGGCCAGAAGACAGGCCACGAAAGAAAAGAACCTTACCGAGAAACAGCAGGCCACAACAGCGCCTGCTAACAAGCGGGCCACAAGGGCTAGCGAGAAAAAAACTCCAGCTGATACAAGAAAGGGTGCTGAGGATACCCATGGAAAGAACACAAACACAACAAAATTGCCTACACGAGGAATATCTGGAAAAAATACGAAGAGTTCTAAAAGTAGTATCACAAACTACTTCAAACAAGCGAACGTTGAGGTAGCAGAGGACAAGCCAACTGTGCAGGAAGCTTTAGCACTGGCCGCAGACGAATTTGAAGCCAAGCCATCTGCTCTCGGCGAACAGGAGGATCTAGTTGCAACACAACAGCCCTCCTTGATCACTGGAGGAAAGATGAGAAAGTACCAACTTGAGGGGCTGGAATGGATGAAGTCGCTCTGGATGAATGGGCTTTGTGGAATCCTAGCTGATGAGATGGGTCTCGGCAAGACGATACAGGCGATATCATTAATTGCCTTCTTCAAAGAGCATAACATCTCTGGTCCATTCCTCATTGCGGCACCCCTGAGCACTGTGAGCAACTGGGTGAATGAGTTTGCGCGATGGGCTCCATCAATCAATACCGTTCTATATCACGGCACCAAGGAACAACGTAGCGACATTCGACGGAAACAGATGAAAAACCAGGAACAAAAAGCGCCTGATTTCCCGGTTGTTTGTACGTCATATGAGATATGTATGAACGATCGGAAGTTCCTTGCTAACTATCAATGGAAATATATCATTGTGGTGAGTTTAGTTAGTACTACCCAAGGTCCAAGTATCAATCACTAAGCCTAACTCTAGGACGAAGGGCACCGCCTGAAGAATATGAACTGTAAGCTAATCAAGGAGCTCCTCACATACCCTTCTGCCAACAGACTGCTCATTACTGGGACGCCTCTGCAAAACAATATTGCGGAATTATGGTCCCTGCTTCATTTCCTGCTTCCTGAGATATTCAATGACCTGGATAACTTCCAAAGCTGGTTTGATTTCTCCTCCGTTCTTGATGATTCGAGGCAGAATGATATCAATGAAAAACGGAGACGCAATCTCGTGTCTACAATGCATGCTATCCTTAAGCCATTCTTGCTACGGCGGGTAAAAACAGATGTTGAATCGTCTCTTCCAAAGAAACGTGAATACGTGCTGTACGCCCCTTTAACGCCGGAGCAAAAGGAGCTGTACGTTCAGATAATAAACGGCACAAGCCGCCAGTATCTCGAAGAGAAAGCCGCAGAGCGAATAGAAGCTAGAAACGCTTCGGTCAAGCAGTCAAGAGCGCGGAGCTTAAAGAGAGGCGCGAGTGGTAGCGAGTTATGTACACCAAACAAGAGCGCAAAATCCAGCCGTGATTCCACTCCAACGAAGACTCGTCGTCGAGGGCGGCCAAAAAACTACAAGGAAGAATCTGATAGAGATTTCAATAGCAAGCTTGCTAGGCTTGAAAAAGGGGTCCAAGACGATATTTCTGAGAAAAGCGAGCTTAGTGCAGATGAGATGGAGGAAATTGAGAGAGCAAAGACCATGAAACTGGCGAGTAAGTATTTCGCTATTCAGATCCTTTTAAAAGTATATCACCACTGATATATACCCTATAGAAAAAGAAATTTCGACCAAAAAGCTCCAAAATCCTGTCATGCAAGCCAGGTTGGTGTGCAATTCACCGCTCAACTTTTACTGGCCATGGGACGAAAACTCGCCAGGTGTTGACTCGACCCTTGTGACTTCATCTGGCAAGATGCTTCTTCTCGATCGCCTAGTGCCCTGTCTCATATCAAAAGGACACAAGGTTCTAATTTTCTCTCAATTTAAAGGCCAGCTTGATATTCTGGAAGACTGGGCTACACAGCTCCGGTCCTGGAATTGCTGTCGTATTGACGGTGCGATTGCACAGGCTGATCGACAGGAGCAGATAAATGCCTTCAACCAAGATCCTGATTATAGGATATTCCTATTAAGTACTCGAGCAGGAGGCCAGGGTATTAATCTTACCGCTGCCGATACCGTTATCCTCTTCGACTCTGATTGGAACCCGCAACAAGATCTCCAGGCCCAAGACCGCGCCCACCGCATCGGTCAAACAAAGCCTGTTATTGTCTACCGGCTGGCTACCAGGGGTACAGTTGAACAGACTCTCCTTGAGCGGGCAGGTTCTAAACGCCGACTAGAAAAATTAGTTATTCAGAAGGGCAAGTTCAAAAGCCTGTTAGATCCTTCTAGCTCGTCAAACCCACAACGCCAAGCGGATGAGTTGATGAAACTATTCGGCGACGAAGATATTGAAGTCTTCGATATTGGTGCAGGAACAACATCCGAATCTTTGCTCTCCCAGAGGGACTTGGATATATTAACAGACCGCAGTGACGAGGCGTATTCGGACCAGAGGATGAACGAGAGCGGACGCGCCTTCACGGCTGTCAAGGCGAATACTGATGCAGATGAGATTATGGCTGACATTACCAGCAAATGAGACAGTCGTTGATTGTAGTGTGGCATTATATTATGCGTTATACTAGAATAGAACAGTAGGAATAAAGGGTTAGCTCGCATTAGAAACTGCCAGAAAACTACCATTCAATATATATATATATATATATAGTTCATCGTGAGGGAGAGAAATAGGCCATTAACGTAGGAGAGTTCATGTAGGATATAGACATGGTACCACCGTCTGGCCGAATGGAGTGTATACAATATAAGACGGGTGGTGTAATTCCAACGCTCGCTATCGAGACCGTTTCGCCTCTTGGACTTGGTCACGCAAATCTGACAGAACTTCATTACGCTTTGCTAGATGGGCTTTGAGACCCTCGACTTGTTCCTCAACGGCCTTGACATCAGCCCGAATTCTCTCGAGGTTCTCCCCTTCACTAACTCGACCAGTCCCCTCTCTTAGTTCCCGCAGCTCACGTTCCTTGTACTCCAACATCTGTAGAGCCTCCTTTTTGATTAACGCCCAATTCGGCCCATCTGTCCTCGTTCTTGTACCGTTTTTTCTTGCTTCCGCTGCCGCATTAGCGGATTCAAGCTTTTTATTCAGCTCCGCTAGTTCTCGCCGTAGACGGACCTTCTCCCACTCTTCGTCTTGTATGGTATTACTGAAATCTGTGCCCTGGGGTTGGTAGCTGGATTTCCCACCCACACCTAGCCGGCTTAGATATGCGTCTCCAAACTTCGCCTTGCGGCCCGTACTTGTGTCATCGTTGCTGGAGACCCCCCATTTCTTGGCCGTGCGAACGTTATCAAGCTGGTAGTCGATCTTGTTAGACTCGAAGGAGGCGCGTAGGGAGGCGGGGACGTTGCGGGGGATGCGATAGCCCTCGTGTCTGTTGTTTAGAATGTGGAGGAAGGCAAGTGCTGCGTCTTTAGAGATGGTTGAGGAGGCAGATGGGTTAACGAGGTTCCAGGCAGAGCGGATATCTGTGTCCGGCACTGAGAGGGAGTCGTACAGGTCTTGTAGCGAGGAGACTGGGGAGGGTTAGTTAGTAATACAGTAGGAATAAACGGAAAAAGAGGGCTATACAGCAGCATACATGCAATCTCTCCTCGATGGTTCTTGTTGGCCGAGTATATCTCCTCATATTTGGCCTTGTCCTGGGGGGCCATGTACCAGTCGAACCCATCCTTCAGTCCAGGGGTATCATCGTCCTCCTCTACTCTCTCGAATTGCGGTTGTGTGCCGGTCAGCGCTCGGCTCGCTTGAACAAGATGTGCCTTTGATTCGGGAACCAGCCAGTCTGGTAGAGCAGAGGGTACATCGTTATACTCCTGTCATAGCCGTCAGCATGGGTTCTCCTAATGTGTCCCTTAATACCATAAGTGCTATAAACACACCCCGTTGACGAGGTCAAAGATAAGTCTCATCGCCACGCAAAACTCCTCGAAATCCAGCTCCCCATCTCCGTCCACGTCTGCCAGATCCCATACTCGCTCCAGCTGGTCATCCCGTAGTCGACTGTTCCGTAGAACGGTGGCCGCTTGTGCGTTGTTGAGTCGTGGTTGGCCGTTAGATAGCGACGAGAAGATTTCCCAGTATCGCTCGACTTCCCATTGCTCTATCTTCTTCTCGGACATGATGCAGTAAACAGAAACCAAAAGCAGATAACTTATGAATTCTTCTTCTTCTTCTCTTCCCTTTGCTTCTTCTTTGCTGCTTATCATAACGGAGCTTAATGCTTAATAAGCATATTAGTCAGCCGTTAGTTGTAGTATTTAAATTTATGATACGAAATCGCCGAAGTGCTTTGATAAAGTAGTTATGTCCCCTGAGAAGTTCTATTCTAATCAACAAATGGTAGAGCTTCAAGCCACGCCTTCCGCTCCCTCTCATTCTTTGCCTCACGGCGGAGAAATTTCTCGACGCCCTCGGCGAGCTGTTTCTTTGACAGTTTATAATCTCCAGTTTCGACCCTGCCGTCCCAATGCTTGAAACATCCGGTTTCGTCAATGAAATTGTTCATGAGGTCTACTCCTTGAGCCCATAGTGCTTCATCATGCTCTTGTTGTTCCACCTCTTCAGGCGAGAATTCCAGCGGGCAAGGCACTGTAGGATTGCCGTCTGAGGAGCATTCAGCAATTGTTGACCACTGTTTCTTTACTTCTCTTAATAAACTGTTAAGACAGGGTTCACAGTCGGTTAATATCAATCCTGGCAGAACGCTGATTTGTTGACGTAGAGTATTATGTCCCTGTATCGCTTGGAAGACCGCGAAATTTGACCGTAAACATAAGGCCAAATATAGGTTGTGAAGGGTCTGGGACTGCTGCAGTGCCTTTGCATCTCGTTGTTGGTCGGGAGACATTGAATCGAATTCGGGAGGCAGGCTCACTCGCCCAAGGTTTTCGGGGACCGGCCCATTATAATCCAGGAATCCAGGGCGCGTAACTTGCATAAAAAGCGGGCAGGTACTAGCAGACTGCCAGTCAATTACACCTAGTATTCGACCTGGGTCCTCGGGATCAACAAAGATGTTTTGTGAGTGCAGGTCGCCGTGCCATAAAACGGATGCGTGGCTGGCTTTAGCCTCTGGTAAGACGCGGGGAGCGATCTTTAAGTAATTAGACAATGCTGATAACTTTTTGGACGCAGTTGGCTGGTACTGTCTAGGCCCATAGAAAAGGCCCTCTGGAAACAAGGGGTATTTTAACCCTGCATTTACACATGCAATCTCTCTGCGGGCAACAGCTTCCATATACCTGACTACCGTGGACCCTGGATCCAGTATTAACATAAACAGGTATCGAGAGAAAGTTAAGGGAAAGCAAGAATCCTACATGGTCCACGATCTATATCCAGCTGCCCTTTACCAAAATCAAAGAACGAACGATGGTTAGTTGGTCCAATTCCAAATTTAGTGCTAAACACCTCGTCTCCAATATCACTAATATAGAGGGGTATATTATTATCGGATGCAGGTAGGTCCTTTTTGTAGTATATAGCTCCATATTCGGTGAACTTTGTTGACGCAAGAGTTATTTCAATCTCGGCAATCTGTTGAACAACCCGAGCTTTCTGTTTCCCGGTAATCTTTTCCCATACATCGCTTAGCACTATGCCTGACTGTTTTTCCATGATGATGTACTCTGCCCCAACAGCGTTTTCGGATGCCTTGGAGCTCCATGCATAAACCTCTGGAACGGGAAGATGAAGGGTGTTCCTCATCTAAACAGGTCAGCATCCAGTTTATAGCTCTCTGAAAAAGCAGGATAAACCGTACGAAATCCATAGTTGCAACTTCACTCGCCGTGACAAAATGTACTCGCCCTGCATTAGGGTTTGGTAACTTTGCAATGATCTCACGGCCATCATTCATGGTGAGTAGAAACACTTTATTATATTGGCCTTCGGAAAGCTTGACAACTTTGGTGCACAAATCAGCTCCAACTGCCGAGGCAGCCACTTTAAACAGCCCTGGCATATCAAAATCAACATAGCGGACTGCCATCTGCTGGTTTTCAGCCCAAAGCCATCGGCCAGAGGTACATCGATTGAGTACATCCAGGTCGCGTTTTGAGTCTGTGATAACCGCAAAGGGCGAAGGTCAGAGGCGTTCAAGATAGACGAAGTTGCGTTTTGTCTCGTACGTATAAGGCTGGCCTGGCTATACCCCCTGGTATGATAACAAGAGCTGAAGCATCGAGCTGTAGTCCGGCTAACTCGATGAATAATAGTCAGCGACTGGAACAGGCTGTTCAAGCCAGTTCTGAGAAAGGCTTTCATCCTTAGCATTCAACTCTACGAGGCGTTAATGTGCTCATTATCGTCTACATAGTAGTATTGCGGTTCAAATTCTGACCAGCCGCTGGTCCTCTTCGTTGTTGAGTTTCAACACTTTTGGGGCCCTGAGGTTGCCATGTGATCTCACCTGACCGCGGAGGCTCCTTTCGGAGCGGCGTTACTTAAATTCCGAGAGCCTGTCACCATGATTATCTAAGCTATGGATGATGTCATACTCGCGCCATCAATTAATGGTATTCATGGGATATTACATAGCAGGCCTTTTTGTCCCTTGTAGTCCAACATCTACTACCGCATGGGCAGTGTTTTCAGAGGGAGTACGGCCCGGGGGCCCACGCGGTGAGCTCAATTTCTATCATCTCTTCCTTCTCTACCTTGTATAGAACAGAACAGTAGCCGTGGTAGTGGTTGAAGAGAAGATCGTTATTATATCCAGGACGCATGGGCTCATGATGCGTCTGACTAGGTCTATGTAGGCGTAAAATCAATAATGTACATGGCGAAAAGGAAGTTTTCGAATGTGGAACAAAAAGAGGCTCTCTCGGGGCTTATTTCTTTTGATCAAGCTGCTGCTGGACCTGATGGACGGCTCGCTCGACCTCAGCGACGAGCTCAGGGGCATCTAGCATCTTTGCCAGTGCCTTGCCATCAGTGTCCTTGAGCAGCATCACCTCCTCGGTGCAATGGCTGTCTGCACGGTCGGCCGTAGCAGCAGCATTCTCCTCCTCCTTGGCCCCGTCCTTGCAAGGGTAATGTCGTAGATAGACGTTCTCCAGGTCCGTCAGTGATCTAGGCTGGATGAGGTTCTCCTTGAGAAGGAATTCCAGGTGCTTTGAGCCACCCCATGCTGCGACAAGTCAGTCAGGGCAGTGACACTTTGAAGATCTATAGGCAGAGCGACTAACCTCTCCAGTGTGACCAGCCGCGGTAGCAGAAGAAGAAGAAGGGTATATTAGGTATCCTGCACACCAGTCAGTATAATTATACTGCTACCACGATTGGAATCAAGCATACACCGGAACGAGCGCAAAGGGGGCCGTCAACGGCGCAACCACGATGCTCCACCACATCCGCTTCCTGTGAAGCTGCTGCCTCTCCGTCGCAAGCTGCTCCAGGAGCCCCAGCACTCTGCTCGTCTTGATCGCATTCTTGGGGTAGAGCAGCTCAACGGGCTTGCGCGCCTGCAGTTCCTCCATCTCCCGTCGCGAGCTCAGCGGCGGCACACTCTTCAGCCCCCATTCCTCGTACGGTATTCGCTGCAGTGCCCGGTGGCCGTACGTGACCAGCGTCTTCTGCCAGCCATTCTCTGCAGCCTCCCACTTGGCCCAGGTCGCCGTCGCCTTGTTCGTGATGCGATCGAGGTAGCTCAGCTGCTTGCTAGGAATGGCGGCATCGAGCTTCTTGCAGTAGATGAGCGTCCGGCCCGTCGAGATCGGGATCAGGAAGAGACGCATCGTGAAGACCTGAAGACCTTGTATACTCTCTCTCTCTCTCTCTCTCTAGACCTTTCGTCTCCTCGTGGCGCCCTTTTATATGTTTCCTTTTCTCTTCGACTTAAACAGCCCGGGACTTCGCAAGCAGGGCCAGGGCTAGCTTCGAGCTCATCTTCAAAGGGCCCGCCACCGTCAAGTTTTGCTGCGCCCCGTTTCTATAGCTGTCCAGAGGAAAGCCCGGCGGCGATATTCTTCTTCGTCTTGCTTGTTCCGCTCGTCAGTTACGTTATTAAAAACGAAAAAAATTTATTCCTAGGCAAATACCCATAACTACCTTGTCGCCATCCCAGCCCTTGTTTTTCCCTGTTAGTCCCTTGGCAAGAAGAAACTCCTTCGTCCCTCTTGATAAACGCCAGACAGCAGCAAGAAGACGACGAGAAAGAAGAAGAAAAGAAGAGGATAACGAGTTATAGATTTCCGCCGTCTCTGCAGTCTGTCACTCGTTTTATCTTTGCTGCCTGGACGTTGCGGAAACGATGCGCCGCGGTTGGCGAGATCGAGAATAGGGCTTCGGAGTCTCTGCTCTCCCCTTTTATAGGGATACGGATAAAAGAATTACATGGCAGCACAGGGGGAGTCGACGGTGCGGTCGCATCGGTCGACCTCCCAGGCAGGTTCTCCTAGGCTGAAACCAGATTTGAGGCTGCTGGAACCGCCGTTGTCGAGACGGAGATCAGCCCAGTCGGTTTCTGCGGCGAGCCAGTCGGACGAGCAGAGGTCGATATATCAGCGTATCGGCTCGAGACATGGCCAATCCGCGAAGAGCTACTCGCCTCGGAGTCAGGGATCGATACCGCGGACTCTAGGCTCGGGACAGTTGACTGCCCGGTCAGTTCCTGGTAGGTTTATTTTTTTACTCGGGGCGTTTGGCGGGAGACACGGCTAACATGGCCTACAGCTTGGGTTAAACACGCTGAAGAAGAAGAAGAAGAAGAGGACGAGACGGAGGATCCGGGAGTACAGCAGCCACATTCATCATCACAGCCACAGCCACAGTCGCTGCCGTCGCCGCCGGGAGACGCTCATGTTGCTAATCACCACTACTCGACCAAGGAAGGAGAAGGGGACAAAGAAGGCAGAGGAGACAGGGAGAGGCACCGTGCCTACACGCAGTATACACAGGAATCCAGGTGGAGGACATTCGCCCGGTCAGTGCCACAGTCTGGAGAACCGGTACATCAGGGCAAAGTCGTCGATGCGGACTGGCTCAATCAGAATTTTGGTGACTACTCGGGGCCGTGGCAGGGGTATCTCGATGAGAAGGATGCGGAGAGCGGACGGCAGTCTGGAACCTTCATCCAGCGGCGGAAGAGATGGGTGAAGGGATTCCAGCACAGGATCCTCCACAGCCCGATGGTGCCTCTCATCATCCGTCTCACGGTCTTCATCTTCTCGGCCATCGCCCTCTCGCTCGGTGGGACGATCAGGCAGCTCTCGACGACGTATAATCGACCGCAGGGTCCGTCACCTCTCATGGCCATCATCTTTGACGCCATTGCCCTTGTCTATCTGATCTACATCACGTACGATGAATACACGGGGAAACCACTCGGTCTACGGTCCGCCACAGCAAAGATACGACTGATATTCCTGGACCTGGTGTTTATCGTCTTTGCGTCAGCTAATCTAAGCCTAGCGTTTGCTTCCTTGTCTGATGTCAACGGCTCATGCTCTAGAGCGGACATGGACGGGGCCATCGATCCCAGGAACGATCAGATTTGTGATAGGCAGAAGGTATTAGCTGCCGTATTGTTCGTTGTGCTGGTTGCCTGGTTGATGACCTTTATGATAAGCGCTCTACGGTATGCCCTCTCTTTTGCTATTCCCCCCCTTTTTTCTCTCCTTCGTCACTCAGCTCTTACTAATTCTTTCTTCCACAGAGTCATCGAGCGGGTGGCGGCAAAGTAAGACCTCCTTTTCCTTTCACCCAAACTACTCATCTCTAACTAAATACACCAACAACTACTTCATCTTATCTCCCTCTACTATTATCACCACCGCTGCATACACATCTTTTCTTCCATATCTCTGCATCTTTTCTCTCGCTCTGATTGGTCTATTATACTGTTACTTTTACCTTTTTGCATCTATCGCTGGAATATTTGATTTGTTTTATCTCTTTTATTAACATGATTGGGAAGACGGTTTACTGGACGCGGTGTCAATAATTTCCCTCTTCTGCACAGTTCACATGCATTTTTTGGAAGCCCTCCGTTTATTTTTCTTGAGTACATAAAACGTATATACACATTTTAGTCTATTGTTATTTTTTTATGCCAGTTCGGACCACAAAAATCGGTCCAGAGTCTCCGTCTCTTTCAAAACAACTGACCGACACTTCGTCGTCTGCTTGTCGATATCCCCTTTTCCATTGCACATACCATGCCACATACCCCTTTGCTTCCCAGGAAGGTTATGCCGCTACTATCACAAGATACCCATTCCCGTCTTCAGAGTGACTGGACAAAACACCATGCATTGCCTTGTGTACGAAGTTAAAATGATGGTCATCGATCAAATTAGTACGAGGGAAGAGGTCTGATGGGAATAGTTCGACATTTGATACCTTCTGGTGAACCTGAAAAGAGGAATTCAAATTTTATTTGGAAAGTTTGAAAGCATTGTGCGCCGTTTGTACCATTATTTGTTCACGTCTATAGGAATGAATTCATAGCTGCTGTCTACCAAACGCTGTGGTGAACTTAACGGAACAAAAAAGGAATATGAGTAGCGCGTTAGTGGGCATTAAGCATAAAAATCAAGAATACTAGACGTTGACCTGTTGGGGGTACATGCCAATCCCGCCATATTGCCGGAGAGTTGCTCTGCTATATCTGGCCAGAATCCTCCAATCCATCACCAGACGAATGCTCCCGGCAGGCCTGTCAATAAATTAGATTGTTTCTCGACGCCTCGTTCAGCCGACGTAAGTGACCTCCCTTATCAGTACCGCAAATCCGGCTTTCAGCCCCGGTTTCTCAGGTATCCTTTTCTACCGTTGCATGCTATGTAGAGCACTGTGTCATCTCCACAGATCGAACCTCTCGTATTCAAGGAGCAAAATCATCACGATGGATAAAAAGGGTTATGCGATGTCTAAATAAGGTTAGTTCCGCTTATTAAACTGACAGGGATGTTTTTTCTTCTTATTATTAACAATATAGATGATGACGTCATCTTATGTCAGTGCTTAGTCATGTCTTTTTTCAACGTCAGTGAATATCTTCATCTGCTCACTTATCGCGTTTCACAAGTTTATATTCCATCACTAGCTCCTTTACGTGCTTATATTCCATTACACTATCCGATACATTACTTCTCCCACTATGCCGCCTCGTACGATTCTTTCCAGCCTACCAACACAACATCTTAGCTACGCAATTAACACAATATGTCACACCTAAGTTGCCCACGCAACACCGCCATTAGTTGTCTCATAAACCACTATTAATTGGGCTTCCCGAAGGAACACCCCAAGTCAAATATACCCATATAAGAGACTTGAGAGGTTTAGGCAACCCGGTCAGGGAAATGCTATGTGGATAGCGCCTTCACGATAGTATAATATATTCCCTACTTTTTCTTAATAAGAAAAAAGACCATTCCACCAGGATAAGCCCCCACGGGTTACGACAAATACCAAAGAGAAATCTGCTATTTTCGAGATTATGGTGACTATACTACACAAACGTGTGAGCCAGGCACTCTCAGTGCATATTTGGGATAGCATCAATCGCATGGCCCTAGGAACTTACTCCACAATACTAGTGCGACTCGAATAGCTGGTGCTAAATGGAAACCTCATAAAAAGGCTGATAACAGTTTTACGCCAGAAAAGGAGAAGCTGCCTTTGTTAAAACTACCGAAATGGGCTTCTCTGGTCATATTAGAAGGTTTGCTATCCATGCACAAGTATAGCTCGAAGCATCAGAGTCCCGCACTCTGGTCGTTATACCAAAATGAACCAGCAGAAACCGTAGATAGTATTCCAGCAATGGGAGTATCACAATCCAGGACTTTGTCTTATAACCACGCACCGGCATCTGATAATGCAGGTCCACGCAGTCTATAAGGGAGAGATAACAAGAGTCACCGGTCTACCTTTTAGATGTTTTGTCGCCCAAGGAATAGGAGGAAGGAGTCAGATACTGTCGTTGGCTGAGAGAACATGGTTAAATTTTCTTAACACTATACAACCGATACTGTATCAACTGCTTGTGAAACCAGCGAGCCAAAGCCGGCAGCCATGAGCATGTAACAATCATTATTCTTCAAAACCACCTTAGGCCCTATATCTCATATACACATCTTAGTCACTAGTTACCTTTCTCGATACAATCCATCTGTTTCTCTTTCAGACAGTGAGAATCAGCTCAGAGTCCCCCGTATTTAAATTATTATGTAGACGAAACAACTTCGTAATATCGATGACTTTCTGGATGCAGACTTCTTATCGATAAGAAAAAAATCCCCAAGTTTGTATGTCTTACATAAGCGGTAGCCTGCCTTCTTCACTTTGCTTTTCTTCTTCTTGAACTTCCTCCTTGAACGTCTTCTAAGATCTCAGGCCCTCCATCAGCTCTATCTCTAAGTCTGTCAAAACGCTTGTCCTTTTAGCCGGTGATCCCGAGAAGGATAGACAGCAGTCGACAAGTCGCCGTCTTCTCCGAAACCTGTCTGGGCAGGATTCTGAGGCGGTTTTTGGTACTCTGACAACTGTTGCTTCTTCCCCCCTGAAACTCCAGCCCACCAACAACAGTCACTCAGTTGGCTTCCCGAAAGAACCCTTCTTCTTGCTGTTCTCCCCAAGTCTCTTTGCTTCCCGGATACCTACAGCAGCGACAGATATGCCTCCCGCAAGGTTTGCGGCGCCTCATCGAGATGATCTTGACGAAACGTGAGTAGCGCTTAGGGACTTACGGTAAAGAGCGTAACAGGGCGGCTGACCGTATTCTCCTTTTGTAGATGGACATTTCTCGAGCAGGGAATCGAGAGGGTGATGACCGACCTGAATAGTGGTATCGACATGGCTTCTGTAAGCTTTGACTAGCTGGCGAAGAGTTGTCCGTCTTATGTACGGGTTACAAGTGCTAACATCTGCTCATTTCGTCTAGTATATGGGTGTTTACACGTTGGGCTCACCTCCCCTCACTTGACCCAAAAGGAGACACAGATTAACTTAGTATACAGTGCTGTCCATAATTTCTGTACCTCACAAAAAGCATTCACAAGCCACTCCTCTTCTTCGCATGGCACGCGAGGCGGTAAGCTAGTGGAACTCGAGCTCTCCTGGAAACCATCAGATCTGAGCTGACCACATATATTCTACAGCCCATTTACTTGGTGAGGAGCTTTACAACCTTCTCGGGCATTACCTCTCCCGCCACCTCGAAGGGGTCTATAAAGCTTCCCTCAGTCACTCTGATGAACCCCTCCTTTCGTTCTATATCAGAGAATGGACCCGCTATACTACCGCCGCCAAATACATCAACCATCTTTTCAGATACCTAAACCGCCACTGGGTAAAGCGAGAAGTTGACGAGGGTAAGAAAGATATCTACGATGTGTACACTCTACACCTCGTCAGATGGAAGGAGGACTTCTTCAGACTTGTCCACGAGAACGTTATGGGTGCTGTTCTGGGTCTCATCGAGAAGCAGCGGAATGGCGAAACTATTGAACAGTCCCAGATCAAGCATATCGTTGACTCTTTCGTCTCTCTCGGCCTAGATGAGAACGATACTTCCAAGCCAACTCTGGTTGTTTACCAGTACTACTTTGAAAAGCCATTCATCGAGGCCACCAGGGCCTACTACGATAGGGAATCTAAGCGATTCGTCGCTGAAAACAGTGTCGTCGAATACATGAAGAAAGCAGAGCTTCGATTAGAGGAAGAGCGCGCTCGCATCGACCTGTACCTTCACCCAGATGTCACTAAGAATCTGACAGAAACTTGTTTGGATGTTTTAGTTACTTCGCATTGTAACCTCTTGCGAGACGAATTCCAGCCCCTCCTGGACGCGGAACGACAGGATGACCTTGCTAGAATGTATCGATTACTGTCGAAGATAAAGGACGGCCTCGATCCGCTAAGAAACAGGTTCGAAACTCACGTGAGGAAGGCTGGGCTGTCTGCAATTGCAAAGGTAGCTTCAGGGAGTGAGGGTGTTGATCCGAAGGTCTATGTCGACTCCCTTCTACAGGTACACGGAAAGTATAGATCAATGGTAGACGAAGCCTTTGCCGGTGAAACAGAATTCGTTCGGTCTTTGGATAACGCCTGCCGCGAATTCGTCAACCGTAACGCCCTCTGCACCACTAGCTCGACCAAATCCCCAGAACTGTTGGCCAGATATACCGACTCTCTGCTCAAAAAGGGCGCCAAGTCCTCCGAGGAATCAGAGCTCGAAGAGCTTCTCGTCCAGATCATGACCGTTTTTAAATACATCGAAGACAAGGACGTCTTCCAAAAGTTCTACTCCCGAATGCTTGCCAAGCGACTTGTTCACGTCAGTTCAGTATCCGACGATGCCGAGACCAGCATGATTAGCAAATTGAAGGAAGCTTGCGGTTTCGAGTACACCAACAAGCTCCAACGAATGTTCCAGGATATCCAGATCTCAAAGGATCTTAATGCCAACTACCGCGAGTGGCAGGAGAAGACTTTTGATGAGGAAGACCGCAAGAAAATGGTCGACCCACACTTCCAGGTTCTTGGTACCGGCTTCTGGCCTCTCAACCCTCCGTCAACGCAATTCATCCCTCCCCAGGTCATCAACAAGACCGTCGAACGCTTCAAGTCGTTCTACTTCGATAAGCATAGTGGCCGTAAGCTAACTTGGCTTTGGCAGTTATGTAAAGGCGAAATCAAAGCCAACTACGTCAAGAATACAAAGGTCCCTTATACATTCCAGGTATCCACCTATCAAATGGGCATACTTCTCCTATATAATGACAATGATAGCCTTGAGTACTCTGAGATTGAGAAGGCCACGGCTCTCTCCTCGGACATCCTAGACCCCAACCTTGGCATCTTTGTCAAGGCTAAAGTCCTCATTCCCTCCCCGGAGAATGCGAAGCCAGGCCCAGGAACTTCATACGTACTAAACTACCATTTCAAAGCAAAGAAAATCAAGGTTAATTTGAACATTCAAGTCAAATCCGAACAAAAGCATGAGGCCGAGGACACACACAAGACTGTTGAAGAAGACAGAAAATTGGTTCTCCAGGTAAGAAACACAGGGAACTCACTCTTTCCTCCCCATTGTTTTTCTCTTCTAACCATCCCTATAGTCTGCCATTGTACGTATCATGAAATCCCGCAAACGCATGAAGCACGTCCAGCTTGTTCAAGAGGTCATCCAGCAAGTCAGCGCCCGCTTCCCACCCAAAATCTCAGACATCAAGAAAAACATTGAAGGCCTGATGGAGAAGGAATACATTGAACGCATGGATGGTGATGAAATATCTTATATTGCTTAATTAAACCACTGCCTTGAAGGTACATGACCAACGAAATAAATATTCTTCCTACATACAAGATGCTCTGGCATACGTTCCCTCCTTGTATCATAGAGGTGGTTTTCTGCTGTTCATTTACCAAGATCATTCCACCTAACGAAACACGAATAATGAAAGGGCTGGCCAAGGGGTGTCCAACCCATTTTCTATTCCTCTGAGCCTACATGTGTTTATATTCCCTCTCCCACTCCCTCTTTCACTCCCTTTCATCCCCGTTCTCTCCTAGCACAAAATACTATCATTTGTCCTTAGCGAGTAGTTAGCCGTTTTAACAACATCGTTTCCGAGTTATTTGTGCTCTAGAGAACCATCCTACATTTCTTCATTCAAACATATTGATTATGGAGTTATGGTTTACGACTAGAAAGATATCGTTCATTCTATGGAGTTATCCAAGTAACTATACTGAAGCTTGGTCAACATTATACAAGAAAGTAAGGCATTGAATATCACGCTAATAGTCAAACTACTTATCCCAATATGTTCATTCTGTGGATGCTACTAGGAGAATTGATACTCATTCAACATGTCATCATCCTGAGGCATTTGTAGAAGTTGTTTCCGTAGTAGTCCTGTGAGAAGACAGAGGATCACTCTCTAATATAGCTGCTATATTATCTCTCTCTGTTTGCTGGTCGGCTTTATGATACTGATGTTCAGAAGAGACGTCTTTCCCTTCACTACACTCGCTGGCGGGCTGAGACATCGGCCGATCAGCGTCTCCCTTTGTTTCCTTTGTAACTGATTCTGTTACAGGAGACTTGACACCGTGTTCGACTGATATTCTCTCATTAGCTGACATTGACGCCCTCGGAGTGGTGGCGGTGGTTGGAGACGAGATCGGGCTACCCGTGTTTTTTGTCTGCCATTCTTTTCGCCGTTCGTTAGCCCAAGAGCCCCATGAGCTAAAGTAGGCCGAAGCTCTCTGGCCAGCCGCAGAGACGGTGGCTTGAGCCTGCGTCAGGTCTACGGCTGGTGGTTTGCGTGCGGCAAAAGACCAGCCAGGCGATGAGGAAGATGGGTTTGGGGAAGACGGTGGAGGGGAAGAAAGGCCAGATTCCGACATATCGCTCTGGCTCTGGCTGGTGTCTAGTGAGGCTGTTGTCGCCGCTTGTCTTGCTCTTTCTTCGTTCTTCTTCCTCTGAGCCTCGCGTCTTGCTTCAAGTTCGGCCCAGAGACTGTTGAACGCTGTGGTCACCTTTTGATGGCCCGTGGCTAGATGTTTATTCAGGGTTTCGCGGCCTTCGCGTACCCTTTCGTCTAGATGTAGGTCTGCTACCTGCTGGGCCAAGCGACGCTGAATATCTTCGATGCCCAGACCTCCAGCACATGGGTGGCGGGGCTCAACGACTGAAAAGAGCAGGGCGTCAGAAGTAAGTCTGTCAAAGAGGGCGAAGTTGGGGGTGTGCCGCCAGTGCTCAAGGAAATCAAGGTTAAAATCCAAGGCCGGATCGCCCTCGATGTCATTTGCTGGTTGCTTCGTCACTCCTCCTACGGTTATTTCATCATGATATTTGACGCATGAAATGAGGGCTAGAAGATATTCTTCAAACTGGAGACGGATAAATTCCTCGGATCCCAGGTAGCCATGGGTCTTTGGCCGTGCGGGATGAGTTTCGTCCCAGGTATCGTTTATTGTCTGTGTAAGGAAATCTATCCATCGACGGTCCGCGGCAGAAAGAGACAGAGCTGCCCGCAGCGATGGAGATGAGATATTCACTGTATCTTCATCGAGCTATATGCTCTTTCGTCAGCAATACGACTTGGGATGATAGCAAGGTGGAAAGTTACATTTATCAAGATATCACTATACCGATCCTTTTGCTGCAGTAGAAGCGAGTTTGTCGAGCCGACGAGGTATGATTTCGTCCCATAATCAGCAAGCAGATCCAGCTGTTGAAGCGGCGTATATGGTCCAAACATGCTCCCCTTGCCAAATATTTGAAGGGGGAGGCCCATGTAAGCAAGCACTAAAGGGTCAAATTAGACGAAACAGTCTTTCTCTCGATATTATCAAGTGGCCGCCTTACAGGAGCTTCTCTCACTAGTTTTAAGCGAGCTTGGTTTTTCGACTGTCTGAGCATAGGTATCGTAGGCCGGATCCGCACAGTCTTGGAGATTGTGTATAAGGCCGGGTATCAAGGATATTAATGAGAATTGTATCATGCATAAACGCTCGCATCTGGAGCCAAAAAATAACATCTAGGGAAGGGTGAATCAGCTGCGTCGGACACATATTGAACGGTGACCGTACCTTGGGCTGTAGTAATAAACATTTAAACAAAACCAATGTCTGATGCTTGAATTCGTGTATCATTTCTCGTAAAGAAAGGCCCAAATGCTCATCTTTGTGCAGGTCTTCATTTTTCATGCTGATCTTCAAGCCTTCCCAGAATTTCTGGATACGTGTGTTAGTATACTTGCTTGACATAAGAGAGAAGACGCGCAGCCTGGCTTACCTGAAGGATATCCGTATCGGTAAAATCCCTATAGAAATAAAAGTCAGAATCCCCTTGATGCTCTACAACCTCGCTATGGAAAGCCATCCTATTACCGCTGAGCAAACCAGGCCGAGGTGACAATCGACAGCTTCTCCCGCAGCTGGCCCAGATGGCGAGGCTCGTTTATGATTGCCACCACGGCCTTCTGCACCGTAGACCTGGTCACCTCCGCCGGGCGATTGATCAGCTTATCCGAGTCGAGCTGCGTGGTGCATGCTATCCCGAACAGAGAGGTGGCGGGCGTGTCTTCCGTCGCCTTGCGCTGCAGCGTGAAGTAGGAGAAGTCCTCCGTCGACCTAGAATATTATCCCAGTCAGAGTCAGAAGAAAGATGATCCCTATCTCCCTCTCCTTCTTCGTTTTCTCCTCTCTTCCCCCGGGTCCCCTATAGATGCAGCAACGAGCAAGGTGTTTTTGCATACGCATGAGCTCCGTCCGACAGCGCCATGAACGGCAGCAATGCCCAGTCATTCTTCTTCACGGGGTCGACGCCGTCATCACAGAACCAGAACTCGACCTCGGGGCCTCTATAGCGAGCAGGGCAGTCAGTATAAGCAGGTTCTCCAGGTATAATAGGCATTTAGATGTTCAGCTATCACCTTGCATGGTGGAAATCGACCACGAGCACTATCGGCTCCTGGTGGGCTTTGCCGCTGCCCATGTCACAGCTTCATTGAAAGGCGCAGACTTATTGACAGAAGCCGGACGAGGGAGAGCAAAACGTCTCCCCCTTATTTTCCTTATCCTATATCGCTCTCTTCCATGCGAGGTCGAACTTGGATATCAACCTTGTCGGCGGTGCGGAGAGAGATTTTCCATCTCCGGTGCGTGGGCTACGTCTACATCTACTACTACCACTACATCTGCCATGCAGGATATGTTTATGAATACACAGCAGGAGGGATAAGATGTACGATCGAACGGTAGATATCCCTTCAGGGCGCTCTGAACTTATATCATGTACTATCACCAGTTATTAATATTATCAACCCAGACTCGCAGCCACCAAGTCAAAGCGTTCAACCATCTTTCTATTCATCTTCCCGCCAAACGTACTTGTTTGCTTTCCTGTGATAGTTTTCTTTGCTTTTCTTTTCTTCTTGTTATTGTATGTACAATAATCGAAAACTGCCTCGTTTCAGAAATAGTCAGTCCGGTAGGGTAAAATAAATCTTGAAAGGGGCGGAAACGGGGGCGTTGAAGGAAAAAGCCACGACGGACAACCCGGGGAAGATACAGAAAAAGAAAAAAAAAGGATAAATATAAACAAAAAAAATAAGATATGTAAAGAAAGGTAACAGGAAGATGCAGGATAGGATATATGGTAAATGATGGAGAATGGCATCGCGGTCTCGTAAATATTCACATTCCAGCCCCAACTCCCTCTCCTCCCAAGGTTGACTCGTATCGATTCAAAAACAAAAAAGGAAAAAAAGGGGGAGGCATAAAAAGGTGCCGCCGGTTTAGTAGGTATAACCAGTTAGGGAGTAGAAGCTGGAAAGAGTAAAAAAAAAAAAAAAAAGACGATGCATAAATGGCCCCGGCGTATATTATCATGTGTCTCTGGCGTGAATAGAATATTAACAGTTTTAAATAGGGAATAAAAAAAAGAGCTGGTTCTGGGCTGGCTGGGCTTCATCCGCACGTCGTGATGAAGCGATCGTCTAGGTCGCCTCCTTCTTTCATAACTATTTTCTCTCGTGCTTCGTTTCATGCTTCGTTTTGTTCGGCGTATTTTTTTTTATTTTTCATCAGTAGGTTCATTTATTGAAGGGCCCATCATTGAAAGGATGACGCCGAGGCGGTGGCGGACATATCTATTGGCGGCGGCTGGGGTTGAGTGTACTCCTGCGTGACCTGGTCGACGTTGTGGTAGTCGAGTATCTCCGAGTACCTAGAGACCGTTAGCGTGAGTTGGTAGGGGCATAAGGCAAGGCGAGCTCACATCATGATCTTCCAGCTATCAACGGGCAAGTCCGCGTCGTTGAAGGACCAGTCAAATCGCTCTCCGGCCTCGGGCTCGTCAGTTGGATCGTGGTAGGGAGCAAGGTACTCGTGGGTCAGAGCTTCACTGGCGCTGGTACGTGCTCTGGGGTCGAATACTAGCATTTTCTCAAGTAGATCGACGGCTAAAACTTATTAGTCTGGAGCTGCGGCCATGGCTTGAGTAGAGGAAGAGACTAGGAACATACCGAGCGGGTCTGCGTCCTTGAACTTCTCACTCAGTGGCTGGCGTTCTCGCTTGGGGAGCGACTGGACAAATTGGAGGGTCTTGAAGGGGTTTAGCCGACAAGTGTTTGAAAAAAAAAAAAAGAGAGAGAGAGTGGGGGAGAGAGAGACGTACGTTGGCACTGCCAATAGTCTTGATGACCTCGTCTGGCGGCGTGCCGAGCAGCTCTGTGATTATGGAGAACTGGTTGACATGGTCTTTGCCCGGGAAGAGAGGTCTGCCCGTCAACATCTCAGCGAAGATACAGCCGGCACTCCAGACGTCGACCTCGACGTCGTACTTTTGCCAGGTCAACATGATCTCCGGAGCACGGTAATATCTTGTGGAGACGTAGCCGGTCATCTGAGGGTCCTGGACACGGGCAAGTCCGAAATCACAGATCTTGAGGTCGCAGTTTTCGTTGATGAGGATGTTGCTTGGCTTTAGGTCGCGGTGGACGACGCCGGCGGAGTGTACATACTTGAGACCTCTCTAGTAGCCGTTAGTGCGTACGTCCTTATACGGAGGATGTATACATAGAACGTACGAGGATCTGGTATAGGAAGTACTGAATGAACTGCTTCTCGAGAGGGCGGGAGGTAAGTAGCCGATGGAGATCGGTGCCCAACAGCTCGGTCACAAAGTATCTGGGGCCGGTTAGCAGACTGTACCATAACAGGACGTCTGTCTATCAGGGAACTACATACATATCTTCGAGAGGCGAGATGAAGATGTCGCTTAAACTGATGACCTGCTAGGAGTAAGCATGTCATAACACACATACATACATATTATATGCGGGGGAGGGGAAGCGTACGTTCTCATGTCGAAGATGCTTGAGCAGCTTGAGCTCTCGATAAGTCCTCTTAGCCAGCACCGGAGTACTAAACGGCTTCATGATCTTCTTGACGGCAACCGCCTGCTCGGTCAATTGGTCTTTGGCGGAGCTGTGAGGGTGTCAGATATAACGATTCGTAGAGCGTAGTAGTAGATGCGCAGTCTCCAAGCGGTGAACGCACCAGACGAGACCGAAAGCTCCCATGCCCACCGGCTGCAGGTCAGTATACCTAGTAGAGAGAGAGAAAAAGGTCAGACTGTGTTCTTTTCTCATCGATATCCTGCCATCTCTCCTCTTGTCCTTTATTGATGAAGCGTACCTGGTGGTGATTTCAAAGGTGGTACCGAAGATCTGGGCACGAACGAACTCCGCCATCTTGAAGACAGTCCCGGAAACCCGCTTACTGAGGGGAGGTAGCGTCGAAGGATAGACTGTATCCAGCGATGGGGGCACAATAGAACAAGCGGGCATATAGTTGTCGTTATGATGAAGAAGAAGAAAAGAAGAAGAGAAGAGAGGAAGAAGAGAGGGGCGGGCTTTTTTTGGGCGAAACGTGGAAGACTAAAAAGCCCAACCCTAAGCAATATCCCAGCACTGTTAAGAGCCGGGAATCTTCAAGAGCGGACGTCTTAACACCTTGAATCCGGGACTTAGTTGCCTCTATGGAGACTATATACAGGCTCTTACGATGCCATTGACTGCTCTACTTGAGTATATCTTCCGAGATGTTGGTGCGAATGCTGATACTATCCCAGGGCTGAACCGCCTCTTCTACCGTAACCACCGCTCCAGACAAGCAAAGAGAGGCACAAAGCAACAAGCGTACCACGAACAGCACTCGAAGCATACCAAAGTTGTTCTGCACCGAACCTCGGGAGCTCTTGAAGGCTGCTTCTTTGCCATCGGACTCGCCACCGCACTGGCTCTTTTTTTTTTTTTTTTTTTGCCTCCCCCCAAACAGCTTTCTGAGCTATGAAACTTGTCCCAGCTTTCTCGAGCTTTGCCTGAAGCAAGTATATTGTCCCCGCGGGGAACAAGCTCTGGGGTGTTAAATACATAAGGCTACGGAGTATTATCCGCAGAGAGTATACATGTCCATTGTTCACTGCTTCAGCGGAGAGTAGGATCATATGGGTATCCAACAGGACAGACAATGAACCGGCCACCCCCGGCACTATAACAACCAACTATACAAGCAAAGAGTCGCTATACTGTAGTATGTTGGGGAGAGCTCCAGGTTGACACAGGAGACCTTGTTTCAGGCACCAGAGAGGGAGGGCAAAAAAGAAAAGAAAAAAGGAAAGAGGAAAAGACACCACATATACACACACATTTCCCGCCCCTGGGCCAAGGCTGAAACGGGTTTCCTGTTCGCTCACTAGCTAGTCTGGCGGCATCGGCGATGGACGGATCGCGGGTTTCAGAGCCACGCGGGAGGTGGGCGTTGTCTTGTCTGTCTGGGCTGGCTATATTTTGTCTGAGAGAAGGATGAAACGGGAGGAAAAGGGGTCGACAACGCCGGAGAATATCGCCCATCTCCGTCGATACGCCTATATAACTACGACAGAGAACAAGACGAGAGAGACACAGAGAGGCGGACAGACAGACAGACAGACAGAACAGACAGAGAGAAACAACCCTGCCACTCCCACATGGCTGGCCTGGAAGCGAGAAGTATGTACATACCATGTCTCTCTTCCATGTCCATAGTTTACTCTATCGGCCTGGAGCCTTAGCAGTGCTTTTAAGACCCTAATGCGAGTCATGGGAGATCCATCGTATCGTCCCTCCTGTCCATCTGTCCATCTACCCACCGTCAACCATCCAATATAATATATGATAAATGATAATAAATAGTAGAGAATATACATCTTAATATATTGTATACATAACTCACCGTCTGTCTGGTATCGTGGTAATGAAGTGTAAGATACGCGGGACAACCGCCCAAAAGCCGCAAGGTTATGCGGGTAACGGTGGGTAATACGCTTACTTAACAGCCCGCCTCTCTTTTCTTTTTCCTTGCCTTTTTTCCCTTTCTTCTGCTTCTTCTTCTTCTCTCTCTCTCTCTCTCTCTCCCTCTCGCCGTCCTTGTCTTTGCTTACTTCTTAATGTACTCTTAATAACCATCGTTTTACTTACCTCAACTTCCTCCCTCCCACCCCCGGCTTTTCAAGGGCTCCCCGCGAGATCCCACCTTTTTTTCTTTGTCGACCTCCCACACCACCCGAACTAGTTACATTGACATACAAGAGACAAGAGAGAAGAGAGGAGAGAGAAGAAGAAGAAGAAGCAGAAGAAGAAGAAGAAGACACAGGAAGATAAGAGAAGTAGTCGGAGGGTCGTCCATGCGCTGCTGGCCTTGATACTCCCTCCGCCTGGGTCTCGCCGGCCCAGGATCCACTGTCGCCCTCTCTTTAATCATATACTCGACCACACGACAAGCGACAAGACAGGAAGACGGAGAAAAGAAGACTAGGATAAAATAAAGGAAGAATAAGATACGCAGCGTGCGTGTGCCGTTGAAAAAGGGACCCTTTGTTCGAGCAAGGCAGCTCGCTCGCCTTTCGCCTTCGCCTCCTGCAAGCCAAACGCCCTATCCCCATTATCATCTATCGACGGGCTATATCTATCGACGGCCTGTATCTATCCCATTTACTCTCTCGCTCACCTCCTCTTCCTCCCCCTTCCTCCCCCCATTTCATCTATCTAATATACGACCACGTTTAATCAGTCACGGGTTCTCCCACCGACAGATGGGAGGATGTCTGAGTTCGACCGGCGCGGGTCGGACGAGGTCGCAGAGCAGAAGAAGAAGAGTCAGGCAATAGACAGAGTCTTGGAAGAAGACATGAAACGGCTTAAGAAGGAGTGCAAGATACTGCTTCTCGGTAGGTTGTCTCCTTTTCCATTCATCTCTTTGTGGTGTTTTCCCAAACCCCTCCTCCTCCCCTACGTTTCTGGCTGTGTTAATACGGAATAAGGCTCCGGGGAGAGCGGCAAGTCGACCATTGTGAAGCAGATGAAGATTATCCACCAGAACGGCTACTCGGTCGAAGAGCTGTCCATGTACCGTCTGACCGTGTACAAGAACCTCCTAGACTGTGCCAAGTCACTCGTCTGGGCCATGCATCAGTTCGAGATACAGCCGTCTAGCGCCAAGGTGCGAGACTTTATGGACTATCTGCTCGACTACAACATCGACCCGGATCCCAACGTCTCCCTCGAGCTCAAGGTCGGAGACGCCATCACATATCTCTGGAACGACCCCAGCATACCTGCCGTTCTCGAGCGTCAGAATGAGTTCTACCTCATGGACTCTGCTCCTTAGTGCGTCCCCATACCAATGCTCCCGATACGTATACACATAGCTAACGAGAACAGCTTCTTCGAGGAGTCAAAGCGGATAACGATGCCGGACTACATCCCCAACGAGGCAGACGTCCTGCGCGCCCGAACAAAGACTACCGGTATCTACGAGACCAGGTTCACCATGGGCCAACTAAGCATCCAGTACGATATCCCTCGATATCCCTCGTTCTTTCTGCGAGATATATGTATACTAACTGTTGGCAGCATGTTCGACGTAGGAGGACAGCGAAGTGAGCGCAAAAAGTGGATCCACTGCTTCGAAAACGTCACCTCTATAATCTTCTGCGTCGCCCTGAGCGAGTACGACCAGGTGCTGCTCGAGGAAAGCAACCAGAACCGCATGATGGAGAGTCTCGTCCTGTTCGACTCGGTGGTCAACTCGCGCTGGTTCATGCGCACCAGCATCGTCCTCTTCCTGAACAAGGTCGATCTCTTCCGCCAGAAGCTGGGCCGGTCCCCTCTCAACAAGTACTTCCCAGACTACTCGGGAGGTAACGACGTCAACCGCGCGGCCAAGTACCTGCTCTGGCGCTTCAACCAGGTCAACCGCGCACACCTCAACCTCTATCCTCAGTACGTTCATCCCCCCTGTATATAATATAAAGTATATAAAGCATGGTACTGACAGCAGCAGCCTGACGCAAGCAACGGATACGTCAAACATCCGACTCGTCTTCGCTGCCGTTAAGGAGACAATACTACAGAACGCGCTCAAGGACTCGGGCATATTATAACCTCTCAACCCCCTCCCTTCGACCTCCACGTCCGCCTTTATATCTCTCACCTTACACCCTTCCACATCTCTATACTTCCTGACCTCCACGACCGCCTTTATATCTCTCACCTTACACCCTTCCACATCTCTATACTTCCTGACCTCCACGACCGACCCGATACCACCAATACCATCACCACCACCATTACATACATACCCACGACATCTGACTTCTAACCGGCGTTAACTGTTTCTCTTGTGTTTTTTTTGTGTGTTAACGGGACGACACTGTACCGGCGCGGCGCGGCGTCCTGTTCATCTTTCCTCCGGCTTTTCTCATCATCAGCGAGTTTTTTCATTCCATCTTTTTCTTTTCTCTCTCACTCTCTGTCTGCTTCTCTCCTCCGACCTTCTCTTATGACGCTCTCCACGCCTGCTTTTTTCCCCTTATACAAAAAGAAAGCATCTCTCTATAACTCTTTGGTTAATGCATCTCCCTCGCGACGACTACCCTCTCTCCCTCTCTCTCTACTTGGCAGCCATCTTACCATTAATCTTTAACCATCCGACCATGTTTTACCACCGACCTCTTCCTTTTTTTCTCTTTCGTTTTCCTGTTTCTTTTGCCTCTGCCCAAAAAACAACGACGAACCCACCCTGACTTGACTTCTTTTTCTTTTTTTTTATGATGTATGAGAAACCGTCTCTCTCTCTCTCTCTCTCGCCTTGGCCTGTGATGAAGGCTTCGGGCTGGGCTGGGTTGACTTTTGATCTTTGACATTCTTCTGTGTCTTACCCTTTGATATGTGATGTGCACTACTTACTATATTACTTTTCTTCTCCTCCCTTTTTCTTCCACTCTATCTTCTTCCAGCTCAGGGGGTAAACATGCCTTTATGGTCCATCTAGATTAAGTTTCTATCAAGCAGCTTCGTCTCAAAACACGCTTTTCTTTATGAGATATATAGAAGTATAGTAAGGGAAGAGAAGAAGAGAATAGAGACGGACGCCGGGCCGTGGAAGTTGCATCCTCATCTATAGCAATATGGGGAGAGACGGAAGCGCATGCATAGATAGTAAGTGCCAGAGTCTATATAAGTAAGTAAGTATTTAATGGGCCGTCGCAAGGATACTTACTTGCTCTTCGCCACCTCGCAAGGAAGAGGAAAAGCAAGAAGTTGGATCTTTTCTCTTCCCGCCTGTCGACCTGTGCTACTTAGATATCTTCTTCTTCTTCTTCTTCTTCTTCTTCTTCTTCTACTTCCTCTACCCCTCCGTCCGCCCGCCTCTTCTTCATCCTCGACCAACTTCCACCAAGTAGCACTATATAACCATCTACCACACCAACAGCACAGAAGAATAGATAGAACAGCATGGCTCCTGGCATCGAGACGTCCCACCAGCCCCGAGAGCGCCGGCCGTCCGTGGGAGCTCCTCACAGCGACCTCCAGGGCCCCGTCGGACCAGGTTTCAGTCGTCCCAAGCACAAGCGGACCTTCACTGGCTTCGGGCCAAAGGACATCAAGTCTGTCGAGGCTAGCATCCCAGAGCCCCAGAGAGCTGCGTGAGTTGTCTATTTAGCCTACTTATTACTGGCTGTTGCTGGTTGCTGGTTGCTAATGTTGAATAGGTGGAAGAAATACGTACGTTGCGGTTGACCGCCAACACCACTGCTACCGCTACTGCTGCTGCTACTGCTGCTACCACTGACATCTCGGTAGGCCCCCAAGGAGTTTGGCAACAAGGAAGACTTCGAGGTATGTCTATCTACATGTATATCTGTCTGCATACTACTTACTGACCTGTTCCAGTCAGAGGTCGTTCGCCATGTCGAGACCAGCTTGGCCCGCTCCATCTTCAACTGTGATGAAGTGTACGTCTCCATACACGGCGAGAACAGTAACGATATGGACTGACATGCAGTAGAGCTGCCTACTCGGCCACGGCTCTGGCCTTCAGAGACCGTCTGGTCGTCGAGTGGAACAGGACGCAGCAGCGTCAGACCTTCAAGGACCAGAAGCGTGTCTACTGTACGTTCGACCAACTCGGAACAACGACAATCAGGGTCAATGGCTAACGTGTATACAGACCTCTCGCTCGAGTTTCTCATGGGCCGGGCCCTGGACAATGCCATGCTGAACGTCGGCTTGAAAGACCTGGCCAGAGGTGCGCTTTGCTTCTTCCTAGATAAGTTGATCGATCAGACTGACGTCATTGCTAGACGGACTGCATGATCTTGGTTTCCGCGTCGAGGATATCATCAAGCAGGAGAACGATGCCGCCCTGGGCAACGGTGGCCTCGGTAGGCTGGCTGCGTGCTTCCTCGACAGCCTAGCCTCGCTCAATTACCCTGCCTGGGGCTACGGCCTGCGCTACAGGTACGGCATCTTCAAGCAGGAGATCGTCAATGGCTACCAGATCGAGGTCCCCGACTACTGGCTAGACTTCAACCCCTGGGAGTTCCCCCGTCACGACGTCGTCGTAGACATCCAGTTCTACGGCTGGGTGCGCAAGTACCAGGACGAGAACGGCAAGACCGTCCACTCCTGGCAGGATGGAGAGATCGTCCAGGCGGTGGCCTACGACATGCCCATCCCCGGATACCAAACTCCCACCACCAACAACCTCCGCCTCTGGTCCTCCAAGGCCGCCAGCGGAGAGTTCGACTTCCAGCGCTTCAATGCCGGAGACTACGAGAGCGCCGTCGCGGACGAGCAGCGCGCCGAGACCATCTCCGCCGTCCTCTACCCCAACGATAACCTGGATAGAGGCAAGGAGCTTCGTCTGAAGCAGCAGTACTTCTGGTGCGCTGCCTCCCTCTTCGACATCGTCCGTCGATACAAGAAGACCAAGCGTCCTTGGAGCGAGTTCTCCGACCAGGTCGCCATCCAGCTCAATGATACCCATCCCACCCTTGCCATCGTCGAGCTTCAGCGCATCTTCATCGATGAAGAAGGCCTCGAGTGGGACGAGGCCTGGCGTCTCGTCTCCAACACCTTCGGCTACACTAACCACACCGTCCTCCCCGAGGCATTGGAGAAGTGGTCCGTCCCCCTGATGCAGAACCTGCTCCCCCGTCACCTTCAGATCATATACGAGATCAACATGGCCTTCCTCCAGCATGTGGAGCGCAAGTTCCCCAAGGACCACGACCTCCTCAGCCGTGTCTCCGTCATCGAAGAGACCCAGCCCAAGATGGTCCGCATGGCTCACATCGCTATCATCGGCTCGCACAAGGTCAACGGTGTCGCCGAGCTGCACTCGGACCTCATCCAGTCCACCATCTTCAAAGACTTTGTCACCATCTATGGACCCGACAAGTTCGGTAACGTCACCAATGGCATCACCCCTCGCCGCTGGCTGCACCAGGCCAACCGCAGGCTCTCCGACCTTATCGCCTCCAAGCTCGGTGGCCACGAGTTCCTCAAGAATCTGACTCTTCTCGACAAACTTGAAGGCTTCCTCGACGACAAGGAGTTCAAGACCGAGTGGGCTGCCATCAAGACCGCCAACAAGGAGCGTCTGGCCAAACACATCCTCGACACCACCAGCGTGCGAGTCAACCCCAAGGCCCTCTTCGACATCCAGGTAAAGCGTTTCCATGAATACAAGCGTCAGCAGCTCAACATCCTTGGTGTCATCCACCGCTACCTCCGCATCAAGGCCATGAGCCCCGAGGAGCGCTCCAAGCTTGCCCCCCGCGTCTCCATTTTCGGCGGCAAGGCAGCTCCTGGATACTGGATGGCGAAGACGATCATTCATCTGATCAACAGCGTCGGTGCCGTCGTCAACAATGACCCTGACGTCGGAGACTTGCTCAAGGTCATCTTCATTGAAGACTACAACGTCAGCAAGGCGGAAATCATATGTCCCGCCTCAGACATCAGCGAGCACATCTCCACCGCCGGTACCGAAGCCAGTGGAACAAGTAACATGAAATTCGTCTTGAACGGAGGCCTCATCATCGGAACCTGTGATGGTGCAAACGTAAGTTTTTATCGAGCTTCTCATCCCACATGAGCTCCAATAACTAACATGCGAGAAACATCCAGATTGAAATCACCCGTGAAATCGGCGAGCACAACATTTTCCTCTTCGGCAACCTGGCCGAAGACGTCGAGGAGCTCCGCCATGCACACGTCTACAACCCATCAAGTATAACTCTTGATCCATCTCTCTCCGCCGTCTTCGACGCCATCCGCGCCAACACCTTCGGCGACGCAAGCTCCTTCTCTGCCATTATCGACTCCATCACCCAGCACGGAGACTACTACCTTGTCTCAGACGACTTCAACTCTTACATCAAGACGCATGATATCATTGACGAGGCGTTCAAGGATAAAGATGGCTGGGTCGAGAAGAGCATCCAGAGCGTGGCTAGGATGGGCTTCTTCTCGTCTGACAGAGCCATTGCAGAGTATGCTGAGGGAATCTGGAACATAGAGCCACTTGACGTTAGCAATTAGGCTATTGCTTGCCAGCCCTTACTACTTCTTTTCCCTCTTTCTTTCCGTATCATTTACTAACATGTTCCGTGGTTAAGAGATGCATGACGTACGACAGCTAACCAAATTGTCCATCCAGTTATTACTCTTTTTTTTTTTTCATTTCATTAATAAAGTGGAGATCATTAGTCGTGAGTTCTAATATTGGTACATGTAGTAGAGATGTTGTACATGAGTAGAGCTTAGATATAAATGCAAGAGTAACCTTAGATCATCCCCCACCGCTCGTCAACCTTCTTCAAACCGCCACGGCTCCTCTCAGCCCACCGATCAACAAACGGCTCAACATCAATCCCACGCTTCCTTACAACTTCGTACAGCCGTTCACAACCCGTCTTAGCCGCACAAAGTCTCTCAACAGACACTTCATTAACCGGGCGCCGGGCCCCGCCTTCTTCTCCGTCCACTCTCTCCGGATAGTCCAAATCAAGCACGAAACTCAGCCTTTTCAACCCAGGCAGATAGTCCTCCCTGGCAAACGCGGCCACCCATTCATCCCACCGCGGATCCAGGGCAAGGCATACCGGTCCCCTGAACCGCAGTGTACTCAGAGTCGAAGGAAAAAGCTTGTAGAATCCCGACAAGTAGTTTGGATCCTGGTATACGTCTCCAATGCTTAGAGCTAGGGTATCTAGGCACGGCATCTGAGACAAGAATTGGCCGAACAGGTCTGCTGGAGTGTAGTGGAAGTCTAGTCCAGAAGTAGACCGGACGTTAAGTATAGTTATCCCCATGGTAATCGGAGGCATGGCGAGCACCATCCGGTTGAAAGTGTCCGTAGCGTCATTCTCAATAATCTCCAACTTCTCCAAGTGTACTTTCTCAGTCCGTTCGATGGATATGGTTTGTGCTCCATCTTCGCTGTTGGCTGCGCCGTTAAAATGTTTATTGAAAAACCACTTACCCACCAGCACGGGGAGGTAAGTGACTTCTATCTTACGTTCTTCAGGCGTCCCCTCGTTAAGGGTTATAAAATCCGCCTTCTCTTCTCCTCGCTTGATAGCGCTTTTATGCTCATCTAAAAGCTGCTGGCTAGTTGGCCCTTCGAACCGAAGCCCGGATGTAAGCAGGAGAACCAAATGCTTGACTCGTCCTTCGCGTATATATGGAGTCTCAATCAGGCTCGCGCAAGAGGAGGAAATCTGCAACCGTTCAAGAGGCCAGTGGGTCGGCATACTCTTATCATTCAGATCTTCGTTATATCCAGCTTCTAGCTCCAGCTCCTTCAGACTGGTGAAGTGCTTGCTGAGCAGCGACCATTCGGTGTTCGAAGGGGTATCATGGTCGATCCTCAGAGCTTCCGCATCTTTGGGAATGCAGTTTAGTTGGTCCAGCAGCTGTTGTATGTGGGTATCTTCTTTTTCTTGGGTCGGCCCATTGGCGTTGATAGTTGGGATTTTCACTGACGAGGACATGCTTCGGATATTGGTACCTCTGCAATGGTATCTCGGGAGTTTGGGGGCTCTGTGCCGCCAAATAGAGAAAACACGAGCAGCTATATTCATTTGCTTGGCTCAACGGCGATTGTAATGGCAGCGAGTGTTTTATTCCTGTAGGCTGTTTTTCGTATGCTTGAGAACACAGTAAGGTTAGAGTTTTGTCGGATGTTAATTATATAAGCAAACTAGCCGCAGCCAATTAAAATAGACATACTTGGTAGCCAATCAGAGTGATGCACTAATAGGTAGTTATGTTTTCTTTTTGTGACTTCAAACGTGAAGGCTTGGACGATTCTCATCCGTTACGAGTACAAGACTGATGATAAATGTTGCTTTCAACTTCCATCTCTCGTGGCTATAAGCGGTTTAATAGAGGATTTTTATCCTGTCTTCCATCTCCTGCTCCGGACTTGATACCACAATCCCCTCAGTGATATTTGTTTCCATCAACCCAGCAAACTTGGAATAACGAACACCATGGAGAATATAATATACTATTATTTATCATCCGGGAGCGAGTATGAACCGCTTGCTGGGCAAGCGCAAATACGGTCGTAATTTCAAATATACCATGGTGTCTGTTGCATTCTTCTCGACCGTCCATGCAAGACTCATCTACCCTTCCTTCGCGGAATCGATACAATCACATATGAGTCGGTTCCAACTCGTTCAATCTCATAGTCTAACATTAGTACATGCGGTATGTCCTCCATCACAATATGGCTTAACTTAAGATTACCCTATCTTCTATTTGGGACGCGGCCCGCAAATACCCACCAGATTCGAGTCTCTTTAGCAACCGGCCACATCTCTCTCTCTTAAGGGAAAGATTGGAGAATATACGGGTGGGATTTAAGGATATCTAGGCGGAATGTGTATGAGCTGAACGAATCTACGCGCTATGGCTGGCGTGTGTCCTGAGTACCTACGTAGGTAGGGGTTGGTTGGCCAACCTCGTGCCCAAGGGCAGGATGTTTGGAACCGGGAAAATAAATATTCCGAACAAATTGAGCTCCGGAGGCTCCAGATTGGCGCTGGCTGCTCATAGCTAGCAACGTATTCATCGATGAGCGTCAAGTGCTCGAAGTAATGCAAAGGATAATTCTCTTTCCAGGTCTGCGGAAACCAAGCTCGAGTACTTGAAGCGATGGCGTCCAACGCCTCAGTCACGGACCTAACAGCGTGCAAATCAGAAAGCACACCCAACCCCGAGGATGGTGTTCCATTTTCATATGGAAATCTCCATGTGGGCGAGACTTATCTCAAACTGAATAAGAAGCTCTTCAAAATCCCGCCTGATGCAAAGAAAGAACCGCCGTTAGAAGGGGATGTGTTTCGCGTTCTAAGCAAGCAAGGTGGTCGGCTGGTTCTTGAGCGAGAGTATTCATATGTTTCCAAGGGCGGAACGGCTGTAAGGCGTTTCGAGGTTGAAGCCATGAAGCTGGTGGCGAAACACACCTCCGTCCCTCTTCCCGAAGTTATCTACAGCCTCATCGATGATCACAGTGGTGAGATCGGGATGACAACTATTCCAGGTACTACACTGGAAAGCCTGTGGGATAAGCTGAATGATGAAACAAAAAAGTCTATATGCCATGAAACATGGGATCAAATCGCCAAACTCCGAGAAATCCCCCAACCACCTGCCCTGAAACCTTTCTTCCAGTGCCTCGCTGACGGCTCGCCAACTCTTGATGCTCTAATTGAAGACCTGGACCGCTCTGGAACACCTCTATATACAGACGAAGATGTCAGAACCCGGATATACCGCCGCTATCTCCATTTCGGCGGCCTGCGATATAAAAATGAGCTACCGGACATGCTCCCTCGATCATCACGGACTGTATTCACACACGCTGACATCGCCCCGCGAAACATCATGGTTGACGACAATTATCACATCACTGGTATCCTCGACTGGGAGTATGCCGGCTGGTATCCTGATTATTGGGAGTACGCGCAGATCATGAGGCCCGCTTGCCGGACGGGCGATTGGCAGAAATGGATGGGTCTCACTGCGCCTCAAAAATGGGATATCTCGGGAATAGCAGCCGCGAGACGGGTTCTATTTTGATATTACTTGCAAATATTACTGCTAGTAGATTGTTGTTAATAGTAACTTCTCCTTGCTTTCATCTACCATGTTTTCTGAAAGCTATGCCTTATATCAAGAAAAGACTGCTTTTCGTCAAACTTCCGTCGCATCTGTAAAGTCCTAAGTAGTTATTTTTAGGTACTGTTAACCTTCTGGCCCCGTTGTCATGTACGGGCGCAGAGATCAGATTTCTTGCTTTGGTCGAATCCAGTGTTAAGGGCTTGGTAAAGATCAACACAGCCATATATCGAACTGCGTGGTGTGTAGATGTTCTTAACTGCATGGATATCACCACGCGCGGCAGTTAGTTGCTCCGCCTCAGTAACCACTAATGAATAAATACATATAGAATCAGAGCATTCAATCTATATACATCGAGAAACATTGGCTTGTCTAGTCAGTCCTTCCAATGTACTCCAACCATTAGAAGATGACTTGCTTCGACTCTAGTGCTCTTGATAACGGACTTTGTCACACTAGAATTATTAATCATGACGGCTCCTTTGGTTTCTTCCTCCATTGAGTCAATGGGTTTCGTCATATTTAACAGCCCCCTCTCATTTAACCCATACAAGCCAGACGCGGCAGGCTGTATTCTTATGTACATAGTAAACGGGTGGAAGAACTCTATGGGGACCTCGGAAAGGCATTGACCCAGCATCTCGTGTAATAAAGGCTCGACGATTCCGACTTTCAGGCAACGAGAAGCCGAATATATATACCTATGCCTTAGATTTGGAAGTCGTATGGTAGAATGCCCTTATCCAGAGTTCTCCGTAGTGGTTAGTAGACAGGGCGTATCACTCTATTCGTCTCAGGCGAGGTAACAGCTTATGTAATTGGTTAGTCATAAATCTCACTCACGTGATGGCTTGACGCGCGCAAAAGATATCAACATCCTCAAACTACTCAAGTATTTGGGCTTGCACTCTACAGCCGATGGAGTGATGGAACCTGAAGTGAATGTATGCGAGACGGCTCTCGATATTATACGATCCGCCAATCTAACTCCTACCGAACATTTGATTCTGGAAAAGTTCTTAGATGAAGCTGTAGACCCCAGCTATGCTGCTCGATATCTGCTGCAAAGACTGAACGAGAACCCAGGCCGCGATACCGAAGCAGGCCTTAGAGTATTTAAGCAGGATTGGAAACGGCTCGTTTCGAAATGTGAGCCCCTCGGCATTTCATAGCTCATTTCAAAGCTAAATATCCTCGTTGGAGTTACAAAATGTGAAGAGATACCGTTGCCCTTACAAAGTCTCCTTAAACGTCGGGATTCGTTGAATTGTTGCTGTATGGTCATCCACCGGGACCGATTGAATAAGAATGCGACGTTCAATGTCGAGCCGGCGTGGATTATACCACCTTCAACATTTGACGATGATGAATTGACGCACAATGTGAGGCCTAAATTCACACTGACCGACACTGAACTATCTTCTAACGGAGGGAAAAATTCTGTTTAGAGCCCGCTACTCTTATTGTTGGAAGGTTTCTTAACGCCTGATGGAGTACGCCGACTGCAGAGCATCCTTCAAGCTTGTACTGAAGAAGCACCTGCGCTGCAAAATCTTTTTCTTCTATCGCCTGCGGTTCATTCTGCTTTCCGGGATGGCCGCGTACAAATAACAAGAGGGCTTGGCCCTAATCCGCCTAAGAAGGTGGATATAAATTCAAAGGAAATTGATGTTTGTCATACCTGTCCATAAATATCGAATCTGGCAGTGAACTGAGGAGTTTATAACCAGTACCTTGCCATCACGCGTCCTCCCGAAGAATGCACTGGCCTTACCCTCAGCAATGGGGACCCATTCAACGGCTATGTTCATATGTTCACAATGTACACCCAAGACCCTTCCTTATATTGCTTACCTAGCGAAGAGTTATTTCGGATGCACTTTAAGATTGCTACTGCGTTACACCTTTTCTTTGTTGAGGATCGTATCTCTACGGGCTGGACACGGCCTTCTTACGGTAGGTTCACGGACATTTAAGATGCTTTCCAGGTCTCTATAAATATAGAACCAACTAACTCCCCGAAAATTAGTCGCATTGAACAAGACAGCTTGCAAAATCATTCGCAGGTGCTGGCATTTCGTACCCAAGTTTATTCGGGTGTGGTGTTATCATATCTTACTCAAGATCGGCAAACGGCTATATTCGCCCCGTTGTTCTGCGGTAATACACCAACTTCCACTTGGCCTATATCTAAAACCCTGTTTCCGTTCTCGGTTCAACGAAGCAAAGGCTCTGCAGATTGTTGAGAAGTACACCTCGATCACAGCACCACTCTGTGTAGACACATTTGAGGATAAAGGGAAGGTAATGCTAGTCATGACGCGGATTAGAGGGGATGGGCTTAATGAAGTATTTCACCGGTTATCATACCAGCAGCGCGAACAACTCTCAATTGATCTAGGGATGGTGGTTAAGCAGCTTCGAATGGTCCCAAACACGACACCATATCGGTTAGCAAATGCCCTGGGTGGCCCGCTGTTGGATGTCCGGTTGCCGGAAACACAGGAAGGCCCATGCGGCCCATACAACAAATGCTCAGATTTCCACAATTATCTCATCCATAAATATGTTTGGCCAAAGACTAAAGAGTCAGTCGCTGCTGTTCACTCACAAGAATACCGGTCCTTCTTTACCCACGCTGATTTAAATCCTACCAATATCATGATCGACCAAGGAAAGCTGTCCGGGATCTTGGATTGGGAATGTGCAGGGTTTTACCCCGAATACTGGGAATTCACCAAAGGAATATACTGTGTGGAAAATGATAAAGCTAGGGAAAAGATTATTTGGGGCGCCTTCCCCGATGACAACTATGAAGATGAGCTCAAGGCAGAGAAATTGCTGTGGAGAGAAACGCCTCTAGGCCTATAGCAACACCAAGCTCCGGCATCCCCTATGCAAACACCATTCCGATTTCGCTGTGATTCCAGCATGAGATATGAAGGCAAATTATATATTATCATTATCAGCTTTCTTTTTCATAGCATACACTCACGCTTTCGAGCATCGGTCAGTTATATTACCCGGTGGCTTAGAACAAATACGCTGTAAGAGAGAGAATAAGTGCCATAGGAATGATTCTGAAACGCAAACTCCTCCAAGTTCGACCCCTGAGCCTGCTCTCAAGCCTCGCTGCTGCCTAGCCACGGCAGCCATTTTCAGCCGCATGATTTGCTTTTTCCATAATGAGTGAAGTATTAGCATCAAGAGTAACAAAGTCTTGATATATATTCAATAAACCAGCATCCCGAGCTCAAGCCTTGATTGCACCAGAAAAAGATACCGACCATGGAACCATGGAGCATGTTGATGGCAGCAATAGTGGCTCTTTTGAGCTACCTCATCGTCCAGACGATCTATCGTCTCTATTTCCATCCCCTGAGCAAGTTTCCCGGGCCTAAGATTGCAGCTATCGGTCGCTTTTACGAGTTCTACTTCAACGTGATCAAGGGAGGCATGTACATCTGGGAGATACAGCGCATGCATGAAAAATACGGTAAGCATGATCATTAAATGGCATCTTTATGTCTTACTGTTCAATGGCTGATGAGCTATGAAAAAGGCCCAATCGTACGAATTAACCACCGAGAGCTTCATATCAAAGATCCCCATTACTATGACGAGATATATAGCTCTCGCAAACAGGAAAAAGACTACTACGCCGTCTCTGCATTTGGCATGACTCTGTCTATGGTTACAACTCTCGACCATGATCTTCATCGCTTCCGCCGGGGTATCTTGAATAGCTTCTTCTCCAAACGAGCGGTCGTTAGTCTCGAGCCCCTGATCCTGGAAAAAGTGCGTCGTGTAGCTGAGCGCCTCGAAGAAGCCTTCGAGGAAAATGCCGTGGTTCCGTTCGATAAACTGTTCGCCGCATTGACCGCAGATGTTATCTCCAAATACGCATATGGGCAAAGCCTGGGCTGCCTGGAGAGTAAAGAGCTGAAGAATGGCTTCAGGGATTTTGGAAACGTTGCTGGCAATTTATCCCATATCAGCACATTCTTCCCTAACATGATGGCTATGCTCAAGGCTCTACCTGAAGGAGTATTGCAGGCGATGCAGCCGCAGGCCGCAGGTTTTTTTGCAGTGAAGAAGCTCGTCAACGACCAAGCTATAGCTACGCTCAGTGAGGCTAGTCAACCAGGATATAAGGCGCCAGAGGGAGCTGATAAGACAATCTTTCACGCACTCTGTGACCCTGCAGTGCCAGCGAAGGAGAAGGAGCTCAATAGAGTATCAGAGGAGGCATTGGCTGTTCTTGGTGCAGGTACAGAAACGACAGCAAGAGTGTTGACCGTGGGCACATTTTATCTATACCACGATAAATCCGTGTTGTATAGGCTGCGTGAGGAGCTGAAGGAGGTGATGCCCAAACCGGATAGCAGTATCACCTGGACACAGTTAGAACAACTGCCATATCTTGTAAGCTTCGGGTCTCTTTATGATCGATGCCATCTAGCGATATCACTAACGGAGAGTCGCATACAGAATGCTTTTGTCAGCGAGTCACTTCGAGTGTCTCACACACTGATCATGCGGCTCCCGCGAATCGCGCGGGACCACAGTTTGGCGTATAAGGAATTTGTGATTCCACCAGGTGTGAGTGCAAATGTTCACTCATATGGTTTTACCTATAGACTGAGATATAACTGACTTTGTTTAACAATCCAAACAGACACCAGTTAGCCAGTCATCATACTTCGTTCATACGGACCCAACTATATTCCCCGACCCTGAAAAATTCGATCCTGAACGTTGGATTCAAGCCACGGAAAAAGGTGAGCGGCTGTCCAGATATACAGTCTCATTCACCAAGGGAAACAGAAACTGCCAAGGGTTAAAGTGAGATTTCCCCTGTTCTCCTTTATATATATTCGGGCTTTGTCCTGATCATGCTGCTAAAACATCATTATCTCTGATAGCCTAGCATACGCAGAGTTATATCTCATGTTTGCCGTCATGGCTCGCAGGTTCGATATGGAATTGCATGAAACCACGATTGAGAATATTCGGGTGGGGAGGGAATTTGGTATTGGCTTGCCGAAGCATAAGAATGTAGTTCAGGGTCATGCCAGGGTAACGCATATTGTGGCCGAGTGATTGGAAGATCTGGAGGACAATCGCCCGTTTCTCAGCCTGCTCATACGATGGGCCAGTTGAGAACAAAAAACTGGAGTGTATTCTTCACCCCGTACTATATACTAGGGTGAAACCGCCTGGTTATAAATGCAGGATAAATTATACTAATTTAAACTGCTATGGATTTCACGCATAATACGTACAGCCCAGAGACCAATTTTCCGAACTCCCATGTGTGATGCAGTGCTTCAAGAAAAGCGATCATGTAGTCAAAATGATATTGGTGTGAGGTAGTCTTAGATATGGGGTATATATGTGTTTGACGTATTGTTCTTCCCACAGGTCAATATCGTCGTTTATTTCTCGCACATCTTTAGTAAGTCGGGGTTTTAGCATTGAGCAATTCCCACCCGGTGGCCAGATATCCCTATGAAATTAGGAGTATATGAGAAATCATCATTCAAGGAAATTGTACATCTATATTCAAATCCTCTATGCTGTGGTAAGTTCCTGAACACGTCGTTCTAATTCAGGAACAGCTCGAAGCTGGAGATCGATATCTTCCTTTTCACTGTAAATAGCATTGAATTAGCCACGAAACGTCACCGAAATGAACTGTCATAACATTCTTACTCTTCAAGCTTTAGCCGACGCTCCCAATCCAAACCGGTAAAGATATAATTTCCCTGGCCGTCAAACTGGAGGATTTTCTTATGGTATTTCCACAAACTTCTCCTATGTGAGACAGTCATCAAAGTCACACCAAGCTTCTTTGCAGTCTCGTACATGACCTTCTCAATCTCTAGTGTTACCGAAGACGTGCATTCGTCCAAGATGGCGTATTTTGGTTTATGGTAGAACAACCGAGCCATGGCGATTCGTTGCTGGAGCCCACCAGACAGCACATCTCGCCACTCTTCCTCCGCATCCCAGCCACCAGGCCGGTCAACAACGGAAGAGATTTCGACTATAGATAAAATTTCAAAAAGATCTGAATCAGTAACTCCTTTCTTGTGCATTTCTTTGAGCCCGTCAGGATAAATAACCTGCTGTCGAAGCGTGCCGCGTGAAAGATATGGTCGCTGGGGAATGTAGAAGATGTCTTCGAAGGACGGCTTTTTCACCGTACCACCATATACAGGCCATAGCCCACCAAGGATACGGAACAGAGATGATTTTCCACACCCGTTGGGCCCAACAATAAGAAGGTGCTCTCCTGGGTGGACGGTGAAGGTGAGTTTTTCAACCAAAACATCTCCGTTGGGTGAAATTATAGGCACGTCCGTGAACTCGATGGAGTTACTTTCGACGATGGTTCCGCGCCTGCCAAGGACTGCAGCATTAGAGTCTGTTGATACCGAAGAAACCAACTTCTTCTGGAAACGGCCGGCAGTTATGTCGTCCATTACATCGAGAAGAGAGGCTACACGGGAGGTGTATCCAGCAAGCTGGGAAATCTCCTTGTATGAGAACATTACTCTTCCAAAGGCGTCAGAAGAGGAGAGAAGTATCCTTCTGTTAGTTACAAAGCCTATCATGGAATGTTAGCTACGGGAAAAGCAAGACGAAGTAATAGGGAGGTCCTTGACATACTTTCAGTCCTGTCTCCCATTGATGAGGTTATTTGGGTAGGAATTTTGAAAAAGACAGGGACACTGCATAGGATCAACCCCAGAGCACCCCAGAAGTACTTGATAACAAAGTCTTCCATGAATCCATGATAAAGTCTTCTCCGTAGGATCCGGTTAACATGTTTTATCAGAGTAAAGTACCCCTTGTCTAGAGTATCCCTCTCCGATTCATGGCCGTGATATAGGGCGACCTCCTCACTATAATCGATTAATCTCGTATGTTGGAAGCGGAACTCTCCTTCTAGCTTGGCTTCCTCGGCCACATATTTGCCGAAGGGCGGAGTGAGGGCCCTCATAGCGTTAGCAGATAGCTGCACCAGAAGCGCCATGATGAAAAGGCCCTCACCTCCCACATTCTTTGAAAGGGAGTAATTGTATATAGCCATGTCAAGAATGGGTTTGGCGAGGTTAGAGTATAGCTCTGCCAAGCTATTGGAGAATCGGGATATATCCACCGTGATGAGCTGGTCTGGATTCTTGATCCGGTCATCTAGCGCGGATAATGCATAAAAGTTCATGTTTGACAAGTACTGGTTATGGATGTACTCCGTTAGGCGTTTTCGGTACTGGAGCGCAAGCTGACATTGGTGGTACGAAAGCTACCGTTTTGAAGGACGAGTAAGCATTGAAGTCGAAAGCCGAATGGGGGGTAAAAACTCACCATTGAATTCGTGAAGGTGGCTGGTACCGCGACTGTCATCCACCACGCCAGAGCAAGGAGGAACTCCCTCCCTTTCCCCCTGACCAAGCTGCTAACAAGCTTTCCATCCAGTTCTGCGACATATAAGCTTAACAATGTCCTCAGAACTAGGAATATCGAATGGCTAATCAGCAGCCGGAGTTCCTTGCTCTTCCAACCAGGTATCACAATCTTCAGCAGTCGTAACAAATTCCGCAAGAACTCTCGATTCAGCCCAACTCTTTTCCTAGACTTGCTGCCCTCTTTGCCATTATTATCGCCGCCGGCAGCCGTTCCAGCGTCTCCGTCCAACTTTCGAGTCCCTGCCCTGTTTCCGGCATGTACCTCAGAGGCGGACTTTTGCTCGGCGATGGCGTTATGGATCCGTTTGGCGAGGGCGAGGAAGAGCGTCAGGTAAACGGCGCGTGATATGCCGGTGCGATGCTTCACATATTTCCTCGCGAGGAGGGAGACGGCATCTTTGATTGATCGTTCCAGCCCAACGACAGGTTGAGAGAGGACCGCCATGATGATTCTCTAGTGAGGGCCCGCAGCCCGCAAGCAGTAAACGCCTATGAAGCAAGTGTGTCTCTATGAGTTGAGATCAGCATGAACCTGGCATCCTGCGAGTTTCGCACTTCCAGCTCGAGCATATTCAACTTCAGCTTCCCCAAAAACTCCCAAGTTGCTCTGCTTTGTTCTTCTTCATCTTTTTGCTTGTTGAAATCCGTCGTTGGCAAAGCCGACGTCACATGACTGCGGTTGAGCCGCTTGACATGTGAAAAGGCGAGAAAAAACGCCGAAAAACGACGAAAAAATGGAAAAAAGATATCAAAAAAGAAGAAAAAGACAGGATGAATCTGATTCTTCGAGATACACGGTGGTAGATATTATTGTTTCCAACCAGACTTGCTCTCGCTTCGATATTCATAGAAGAGAGCCCTCCTTACCACATCCAAGCCGTCATCTCATAAATTCAAGAAGAGAGAAGAAGAACAAACTGTTTGAGTTCGAACTGCTGACTGCATAAACCTATCGGAACGGTTAAAAGGAAATGAAGATGCAAGAAAAAGAAAGACATAATCCAGTTACATGCATGTATACGCCCGTGGGAAAGCCATCCACGTCCTCGCTAAGCCAAAAACCATGTGCCATATGACGATGTAAATACACGGAGAGCAGACAATCATAAGGAAGCTCACAAGAAGGAAAGCGCAGGAAAGAAGAAGATATCTGAAAAAAATAGATTCGCTTGGGGAATATTTGAAGGGTAGGAGAATGATCAAAAAGAATACAAAAATATAGGCTGAGCAGGGCAGATAATGATCTTTCGCTTGGCCCGAGTTCAAGATGTTATACTTATTAAAAAAAGATAAGAGAAAAAAGAAAGCAGCGGAGGGTGAGCTTACCGCTCCCCGCTATCGCTAGTATGGAGGAGTGGAATTCAAGATGGGCATTCATGCACTGTCCGGATTTCTCAGGCCAGCATTGATAAGTGCAACGATATGGTTCTCCTTAAGCTCCGCAAACGCTTCAGGGTCTTGTTTCTGCAGGGCTAGCAGTTCCTCTAGATTCGATGGACCGTCCGGAAGTATAGTATGAGGAGGCGAAGATAGGCCTTCACTGTGAGGGTGTGCATGGGCATCCCCTCCCTGGAGAGCATGTAGTCGTTCCAGCTTTTCACGTAGAGCTTGGACCTGGACGGCGTCAGGGGGTGACTGGGAGATTGGCTTTTCGGGAGACTCCTGCTCCTGATCCGATTTTTTGCTGTTGTCACTCTCCTGACGGTTGAGTAGGGTATGGCTGAAATGATGGCTAAGACGATGCACTTTGCCTTCTTCAGAGGTCAGCGCACGGGAATGAAGAGAAGTATTCGAGCTTGCCCGCGAGAGACGAACGGCGTATCGATCTACATCCTCGTCTTCGCCATCAGCTTCAGCGGTTGCGTTGCCGTTGGTCGATAAATCAGGTGGTTCAAGGATAGAGGAGTCATTGATATTAGAGAGGTTGGGAGATCCTTCACTCGAGCGGGTTGAGGTCTCATCGGGGATGCGGGTATCCGGGAACTCGTCCTCAAAACGCTGGATCATTCGTTGCAGTGTCATGTCAAGGAAGTGGAGTCGGCCTGTGATAGGTTAGTTAGCGTTCTCCAAATGCAAGCCGTAAGAACAATACATACGGTAGTTTAGGTCATTGCCTGCCCGGTCCTCACGGACCAAAGCAGGCCGTAGCCGTAGTCGGATCTTCCTCGCAGAGTTGAGAAGATCCCTCGACATATCGCGAGGTTTCTTGGTCACGCGAACCTGGCTGAGGCGACGATATGGTGTGGAGGTACCGCTTGCGGTGGGGGATTGCTCCCCAACCGCGTCCTCTACCGGGGTATAATCAGAATTACCCAGGCAAATTCCCAAGGCCTTGACAACTCCCGTGCCACCAATAACATAGTCGTAATCAGATGTGACTTTTGAATCATCGATGTCCTCATTTGTATCGTCAGCATGGCCAACCAAATGCTCTAGGATATCAGGAACAGGAACATCCCTAACGGCGGGCTGGGAATCGATAGACGAAGATAGCTCCTCTTTCAGCTCTCCATACTGGAGGTTGCGGAGTGAATATGCGACTATCTGGGAAGCAAGTGCCTTGACGACCTCGTTATTCTCTGGTGTGGGGACGTCAATATCAATAGCAATAATATTCCGCGATATGCGGGCCGCTGACATAAATGACGCGTACAAAGCGCAAGCTTCTTCCTGAGCTTCGGGTGTATTTGCAGAAGCCAATTCCTGAATGGCCGGGTTCTCAAGGATATTGATATGACAGAGTTTAGGGCAGTCGGGCAGAATCTCAGCAAGGGCAATAGCATGCTCTGGCCCCAAACAGACGTCCGCGAGATGTATTCGTCTCAGTTCCTGCATCTGTGGGAGGTACCTCCGTAGAGTCCCCAAGGAGTCCGGCTGGGTGATGAACAACTCCCTGTTGTGAGACAAGTCGATGAAGCGAAAGTTAGGCAGCAAGTGCAACCCCTGCATAAGTGAACATAGCGTTTTAGGTGTCAAGGAACAGTCCGCCAAGCTTAGGGCAGTGAGAGGGAATGACTTCTCAATAGCAGATGAGAAAAGACCAATGTGGGCTTCTAGCTTGTTACCGCCCAAATCAAGTCCCTCGCATTTACCACCCTGGAAGTAGTTGATAACATATTCGAGTCCCTCCTTGGTGAGTTCATTATTAGCTAGGCCAAGTCGCCGTAGCCCGACAGTCCTAGCTGCTTCACATATCTTTTGCACGTCGTCGGTTGATGGTGAACATTCGCTGAGGACAAGCTCTTCAAGTTTTTCACCTCCGAATCGCTGGGCTAGTGCATTTGAAAATATTGTTCCAATATCGGGCATAGGTTTGGAGGACCGACTTATAGAAGACAATGGGCTATTGGTGGGTGGAGTTGGACGAGGGAACGGTATTCCAGACAGATCAATACCTTTGAGTGAGCGGGACATGTGTATGAAAAGGCTGATGTGTCGCCATCCTTCGGGGCCAATTTTTGAATTTCCTTTTAATGACAGCTTCTCTATAGCCCCATACCGGGTTTCTTTCGCTAATGCGTGATCGGTATGTCGGTGTTTTAGCTGCCTTGCCTGTTTTGCAGCTTCAATAGTCTTGGTAGCCAGTAACCCGCCAAGTATAACTCTGACTGCTTCGTCAGAGAGGCCGCAGTCTTGTAATATCAGTTTCCGAACGGGGACGATAGCAAGCCAATCGCTGAAAGTAATAATATCAGTAAGAGTCATGGGGAAACCAGTCAAGTCCAGGACGGCAACGGTGCCAGGGGACTCCGCCAAAATCGAGGACGGCGAAGAAATCTGTTCGACCAACTTTTTTAGCACGCCAGTTTCCCGAAGCTGACAGCATCGTCGATATATCCGTAGAGGGTCTGTTGTAGGCTGATCTTGACCGCGCGATGATCGACGGACAGAGCTTGTCTTGGAAGTATTACTACTTCCGCCCTCTAGATTGACTTGTAAGGGCACAGAACCATTTTCTTCTGCCTGCCGTCTCTTCTTCTCTTTCCGCTCCTTCCGTTCTTCTTCTGAACGCTTCTTCTTCTCCTGCTTCTTTGTGGGAGCTGGCTTAGATATCTCGTCATCCGGAGGAGACTCGGCGGCTTGCGTTGTGTCATTGACGGCAGGGGTATCCAAAGGTGGTGAGGAAGTTGGTGGCGGCGCATGGCCCATGGCACTCTTCAATGTTGACCCTTCTTCCGCCTCCGCTGTTTTGGGATCGAGTTTCTTCTTCGTACTCCTCTCGTCGTCTCCTTCTGACCTCCTGGCAGTCCCTGCAATCTCTACATCCACACAAAACGCCACGCGTCGCAGCTTTGCTTGGTTGAGTTCCGGAATCTTGCATCTGTCCCGATCCGCATCGATATTCATAACACGCCTTGGCCACACTCCGCCATTGGGAGCGTGGCTTGACGCCAGCTTACCTAGTCCGGCGCCTCCTGACGATGATAGTTTTCGGAACGCGGTATGGAAGAAGGAAGGGTGTCCGCTCTTCGGTGAGCCACTGGTAAAGGAGCTAGAACTTTCTGCCGATTTATCAGCATCTTTCGGCGAGAAGGCAGCACCAAATGGGTTTATTGTATCTGAAGCCTGCTGCTGTCTGCTGTTATTCGACGGCGATTCTCTCATATGGTTTTGCGACGGAGGAGTAGAGCCGGAAGTAAACTTGGAGCTTAGAGTAGAAATCCAGGAATTGCGCCGAGGCACAGGCTTTGGCGGTGTTGGTTTAACAGGCGTATTTGTACTGGCGGCCGTAGTTGGATTTGAACCTGCGAGTGCAGGTGCGCTTGAACTGGCACTTTGAGCTGGTGTCTGCTCCTGGTTTTGGCTCTGGCCCTGGCTTGGTGGAGAGAGCGATTGTTTGGCAGGCTCGTTCTCGGTGTTTCCTGAGAGTGATGGTAATGGTTTTGACAATGAAGACGCCAGCACTGGCTTCGTGGTTGAGGACGGAGTATGTCCGTTTGTAGCACTGTCAGTGGCGTCATTATGGGGAGAGCTGCCGTCGTCCACGAATTGCTGTTCATTTGGTTTCTGAGCAGGCCTTGAAGGTGCATTTTTGCCTCGACCGGCATTATCAGCTATACAACACCGTCAGAGATGACCTCATGCCGCATACCGACCAAAAAGAAAGAGCATGAACATACCCCGCTGCGAATGATGGAGCCAGCTCACGTCGACGGCCTCGGCACCACCGTCCATTATCAAACGAAAATATATAGAGATAAATAAAAAAAAGGAAGTAGCGAGATGTAGGAGACAAGAGCCCCAGCAACTCAAACGACCGTTCGACGTTGGTCCGCAAGCCTGCGCAGAATTACACAGGGAGGCGAGATATTTCGAAGTATACGCGATCGCTCTATCAAGAAGGAGCAAAGTGAATGTAGCAGCAGATAGAACCAAGCCAGGAACAACGATATCAAAAAAAAAAAAAAGACAATGACTGTGTGGTCTCGCAGGAAGAGGGTAATGATCGTGGCTGTGTGTATGGATGTATGTGATGCTCTGGATGGCGGATTCCCTCACAGCGGTTTCCGGCGTGAATCTTCCGTGGACAGTCGAGTGAGAGAGTGGCAGATCATTGTGAACGAGGAATGCCGATTGAAGCGTACAAAGGAACCTTTAGGGCGAAGATACCAGCGTGAAGAAGGGCCTCCCGTGCGAGTTTATGTATGTGACTGTGCTGCCCTTGTGTCCATCCTGTCTCTGGTTTCGAGGCAGAAGTACCTAATATATGTATCTTCTTCCCCCCAGCCAGGCCAGGATTACAAAGCGGCTGATGCGAAAAGTTTCCTGCTTTCTTCTTCTTCCTAGTCGACGGCAGTTAGCCTAAGTCAAATAACTTTTCGCTTCTCTTCTTGCTTTTTCTTCTCTCTCTGCTCTTGTGTGCTGCAGGATGCAGGTATGTATCTCTCTCTCTCTGGCTTGACGTCCCTTTTCTGTGGGGAGAGACGGGGTGCTCAGAAATGACGACGTCGAGCGGAGAGAAGGGGCCCCCTATAGCTGCCCTAACCCTGCCCTTAATTGCTCTAGAGGCAAACTTGGTTGCGGTCTTGGTTGATTCGGTGGGAAAAAGTCGAAGTTGTTCGGATGTCGTTGAAGTATCCACTTTGGGCAAGGGAGATCGCGTGATCTTCTCTCCTTTTTTTTCCCTTCTCTTTAGTGAAGACGAAGTTGATGAAGTTGATACACTGGACATTACACGGCCTGTTTTATGATGGCTACGACGATGGAATGGACGAGTTCACGCAAGCTCTTATTCTCCATGCTCCGGCCATAAATAAAGAAAATCATGTCATTATTCCATTCCGTCCGCCGGGTCATAAGAAGTAGCGCAAAACACCGTTAAAAAAGGAGAAAAAAAAAAAGAGATAAAAGGTTTAAAATACATTCAAACACCAGATGCATTTTTGTATTTTAGTAAGACACTTGCCTACAAGATGGTCAAGGGCGTAGAGTGTCGAAAGAAGAGGGTAAAAGAGAGAAGAGAGACGACCGTTTTAAGCCAGCTCGCGGATCTTGGCCTGGATTCGGGCTTCCTTCTCCTCCTTGGTGAGCTTGGCCTTCTTGTACTTCAAGCTCTCGGCCTTCCATTCGGCCTTGCTCTTCTTGGGGCCGGCATCCTCGTCCTTCTTGAAGGGGTCCTCGCGGATGGCGGCGTGGGCGTTGCTGTACATCTCCTCGAGCTCACCGGCATCGAGGTCGTTCTCGAGGTACTTGCAGAACTGGCTCTGGTAGCGCTCCTCGTCGTCGTCGGCAAGACCCTCCATGTACTCGGCCACGTGGCCACCGAAGATGTACTTACGGAGAGTCTCGGTGTCGAGCTCCTTGCTTTCGATGTCGTAGCCAGGGAAACGGTTCTCGGAGTGGGGGACGAAGATACCACCGTCAGAGGCACCCTTCATGGCAGCGAAGACACGGGCTCCGGTAGAGGTACGGTGGAGACCGACGTCGAGGACGGCCTTGAAGGGACGGCGGCTCCCCTCGTCGGTCTCGGCGGCCTCGGTCAGCGTGTACTCACCATCCGCCTCCTCAACACCAGTAAAGTCCTCGTCGAGACCAAGCTTCTTCAGGGTGCGGCGGGCCAGGAGGAGACCGGTGGCGTAGGCGGCAGACCAGTTGGTGAGGCCGTTCTTGATGCCGTAGCGCTTGAGCTCGTGGGAGTAGGCACAGGCGAGGACCTTGTCACCAGAGATCTCAGCGGTGACAATCTGGGTGATGATGTCCCGGTTGGTGAAGCGGACGACCAGACGGTACTTGGGCGAGTTGTACTTGTTCTTCGCCTGGGTGATCAGTCGCTTACGGGCATAGTAGTCGGTCTTGCCCTGACGACGGCGCTTGAACTTCGTCTGGAAGCGACTGTACTCCTATCGTCAGCCATCCATCCCGTTGTTTCTGCATCGTCTATAGGGGAAAAAACACTCACCTGAAGTATGGGCGATTCTTAACAAGCTTGGTGAAAGGCTGTAAAGATCGCGAGTCAGCAATTTGCGCTTCAGATATCGTCGTCTCCGAAGCATCTTGCAGGACTCCAGCGGGGCAAAAACCACCATTCGACGACGACGACTCAAGAGCCTCTACGGCAATCCAAAGCAGACACTTACCATCTTGCTGGCTGCTCACGACGACAAAAGGACGACCTCCTGTTGGTTGCTTGTTGATTGTTCGGCGGTTTTCGACGTGGTGGGAGAAGTTTTTATTTTTGTGCGCGAAAGTCGAATTTATTTGTGGGATTTTTTTTTTCGGTAAAATAGAAAGTTGGGTTGGCGACGACAAGGCATTTAAAGCATTTGATATAAAGCATTTAATATGAAGTACTCGATATAAAACATTTGATAAAAGCATTTGATATGAAGTATTCCCATACCGATCTATTATATACATTATGGTATATCGCGATGTCTTATAAGTACTGCTATACTATATACATCATGGCATCTACATCTACACATCTATAGCCTCGCCTTCTCGTCATCCAGCAGGTTCACTCCCGTCCGTCTCTCCAGCTCTCTCACGGCCTCCTGTGTGCGTCCCAGGTTGACCTTTATCGTCCCCATGCCAGCCTTCCTCGCCCACTTCAGGTTCACACCTATGTCGTCCAAAAACACCACCTCGTCCGGCCGTATAGGCTCCCCCCGTAGTCCCTTCATCCTCGCAGCGTCGTTAATCTCTTTCATCGCAAGCTCGTAGATCCTAGGATCCGGTTTGCGCAGCCCAGTATGTGCGCTGGAGATGAAGAAGTCGAAGAACCGCCTCACTTGTTTTTCTGCTGCAGACTTCCTGTCTAGCTTGGTGCTATCGTCCGGTATGATGGTCGTGTTTGACAGAGCGCCCATGACGAAGAGGCCGGCGTCCTTTAGTTTCTGCAGAGCAGGGAACATGTATGGATCCGGGTTTTGCGCGACTCGCATCATCTCCCAGAAGACATGCTCCGCGTCGACCTGTGGGAGCTCAGGAGTCTTCCCGTTCTCTTTCATAGTAGAAGGCTTCTCCTTCGTAGACAACTTTTCATTGAACTGCTCCCATAAGTGCTGATGGCGGAAGTCGCTGTTGAACGACTTGAACCAGGCTGCGTCCAGAGGGACTTCTCCTCGCTCCAGTCGGTGCCACGCCCCGTCCGGTGAGGTGTTCTGGATGCTGTAGTTGATCCATCCGATGGGTATCTTGTTGGCCTTTTCGTAGTCCAGTATCGCCTGGAATGGAGATATCACCTGTAGCCTTGTTAGCTGGGTTGTAAGCAGTAACAGCAGGAGAGACGTACGCAGACACCTCCAACGTCGAAGAGGAGAGCTCTCGGTCGTTTCTCCATCCCGCTTTGCCTTTGGCAGAGTAACCGGCCAGCGGTCTACACCAGCTCTTTTAAATGCACAAGTCTGTCTTATCCAGAATAACCGGGGATGAAACGGTTGGCAGAGAAGAAGCTTGGGTTGTGCCGAGGTCTGGCTTGGTGGAGATGTCAACGTCTCACAGTCTACAGCGACGGTCTACAGCGACGGTCTACAGCGACAGTCTTACGGTTAAGGGTCAAGAGATAGTATTCAGAGTCAAAGGTCATCGGTTCTCTCATTTCAAAGCCAGAAGCTCTCTTCGTCAATGGCCATAAAACAACTCATAAAAAGATAAAATCATTACATTAGGAGATCGGAACTAAGAAGAGAAGTTCATCAGCAGAGCTCCCACCGAGATTAACGCCGTGCCAGGGAAAAAGTTTTCTCTATCACCCCATGGGTATCTTCATAACCCCCTAACGCCTCCGGTCCTCCCCCTGGAGTAACCGGGAAAACAGAAGAGCAACAGAAAATCAGCCATCGCAGGTCCGTCCAGTCGAAGTACTACGCGGACGGAAGGGGAGAGCAACTAGGCTCCCAGGCTACTCGACGCCTGGGGGAGCATCCTTGAGGATCTCCCATCCCCACTCCTCCTCTGGCTTCTCCGGGTCCATTCCCAGAGCGTTGCGGTAAGCCCGCACCTCGTTCTGCAGCCCCGCCACGATGCGAAGAGGAAGCTCTTCCTCCTCACAGCGCAGACGGTAGGCTGTTCGGATCATCTCGGCGCACTTCATGGTCTGCGCGTGCCAGTAGTCGCGATCCAGACGTGATGCCAGGTGCGCATCTCGTTCGGCTTGCAGAAGATCGTTGTAGCGGCGCTTCTGAGAGAGGAAGTGGCCTTCGTTGTTGCAGCAGTAGTTGCGGATTTGCTCTACCATAGTGCCAACCGCATTCTCGTACTCGGCGATCAGCTTCATATTCTCAACCTGCTCGTGGCGGAGGGTCTCAACGCGGCTTTTTTCTCTAGCAAGGGCGCGTTCGAGCTCGGCAATACGTGTAGCTGTTTGAAACATGTTAGTTGTGCACCATTCAAATTATAACCAACGTAGCAGAGTGATTCATACCGGTGATCTCTCCATTGGCTTCCTGTAGACTTGGGGTGGTGCCTTCAGCTGCAGCACGACGCTATCCAAAACGTCAGTTAGTGCTTTTTCTTTTTTATATTTTGCCAGGTGACTAGGGCTTACCGCGATATCTTCAGCGCTCTTAATAATCCCGCTGGTCAAGTCACGGTTGTTCTTCAAGACCTCACTTAGTTCATTCACCATGGCATAGAGATGGTTAAGGTCCATCTGGTGTCCGGCGTTCATCGGGAAGGCGGCGTTCATTGCTGGCATGGCCGGAGTGCCATTATGCATGGCGGGGCTGGCGGGAGCAGAGTTGCTATGGCGGGGAGCAGACATGGCTGGAGGGTTGCCGGCCGTGTTGTTGGAGTTGCTCGACTCGAAGAAGTTTGTAAACAGGCCGGCAGTAGAGGGTCCACTGGTAGAGCTCGACGGAGCAGCAGTAGTGTTGTTCGCTATGCTTGGACTGCCTTGGCTGACAGACATGCTGAAAGCTGCAATAGCAGCGTTGATAGCGGAGAAGTCCTCGTCTTCCTCTTTGGGCTCAGAACCGGGGATAGGAGGCTGCTCTGAGCGTGGGATACCGAGTATCTTCTCGCGGAAGCTGATCAGGTCTTCGTTGGTGACTGAGGTCCTATTCCGGCGATGGCGGCTCGCAGGACGCCGTACAACGCGGGCGGGGCGACGGACAGCAGTGTCAGATAGAGATGCTGGAGGATTGACAGAAGAAACAGGTCAGATATCAGTCTATCTCGCGTGAAGATGCAGAAGATGAAGAAGATGTTTGCTGTTTATTTTCTTTCTTACCTTCATCTTCATCAAAAGGTGAGCGAAGGTTCCGGGACATGACTTCTTCCGTTCCGACAGAGTGACTGTCACGTGAATATCTAGATGTTCTCTTGCAAGGAGGAAGAAGAGAAGAAAACGGAGAAGCAGATGTAAAGTGGATGCAGATAGAACAAGCAGTAATGCTGCTGGAGAGAGTAGATGGTGGTGGATGTTGAAGTTGTTGAAGTTGGAGGATGTTTTTGTGGTTTCTGTGTTTATATAGTAACGGGCAGCAACGACTAAGCATGCTCTTACGCTCCTTCAACAGCACAATACAGAGAGAGCAGAGGACAGGATAGTAATATTTTTATCTTCAACAAATGAAGGTGGCAGTAGTTCTACCGTGATGGTCCTATTCTAGATACATTCAAGCTCTATCTCTGGTTATAAAGAGCAGAAGGAAAGCAACTTCTGAAACAGACCCTTTGCATCAAGGTCTATCTATATAGACCATTGGACTAGGGCCCCAGGCCGTGTCCTTTTTAAGGCCATACCCTTTCAATTCTCCTCCTTGGGGACGTGTTTATTCACCCATTATAGGCGGTGCCTGTATGCTTTCGGATGAACCCAAGTGGAAGGCACCCGGTTGTGTACCTCTTTATTAGGTACCGCTACGCACCCTTTCAAACCTGCAGTCTGACTTTGGCTCATTCAGACTATCGTATTTCTGCGGCAACAGCAGAGACCAATGGCATACGAGATCAGGTCATATCCAGCAACCTGGCTAGTTTTTCATCTGGGTCCATAACGGGTCCTGCCACTTGCTCAGAGCTGGAGCTGACGCTCTGGATTCGCCCAACTTTGCTTGCCACCTTGGCCAACAGCATTCTCATACGATCCAATTCTGCTCCAAGCTCGCCATCCCTCGTGGCAAGGTTAGGCTGGATGGTATTCAGCGGATCTTCGAACGGCTCCAGTAGGCCTTTGAGCCGCTTATATTGCAACAGCCGGTCCTCTCGTCTCTTGCGTTCCGCATCAAGCTTGATAAGTCGTTCCCGAAGTAGATCGTATCTTTTCACACATGATCACCAGTCATGAGTGCCTGCCCCTTGCATGCGTGCATATTGCGAGATACTTACCTAGATTTATCCTCCTCACTCATCCCCTCCTCAGGCCATTCATCCGGCAATCGAGAAATATTCCTTTGTTAAGCATAAGCCGCTGCATGTACACATACATGGTCCTGTCAAATGGTCTCTGAAACATACCTGGTATTCGTCAGGTCGGCACCCTTGTCGATGTCAAGTTGTCGAGCATTCTCTTCGCCGAGGTCAGGACCGATAGAGTTCCAGTAAAGACGCTCGATTTGCTGGGAGACATGGTGTATTGCCTGCGTCGAGAAGACAGTGCGGTTATGCTGCTTCAGTACCGTGTTCACTGCATTTTGATACCGTCAAAAATTAGGCCATAACCATGTAAGAAAGACAAAGAAGTCCGTCTTGATGCAAGAAGGGATGCATGAGTGAGAGGGCACGTATAACTGGAGCATGTAGGATTTATTTTTACATTTTTGTAACGCCTCGTTAATGAACTTGTCGCCAATATCGTCCTCGACTATAGGGCCGTACTCGCGCCAGTCGGGAGACGGCTCGAGTGGTGCAGAGAGCACGCGAACCTGGTCGCGAAGAAAGGCAAGCTTCGCCTCTGAGATGGTCCTTGTAGAGCTCATGTTGGAATTATGGAAGCAATGCTCTGCCCACCGTATCTATGGTATTAAAACTTCTCCAGCCGAATATTTCGTGAGTGATAGTATAGTCGTCGACTTCATATATAATAACGCGGACCCTGTTATTCGGCGAAGGTTCGCGGCTTTTGATTGGCCATGTCAACTTCATACATAACTTGCCCCTGAAACAATTATCTTCCTTCAACGATAGAGGGATGAGGACGCCTCAGAGGTTTACTACTGAGCTGTTCGTTAAGCTTGAATGTATGCAGTGTGATGAGAAAAATGCAACTTTAAGTAGGAGAGCTTTGAGAAATTATTATCAAGGGCCAATAATTACATGTCCACCACTTTGCCAGCGTATCTCGCTACGACTAGAGTATTGGAAGTCTATCTAACAGCTGACAAAAAGTCAATCCACCCTTGTCAGTATTGACTTGCGATGATTTCATGCTTGATTTGACCTTCGGGGCAGTTTTATGCCTTAACTTGGCCTGCTCTACGTGAGATTCGGGTTCACATGAGACTCTGATGTCCTGCGGGATAACTGGGAAGGTTAGCAAAGGATGGCTTGGAGAACTGGAGACCACCTCCGGCTCGATAACATAGGGTGATGTTCTTTGTTGTCAGTAGCACCGTCTGCATTGAATCAACTTGCTCCTCCATCGTTACTTGAGGGGGGAGGGTCGGCTGTAGCCTGGATCTGAGAATAAATGGAAAGAGCTTGGTCGTATGTTTCATGGGAGGTCCAGCCATCCCGGCCCATGATCCCTGATAAGGCGTCCCAGAAGTCCTGTACTTCATTCCAGCCTTCCCCATCCTCATAATGTTTACTAATTTCTTCTGGAGAGAAGTTGATAGGGCACTTATCCGGGCGACCCAATAAATCCCACTTCCTTCACGAAGCCTGTGTAAGCATAAAAGGTTAATATAAGTGGAAGGCCTCGCTTACTTTTGTATTCTTATCAAAGACTCTCGTAAGAGTAAGATGTCTCCATCCCACGTATTCCCTACAAATCGGACAGGGTCTGTCAACGTCTTGCCGTTTGGATATTGGAGCACCCTGCTTAAAATTGGGTTCTTTTCTGCTGTGTAGTTTTCATAGAGATATAACAGGATCGACTTGGTGACTTTGTCCTTCACGGCAGTTTGGGAATCTTTATCTAACTGCTTAAAGTTTTTAGGCAGCTCAAGGACCAAGTCGCCGTTATAATCAAGAAAATGTGGATGGCGGCCCTCTAGAAATAAGGGACCGGCGAATGTGCTTTGCCAGTCTATGATGCTAGTTATACGGCCGTTGTCGTCGACAAAAATATTAGGAGTGCGAAGGTCTGGATGCCATAAAAATGATCCCAAAATATCCTCATCCGATGGAATTAGATGAGGTGCAACAGACAGATATTTCTGGAGAAGAGAAATATGTTCAGCAGGGTTGTTCTGGCTGTGCGAAACAAATAATGGGTCATCTGGCGAACGGGAAGTTGCGTTCTTCCGAATCCAAGTTATCTCTCGGTTTGCCAAAGCTTGTATATATCCTAATGCAGAAGTCCCTATATGATGGTTAGTTCAGACCAGCAGCAGGAAAGGATGAAACCAACGTACAAGGTCCACGATCAACATTTAAACCACCTCGCCCTTTATCCCAGAATGCAGTGTCTACCATCGGCCCAACTGAAAATTGCCCGGCAATGTTATTTTTTTGGTCCTGCAACAATTTGTCTCCGGTGACTAGTGCAGGTTGAGATCCGGGGGGAGCATCTTTCTTATAGAAAAGACACCCATACCTGCTCAAGTTAGATACTACATGAAATCCCATCCCTAGGCCGTAAATATACATACCCGGAAAATTTCAATGATAACAGCTTGCGTTGAATGGCCACAATATCCTCCATTGTCTGGACCTTTTGCTCCAGGCCCATTTCAGTCCAAACGTCGGCGAGATTTCTTCCTGTGGCATGTTCCATGATAATGTACTCAGCCTCGACATAGTTTGTAGGATCAACCGCGGAATTCCATGCAAGGACTTCAGGGACTGGAACGTGGAGTACATTTCTTAACTGAAGAGCAACTGTCAGATCGAGGGAAGGCTCAACCAGCAAGATGAGAGTATTATAAACTACCCACAAAGTCCATTGTAGCAACCTCTGATGCCGTCGTCAAAGAAGCCGGCCCAGCATTCGGATTTGGAATTCGAGCAACAACGGCCCTCCCATCGTCCATGGTGAGCTTGAAAGATTTGTTGTAGGACCCTTCTCCCAGCTTTTCCATCCTGACACAGGATCCGGAGGAAGATAACTCTGAAGCAATTTTCTGTAACTCGAGTACATTGAATTCGCGGTACCTCTCTTCAAGCTGCTGCCTTTCATCCCAGACCCATCGTCCACTTGTGTATCTGAAGAAATCCTGAGTGTTCCCGACAATATTAGCCATCTGGGGCTGGAACTGCTGGTAGGAGTAGCATCGGTTTAAGAGAGGTGGTGACGGCCTAGTCTCTCTAAACAGTATAGGTAAAAGACTCTGGTATCGGTTAAAGATGCGTGCAACTTTAGCCATGATGACTGCATATATAATGAGGTATGCCGTTAAGACGAATTTCTGCTGGGGACGTCGATGATATCCAAGTAGTTAATGGTTCCTCGTTAATATTATACCATCAACGTTGCTCTCTAAATCGTTATATTATGCACTCTTTTAACGTGCCTAGGATGAACATGATTAGAGGCAGGTATCTACCGAGCTGGTCGGTATACAAGGGAAGGGAGAAAGAAAACCCTGGAACTCTTTGGATAATGTCAGAATCATGGGATGTACAGCGTCGCCATTGCGGCTTTTTGGTCACTACCCTGCGAGATGTACTTTTTACTGCTATATTTTCATGTCTAAGGCCTTAGTCTTGGACCTAGGCAAAGGCCATGGCTGTCTGAGAGTCAAGACCAAGCAACATCAAGTGCCGATTACCCGGTAAAAGAAGACAAGCACCTTCGTCACTCGCTGGGGACGAGGATGTCAGATCCACCAGCTGAGCAGAAGTGGATGAACGAGAAGACGATAAACGCACTCATGGTGAGAAGAGATGCTGTATTTATAATGTCCTTCGGCTGAGGTTCAGCTGTCGTGTATGCGATTGGCCGGTTGTGGAGCAAACGGTTCGTAAGTTGACGCCCTTGGATGGAGAATACCCTCAGGAGTGGAGACGACGGCGGAGCATGAAGGGAAGATTTCTCGTCCGTAAGAGCCGGTCGATATATAAAGACGAAAAGAGGGCTGCTGGTTTATTTATCTTTTTTCCATTGCTACTTCCTGTTGGCAGTCTGTGATTACATCTACGAAGACGAATGTTTCAGGAGCACATATCAATGTTTGACTTCGTTATGCGTTTCAGATATTCTTATGATTGCGTGCGTGAGTGTACATGATGTCTGGCGTGCGAGGAGATGGTGAGAAACGGGTGAGAAGGAGAAGGGCGACAAGGTGAGAGAAGGGAATATATGTATATCGAAGCTCGCTGATTCTAAGCTTTGATTAGGAACGGGCTGGTCGGATGGATTGAGGTGAGGACGAGGGAATGAAAAAGGTATCAAATACAAAGACACGAATGGCAATCTTTAAGGGTCCCATGAATGCGAAAAGGAAGAAGAAGAAAGAAAGATTAAAGGGAAATATGCAAGATGCAGCGAGGAAGCACACTACGCGATCCAGAACCATATCTTCTCGATGACGTTTCTTGGGATCTGCTCTGGCCACTCGACGGCGTCCATGGCGGCCTTGCCGGTGAAGATGTCAGCCTCGGCGGATGGAATCCATCTGGTTCTCTTGAAAACTTTCCAGAAGATGAGAAGACCGAAGTAGACGGCGATACCGATGTAGGCGGTGAAGAAGGACTGGAATTTAAAGGGTCTGAAGGTGTCGAAGCCGTTGAAGAAGATGATGATGGAGAAGAAGATGAGGGCGACCCAGGCGAGGTAAGGCTGGAATGGGGACTTAAGGATGAGAGTGTTGCGGTCGACACCCTGGGCCTGGAGGGCGGCGTGGAAGCGGATGTACGCAACCAGAACGCTGACCCAGTTGAAGAGGGAGGCAATGGTGGTGAGGTTCTGGAACCAGATGAAGACCTGAGCAGAGCCGGTGGTGGAGGCCATGAAGGTGAGGAGAGAGATGGAGGCAGTCACACCGACGGCATAGATTGGGACACCCCTGGATGGTGGGTCAGCACGGTTGCAAGGAACGGAAAAGACTAGGAAGAAGAGAGAGAGAGAAGGACTTACTGCTTGGTACAATGCAGGAGGAAACGGGGAGCCTGTCTGTTCTGGGCGAGGCCGTAGAGGTATCTGCTTCCGGTGTACAAGAAGGCGTTTCCGGAGGAGGTGGCGGAGGTGAGAATGACGGCGTTGATGATGGATGGAAGGACCGGGATAGAGGCACGCTGGATGGCAATGACCCATGGAGAGGCAGCCGCACCGGGGTCATTGTTCTTCTGGGCCGTGAGCAGGTTCTTGTCGTTGAATGGAACAAGCATGCCGAGGAAGAGAGCACCGAGGACATAGAAGAAGAGGATACGCCAGAAGACACGCTTGACGGCCTTTGGGATGTTCTTGCGCGGGTTCTCAGCCTCACCGGCAGCACAGGCGACAGACTCGACACCACCGAAGGAGAAGGCAGCGTTGACGAGGGTGGAGAAGAAACCGAGGAAGCGGCCTTTGTCGCCGGTGCCAAAGTACTGGTTCATCGCACCGGGGTTCTTCCAGTATCTGAATCCGATGCGGTCATGGGTAGGGCTGCCACCGAGGTCGATGACCAGGGCCAGGATAAGCAGGCCGACGATGGTGATGATCTTGATACTGGCGAAGATGAATTCGGCCTCACCGTAGACGGAGACGGCCCAGACGTTGAGGAAGACGATGATGACGATGACGAGACCGATCCATGCTGCGACGTTGATGTCCCGCGCACCGGGCCAGTACTGGATGATGACGGCGGCGGCAGAGATCTCGACACAGAGAGTGATCGAACATTGATACCAGAGCTGCAGAGCTGTCAGTAAAGCCTTGGTTTCCCTTGCGCAGAAAAGTTCAACCAAGTGGACTGCTTACGTTCCAACCGACGGCGAAACCGACAGAGTCGTCGACGTATCTGGCGCAGAATTGCGGGATCGCACCGGGGAGCGGAAGCCAGGTAGCCATTTCACCAAGGGACATCATCTGGACATACAGATTAGCAAACCCGCATCTTGAGCTCCAATTGGGAGTTGCATCGCCAAACATACCATTGCGAAGATGGCGAGACCAACGAAGGTGTAGCCGATGAGCAGAGAGAGCGGACCACCCTGGGTGAGAGCTCGTCCGATACCCAGGAAGAGACCAGTGCCGATAGTTCCACCGAGAGCGATGAACTGGATGTGTCGAGATTTCAATCTAGTAGTCAGTTAGCCAACGATATATCGCAAGAGAGAGAGAGGGAGGGAAGTTCGAGTTTGGTCGATGGCCTACCCTCTGGAGACATAACCGTATCGTTCGGCAGCTTCAGCATCGCCGTACAGGTCAGCAGCCTCTCCGTACGCGGCATTCTTGACATCGACGGCCTTGTGAGGGTGATGGTCGTAGGCCGGAGCCATCTCCGTCTTCTCGTCCATGGCCTTCTCCGTGGCTACCAGTTTGTGTGACGACTTGTATCAGCAGACAAGAGCAGGTATCCCCTGGGTGAGCGGGAGAGGGGAGAGAGTGGAAGAGACAAGGGATAGGAGAGAAGAAATACAAGAGCTGTCGCAAGGGAAGAAAGAGAAGAGAAGAGAGGGAAGAAGAAGAAGAAAAGCCAGCTGTGGATATATACATACATATATATATATCTGTGTCGATACGGCGTACATATACATTGTATCTTCTCCTCCTTCAACGACTCCCAAACCCCGGCGCAGGCTAACTGCGTACACCCTAGTCAACCTTCCGCCCTTCCTTTTTTTTTTCTATCAGAAATATTAAAAACCTGCATATTAACTCTCGAGCCATCCCTAGTACGGTCCATCCCCGGACTTCACCTTTGGCTGTTGAGGGGAGATGGTGCTGCCGCTGTTGCTTCCTCCCTCCCTCTCCACAGAGCTCTCCCCCAAGATCCAACCACTAACCAGCGTTCGACAAACCAGGGATCAAGCCTTTTTTTTTTTTACAGGGCCTGGTACATCACAGTACAGCACGCTAGATGCATCCCTTGCTTCCATCCAATTTTAAAACAGCTTGTGGGGAATATCCCGTTGCTTTTTCCTTTCCTCTCCATTAGGCGGGCTAAGGAAGCATACGAAAAGAAACAATAGGGAAAAAATAAAATAAAAGAGAGCGAGATGGGTGGGAAGGGCAAGCCAGGCCAGCCAACCAGCAGGCGCAGAGAAGAGCTGACGATACGAAGGGAGATGAAGGATGGCAAAAGGGGACGAAGAGATGCTCAGCCAGACAAGGAAAAAGAAGAAGGGCAAAAAACCAAGCTGACGCCACTGCAAAAGCCATTCGGGGTGAGCTTGGTTCACAAAGGCGTTCGAGGTCCTGCGACGGCGTACTATTTACGCATCAATAATGATTCGATGGCTTTGTGATGTCGATGCTGGGTTAATATCACCGTCGCACTACGCCGCGCGCCAGCAGCTCGCGCAGCGTTACATAGCAAGTTTCCCCCCAAGTTTCCCCCCAAGAACCCAAGAAAGCGCCAAGCTGCGTTCTCAACCCCCAGGCTATCAGCAAGCATCGAGCAAGCATCCCGCGACTTGTCAAACCCATCGGTGGCCGGTGAACATCTGACGTGTTGACCCAGTTCTCTGAAGCGAGAGGGTGTCGTGAAGCGAGCCTCCTCCGTCCCTGAGAACAGGCCAGTCATTAACCTCAACAGACTTACACTCTATCCGGAAGTATTAAATCATGATACTAGATGGAATACCCGTGACTTTGTCTCCTGGAAAGATAAAAAAGACTCTCCCCCCCAGGAATGCACATAATCTCCCGCCGTCAAGGTTCTGGCTGGGAGAGATGGAGGAAAAAAGAAAAAAAAAGAAAAGAACAACTCAACATCCCTTCAACAACGACCAGCCAGGCGGATATCAGTTTATTTCTCCTGCCACCTTGTCGACCGGGGGGTGGGAGCAGATGGGTATCAGCGGGTAAAGAGTCCACCCAAGAGGCTCGAAAGAGCACGCGAGGCGCATCACCTTCCCGCCCAACCCATCCAAACCGTCTTCTGGAAGGACCAGCGAGATCTCTGCATATACTCCAACATCCATACAGCGTACTTACATAGTACGCCCATTTTACTCTGACCCCCCGGCCACTCTCGGCCGTTCTCCTGTCATCGCCAACCCTTCTCGTCCTATCAACCCTTCCCATCCCATCACCTTCCACATCAACCATCGCCCGGCGCAGATTGCCCGAACAGGGAATATTCTGGAAATCACACTAGTCTGGGGCAAGGAAATGGTTGAGCGATTTTGTTCTTCTCTTTCTCTTTTGCCTTTTGGGCTCGGTCGTCCCCGCCGCTTCGCCAACTTGACATCTGCTTGGCCCGTAGATCTGGCTAAGTCTACAACTTGTATACGTGCGCGTGGCTAAGTACCCGGCGGAGATACCCGACCATTGTCGTTCTCTATCTCTCTCCCGGATAAGTACTACACTATGTATACATATACGTATGGTAACCCTATGAGTATATTATCCTGCTATATCGACCTGGACGGATAGCTCTTCCCTCTCCCCCATCCGCCCCAGTCTCAGCCTGGGGTTACGTCCGCTAGTCTTATCATCCTGTAACATGGGTTCCTCTCCCTTTTATGAAGATAATCCATATGCTTAGCAGGCCATGATATTACCCGTAAGTTCGTTCCCTCCGATCTTGGCTTGCGTCCTGCTGCTTCTGGAAGGGTTCAGGGAGTTACGTAAACTTATCTTGCATCCTACATAGTATGCTCCGTACATACGCTAGGTATCTCTACCTATAATACGCCGTACATATAATGTACCCTCTATAACTCTCCATCTCCATCTGCATCTGCATCTCTTTTCTTCGTTTCTTCCGTCGAACCTTGTTTATATAAGTGGGTACGGCGTATTCTAGTGGTAATTTATCATCGTACTGTAGTGGTAATATATGTAACAGGTGATACACCGGAAAGTCACATGCCATCCTATTACATAAGACCCTCGTATCTGGTGGGGGACGCGGGGGATTCGCAGGTAGTGGTATGAAGTACATTGCGAGTAGGGAGGAGAGCAGTAGGAGAGAGTAAGTCGCAGAGACAGCAGAGTAGACACGAAGATGAAGGGTATAGCATATGTATGTATGTATGTATATATATATCTTCTCCATCCAGAGTATCTTCGTAGTGTATGGATACCTCCAGGATGGAAGATATCGCGGAGTCCCCGCAAAAAACTCCCCAGACTGCAGTTCGGCTCCATCAACTCCAGTCCTCCCTCCTTGCTCCCTCCTTCTTCTCCATGCCATCGCCCATCTTCCAACATCTAATTCCAACGACTCGTCCTCGCTTCGCTCGATCGACTAAGACTGTCAAACGAAGAAGCTGTCAAAAGGCGTGGAAAACTGGAAGCTTAATGCTTCTAATTATATCCTTCAGCTTCTTCTCCTTTTCTTTTTCTTATCCTGAGGGTGATAAAATTCCCCTAGTGTAACGGGCCCTGTCGCCACAGCTATATTAGAATGTCATTTACCCTGTACAGAGAACGGGCACAGGACAGCCGATTCGATAGCGTGGCCCTCTTGCTTGCATGTAAAGAAAAAAAAGTAAAAGCCATGTTCGCGGTCGCCATCGCCATCACGACCAAAAGGCCATGCGAATCTTTGCCATGCGCATGTCTTGCTTCTTTCTTGTCGTTCGTCTTGGGCTCCTTTTTCTTTTGCCCTCTCCTTCGTGCCCATTTTTATATCACGTGATGAATATAACCATTTAACACGTGATGTTACTTACATAAGCATGAGCCCCAGCTCACTTTCTTGTATACATAGAATAGAATACATCAAGAGAAGAAGCAGTCACTGGAAGAGCTTCCTTATTATATTCCCATCACCGTGGCTGGACAGAGAAGGGTTCTGATCAGATTACATCTACCTCACCGTGGCGGTGGGCAGGTATACCATTACCCCCTCGATATACTTATAATAATTGGTTAGTTGTGGAGGATCTTTGTAGATGACAATGAAGATGGTTTGTTATCCTTCCCCAACCCCCAGTAAACAAATAGTCTAAATAAACCGTCTAATACAAATTAAGGCACGGCGATTCTCTCAACCTGAAGATGCCTAGACTGCTTTGAAAAGTTGGGTACTTTGCAGCGCTCTGGATGCAACCAGGCAAGCACTCCCTGCCAACAAGGAAGCACCCCCGTATTCAGTTGCCGAAAGGAAACCGTGCCTCGTTGCAAGTTCGCCCGCTATGGGTGACCCAATAAGGCTCCTGGTCATGTTATCAGCAACAAGCTTCATCATGTGTGCAACAGAGGAGTTGCAACTTACGCGATGGAGCATACTCCCAAAACTGCTCCCATGGCTGCACCATATGTAGCTGGATCAACAAGTTGGGTAGCACAAGCCCCCTGTATACTAATAATAGCCTGTTCAAGCAGTTTGGTTAGCCTGTTAGTGCAACGCGGACGGGAAACGGGCAAACATACCCCGGACGCAAACCCATATGCCGCCGCAATGACCATCAGTCCACCCAGCGACGTTGCCGCTGTTATACAACAACAGATGATCCCAGAGAATAGCGTGGCCAGAATCAGGGTATTAAATTTACCGTACCTGTCGGCCCAGAATCCAGGAAGCAGGCGGCCAAACAAACTGGTCGCGTTGGTAACGGAGATCAAGTAGAATGAAGTCTCAGGGTCCTTTCCTAGGTGTATAGAATAGGACGTGATAAAATAGAATGGGACAAATAGTCCCATCGAGGCAAAAAACAGAGCGGCAGCTAGGAGGCCAAACGCCAATGTTTTCATTGCTTTGATGTTCGGTTTCGGTTTCTTTTCTCTTTTCTTCTGTGGAAGGCGGACGGTGAGGCAGCCAATTACCAAGAGAGGCATCATGATAAATCCCGCGATGCGCATCGTCCATGGAAAACCAACTTCCACGAGAAGTCGACGAAGGGCAATTGGCCAGACCACACCGCCTATCGAAGACCCGCCAACGGTGATTCCTAATGCTAGTGCTCTGTGCTTCACGAAATAAAGTGATGTGGTGGCATAACTCGGTAAGAAGAGGCCCGCTACCCCTAAACCAAAGAGCAATCCTTGTGCGAGGAAGAACTGGTAGTATTCTCGACAAAGAGACGTCATGAATATTCCAAGCAGTGCCATGACGGTTCCCCCTCTTAGTAGCCACTGTAGCCAACCCTCAAGCATAAGCCATTGTCCTCATGGAGATAGTAGGGGTTACACTGACCGTAGGACCGTAGAGATCACTTAGTATCCCCGTGACCAGAGCTCCTGAAAACATGCAGAATACATTGAACGACCCAAACCATGATATTTCAGATAGGGATTTATCATGGAAAAAGGTTTTGGAGTAGAACTCTTCAAATACACCAAAAGCGTTGACAAAGCCAACCGTACAGAATAGGATACATGTTGTACCAATAAGCGTAAGAACCGCACGACAACTAGACGAAGGCTTAGTAGGGTAATTCTCTCATAGTTAAGGGTATCATCACTCACTGCCATTCTGATTCTTGAGCTGATTTAGTTATCGTCTCCTCGCTCAAGGCATCGTGCCTTTTTTCTGGATCACCGGAAGACGATACCCCTGCCATCTCTTTTCACTTGCAAGAAACAATAAGACGAGAGATAAGTTAAACACGCTGTGATCGATAGTTGGGTAGCCTGTCAAAAATGGAATGTAGGGGTATAAAGAGTCCTTCGACGACCTTTTATACTCACTCTCCATCTTCGCCCATGCTCATTACCAGGCCAGAACACGAGGCCAAAAGGCCTAGAGACCAGCTCTTCTTCCGTCATGTTTCAAATTGCTAGATAGAAACATGACGGTCATTCCGGGTATCCAAAGGCATCTTGTGGTTGCTATTGGGCTGTATCTCGACATCGGACGCTTTGTTCGGAGCCGGGACCGGAAAGTCCGAGGCTCCGTGGAGCTTCCGGGCGTTCAGCTCGCTCGAACACGCAGCATTGCATCGTTGAATATGAGCCTGGCGTCGTAGATCCGAAAAAGATGCTCTCATCCATAGGTTGGTTGTGCTTATGAATTGTTTTCATAGTTGAAATTGCCTTTCAACCGATCTCTAGCTGTGTACCGATGAAGCGGGCTTTAGATACGTCGGACAGTCCGAAGCCTCGGAGACGACAGGATCCTGTATCCTGTCAATTCTGTCGAAGCAAAAAGCTCAAATGTACCAGGGAGTTTCCTTGCGCAAACTGCCGCTTGCGCAATATAGAATGCGTTCCTTCATATAATAGTGAGTGGTGCATGGTCTGAGCTCATATTGCGAAGTTCCTGGGCTCTCTACATCGGCTTCTTATATTACCTTGATATAGAACCAAGTGGCTGTTGCTATGATTTATCGGCTAACAGAGCTAACTTGCCATTGTAGCCAGGAGATATGAAGCAAAACCGAGCCCGGTCCCGTCCAGTGTGGGTGGTCAGACTGGTCAAATAACGTAAGAAGTTATATCTATCATCTTGCAAGTGATAAAGCGTATTATAGCAAACCGTTCCTTGTACTCTGCATATCATACTAGCAGATAAAAGTACCGGTAGCGTTTGTTATAATCGCCATGTGGCTGTTTATATCTGACTTTCGGTAGGACTCTCGGGAGACTCGAGGAACGCGTGAAAAGAATTGAAGAAAAGCTTGGTATTCCTTTCGAAGAAATATTTAAAACCGGGGATGTCGCAAGTTCAAATACACCTGCTTATCTATTTCGATCACTCCCGAAGGAGAGAGCTATCCCTGATACTAGGGTAGAAGTAGAAGGCATTGGGTTTGAGTCGGCGGTGATAGGGCCATCCGAGAACAAACATGAGTATGAGTCGGTTGAAGATGGTGGAGATATGGCAGTGAGTATCTGCTTCATGGGTTATGATCAGCCATGGGGGGTTAATGACATTCCTTGGATAGGCTCGAATCATCGACAGTCTAATGCAACCCGCAGAAAGAGACCAGCCTCAGTTCCCCGGGGGTTGGCCACATACTCCAGGACTGACCATAACCAGCTCCCAACTTCAGTCCTTCCTTCCTTCATATTCGAGGGCTATCGAGTTTGTTGACTACTACCAGGAACATGTCTGTTGGGCATATCGCTTGCTGCACATGCCAACTCTGAGACGCCATGTCCTGGAGACATACCAGCAAATAGGAGCGGACCTCAGACCAAACCTCCCGGTTCTTGCACTCATCTGCGCAGTATTCGCACTATCGAAGTACTTTTCCTTGTCAACTTCGGCTTTCAATGGCTCCGACATGTCTCGAGATAGATCCTATCAAGAGTATGTTGAAATGGCTAGCCAGGCATTAGCTGTGGCTAGGCATTTAGAACACCCCACAGTCGAATCCATTCAAACTGTCCTATTAGTGGCAACTTGTTTGCTAGGAAACACTGGTGCCATCCGCTCAGCCCGAGTTCTAGCGGCAGCAATGTATATGTCTGCTCAGGCCTTATCCTTACACCAATTGGATTCGCCAAAAAATAAGAGACTACGGCAGAATGGACCGTATGATAGGCTAGAGTTGGAGATTAAACGGCGTATCTGGTGGCACATTGCGTCCACGGATTGGTATATTAATCAACTGCCCTTGACATATTGATGTCGGATTGAGGCTAACGTTGCATGTATACAGGGTCTTTGCTTTCATATCAGGACCTCAGGCGGGAACTTATATGGTGCATCCTTATCAGATGCATGTAGATCTTCCCAGTAACGCAGATGACCACGAAATAACGCCGTCTTCCTGTCCTAACAAGCCCTTGACCGAGCCGACAGAGGTAACTTACCTTATCTTTCGATGTAAACTATCCATGTTATTAGTGGAGTTTATGGAAACCGCCAATAAAGAGGGGCTAGAGTTCAATGAGATGGACTATGATCAAGTGCTCGCCTTCGACAAGAAAATCGGGGAATTTATCGCCACGGTACCATATTTCTTCCGACATGAAGAAAGCGAGGGCGGCGAGCATAGTGCAATGGAGAGGAATCAAGCGGAACTGGACAGGGAGCGGCCCTACCTCAAGTGGCAACGAGTGATGGCCCAGTTCGGAGCTTACACGAGACTATCTCGTTTGCATAGGCCTTATCTCGCCCTCGGAGCTCGCGACCCGCGCTATGCATACTCTCGCATGGCCTGTGTCAGGTCGGCCCGGGTGGTGCTCGAGGTCGAACGGCGGATGCGAAAGAGTATCGACCCTTCGACTCCGGATCCATCCAAGGTTTGGGCCATCGCATACCAGGTGTTCCTTGCCACAGCCGTCTTGGCAATGGATTACCACTTCAACAGAAACGAACCTTGCGCAGAAGAGCGAGCTCGAGAGATCCTGGAGTGCTGCCGTACACTAGAGGCAGCGGCTGTAAGTAGCATCGTCGCCGCAAGAGGCCTGAAGAAGCTCAGAGAGGTAGCAGCAAAATGGGGCCTTTTCACAGGTAGCGACTCCAAGCCAGACAACCAACCCAGAAATAAGTCGATAGCGTTGGCGAGAGAGACGGCACCTGTCCAGCATATAGGGTCTTTGCCAGAGGGAAATGCACTCCACGACACCGAAGGGGGAAACCTGACAGGCTTATGGGCTGAGCCGTGGGATATCAACGGTGTCCTGGACTATTCTCAATGGGACGGGGTATTCCAGGATCTTGAGAGCAACCCTGGTATGTTCTAGCATGGCCATGATATAGAATGCTGCAATAGTATCAGTATATTGGAGAATGAATATGTGTCTCGATGTATTGCTCGATGTTGAAGGTCGAGGTAGAAGTCGGCCCGACGTAAATCCGGAGAAAGGGTGCAGGTGGCACCAAAAAGCGACAGAGAGACAAAACAGAGACAAGCCGGAAGACGATTTAATTCATATTTGGTTAACGATATTTGACATGATGGATCCCTTTTCGGCAGAAGGAGGTGCGTATAGGGCTCCAATGGCAGTGTTTACAACATGGCTGACCTTGATACCTTGAAACAAGAGCTTCTCAACATCCAGAATGCCTTCTACCAAGGACAGTATGAGCAGGTAGTCGACTTCGACACCTCGTCCTTCTCCTCTGAAAACGCTCTCGCCGCCCGTGTTCTAAAGCTGCGCGCTCAGATTGCCGTCGGGCAGAGTAAAGAAGTCCTAAAAAGCCTAGGGGCCAAGCGGGACACACCAGAGTTGGATGCGGTTGCGGCGTTGGCACAGCATGCGTCTGGAAACGAAGCAGAGGCCTTGAAGCTGGCTGAAGACCTGGCGGCCAAGCATGGGGATAACGCGGCAGTGCAGGTGCTTGCCGGTCAAGTGCTGCATGCTCAAGACAAGACAGCAGAGGCTTTGGCCCTGCTATCAAAACACTCTGGAAATCTAGAGGCGTGAGCTGTGCCGTACCTGGACCTATGGGTTACATGGAGCTAACGAGCAGGCCGTATTAGTGTCGCTTTGATTGTTCAGATACACCTCCAGCAAAACAGGTCCGACCTCGCGCTAAAAGAAGTCCAGGCAGCTCGAAGGTGGGCGCAGGACTCACTGCTGGTTAACTTGGCAGAGTCCTGGGTGGGCATGAGAATGGTACGTTTGCGCACACGGATGCACACCTTACGATGTACCACCAGACTGACGGATATTAGGGTGGTGAGAAGTACCAGGCTGCTTTCTACGTCTACGAAGAACTTGCTTCCGTCCCCAGTACATCTTCTGCACTGTCGATAGTCGGTCAAGCTGTGTCCGAACTGCATCTGGGCCGTCTTCCAGAGGCAGAGGCTGCACTGCAATCGGCCATTCAGAAATACCCCGAGGATCCACAAGTACTCGCCAACTCGATTGTATTGAATGCAATCGGTGGAAAGGACAAAGAGGAATTGATAGCGTATGAACCCTTTTCATAACTACCTCCGCTCTTCCATCTTACTCTAGATATTGTGCCGATACTGATACAAAATAGAAAATTGAGCAAGGTTCAACCCGACCATGCATTCCTCACCGACCTGGAGGAAAAGTCGGCTCTCTTCGACACGGCTGCGGCGAAATATTCTGTCAAAGCCTAGTGATGGCTTGAATTTCACGATATAGAACCTGGCGTTTATCCACTAATAATGAATTTTACGGTCTACATTCACACCTTGACATTAAACCCAGTAAATGACGTTTATTCAGTTAAAATGTAAAATAGATGGTATCATAAGAAGTCAACTACAGATTCTCCATGAACCAAAGCCTCAACGTCTTGCCCATTTTGGTCTCCTCCCTATTGCCAAAACGGCGATTGATGATGGGACCGATATGCGGTTCTCCCTCGCAGATCATGTACTGTGTGAACGGAACAACAGGCTGATTACGGATCAGTATAAAAGAAGCGTAGTCAGGTATAGAGTGGCTCACCTTGATTTTCTCGACGAACTGAGTGACCGAGTCAACTATGACATCGTCCGACCCAACGTAGACGAGCAGAGACTTGGTCTTGATATCCTTCCACCATTCCGGAGGCGCTTGGATGGCATGGTTATAATTATCAGGCTCCGCGTTGCCGATGAAGGCTTGCGCCCAGCTTCTTCCGCACTCCAGAGAGAGATAGTCTCTCTTTGCATTCCTGGTGTACGACGGCACCTTGTCGGCCATCGAGACCCAGGGGGCCATGGTGAAAGCACCGCCCAGAGGAGCAGATATCTTCAGGGGCTGTATGTCTTTGTGTGGATGGGAGAGATGAGAGAGCACCCCGAGCGTGAGATTCCCCCCTGCCGAGTCACCGCCGAGGAAGACATTCTGCGGGTCGCGGCGTGTTTCTTCAACGATGTAGCGAAGGGCGCCGACTGCCTGTCTAAGCTGGGTGGGATAGACGCCTTCGGGACTGAGGGTATATGAGAGAAAGAAGAAAGCGACGTCTTTGCCGGCTGCGTTGAGCTGCTTGAGCAGAGCAGAGTACAGCTGGAAGTACGCAGGGTATGCAGGCAGAGCAAACCCGCCTCCTACAAGCATTGTAAGTATCTCTCTCTCTCTCTATATATATATATATCTATTGAAAGATGCTCGGCCTACCGTGGTAGTATATCACTACGTTCTTTGCATCCTTCTCCCCGAGCCAGTGCCCCTGAGCGCCATGTTCAAGCTGCACCGTCTGGGGCTTGATGCCACGGCCTCTTGCATAGAGCTCGTATGCCTGAGCCGTAGATGGATACATAAAGCTGTCAGGGAGCAGTCAGCATACAATTGGAGAAGCCAGCCGTTTTATGATCCGGGGTTTGTCTACCTACCGAAGCTGTCTTATGGACATGCGCCATAGGAATCTCCGGACGACAGCGTGGCGGATGTGAGTCCTGTACGTCCTGGCGCCGTCCCGCCCGCGCACCAGGCCGGTGATGGCTGCAGCTATCGCCGTCGCAAGCAGACCGAGTCCTGCTGGTAGAAAGTCCAGCTTCTCGGCCAGTGTCAGCTTTACTAGCGAGTTGACGGGCGTGAGGGCCTTCCCGGTCGCCATGCTGGGTGTTGCTATATTATATTATATCGATTATATCGATTTATATGGGGAAAAGAAAGCATCAGCCTGAGTACTTCTCCGGTCGTGTAATGATTATATTTTGATATTTATAAGAAGCTCGATGCTTGTCCAGGGGCTTGCCGAGGTCTTCACATGACTTCTTTACGTCGGATTAATTATTGTTCATTTTCCTCATGTTTTTTTATAGAAAAGCTCTGGTTAAAACAGATATGAAAGAGTTCCTATTGATGGTTGAAAAGGAAAGGCAAGGAAAAAGGATGTGTGCTAGAGGTTGCCATTGACTGGCGCATCGGCGAGCTCGCAAAAGGCCTTGAAGGTGGTCAGGTCTTTGCCGTCGACGGTGCTCTCGATAACACACTCGGCCGCGGCGCCGACGAAGAAGACGTAGCCTTCCTTCATGTCGAAGCTCTTTGCTGGGCCGACGCTGATCCTGCCCTCGCCGGCCGTGCAGATGACGATGCTCGGTCCGTTGATGGGCTCAAAGGTGGCCTTCGCGCCGGCAGACTTTAGGTCCGTCTTGACGACGCTGAACTCCTCGATTGGCGGGTCGTACAGACAGGCCGCGGAGCCGCTGGAGTAGGCTGTCGTGTTCATCTTCATGTACGGATACTCGGTAGGGGTCATCTTCTGCTCCTCGATGGGCGCATAGGAGTAGGTGAGCATGCTGGTGAGCGTGGACACGTCTTTGAACTTGGGAGTAAAGCCGGCCCGGACAACGTTGTCGGACGAGGCCATGCACTCGACGATGTCCCCGCTGATGTAGGCGTGGATGTCGTCTGCCTTGAGGAACATGGCCTCTCCGGGGCTCAACTTGATGAAATTGAGGAAGAAGAGGACAAAGAGGCCGATGTCGTTGGGGAACTGTCCGTTTAACCGGACGACGAGCTCGGCGAGCTCGGACGGGTTGGCCGGGTCGGTGTCTGGAGAGGCAGCGGAGGTTGCAAACGTCTCTGGCGAGCTCTCTGCGGCGCTGACGAGTTTCGCGGTAGCACTGGTGATGGCTTCCTGCGGCGACTGCATCAGCTTGGTAAACACCTCTCTGAGTGCGGTCTTGTTCTTCTGCAGGGTGTCCTCGTCCTGGGACTTCTCCTGGCCGCTAACGGTCTTCTCAAAGGCCTCGGCGGCCCCGGTGCCGACCAGCTCACGCAGCGGTTCGACGGCGCGGAGGAAGTGCACGATCTCAGCGAGTGGGCGGAAGCCGCAGAGACCCTCAAACGGGGTGACTGCAATGGTCATCTCCGGCTTATGGTTGTCATCTATATACACATATGTTAGCGGTCTCCCTGAGTAAAAAAATTTGGGTAGTTGCGGCTTGATCACACCTGGGTAGTTCTTCGAGTCCCTGGCATGGAGAGCCTCGGCCAGCTTCTTGTTCGGATGGGCCTGGATGCTGAGGGCCTTGCCGATGGAGAGGATCTTGAAGAGGAACGGGAGCTTTCCACCGTATCGAGAGACGATCTCGGTCGACATGAGGGCCTTGTTCGTCTGCACCAGGTCAAGCAACGACCTCTGGGTCTCGACATCTTTTGACGGCAGAGACGGGTGTGTTCCCATCCACAGCTGCAGACATCGGTCAGTAAACGTATATCAAGACAGGCGGTAGATATTCTCCTCCCCATACCTCTGCATACGGCTTGTCAGGCTCGACGCAGAAGCCATCTACGGGCGTTGCGGCCGCATATCTGGCCGCAGCAGACTCGGAGCCAACCTTGCCTGGTAGCAGCAGGACAATCAGCCATTGATCACGAAGCCATCGTGAGAAGAAGGAGAGTAGAAAAGGGCGTCTCCATTACCCCAGCCGTAGCTGTTGACTCCTGTAAACAACTTGTTAGCAGGCCCTTTGCCATCATAGATAACAGCACACAAGCAAGACTCACCACACTGAAGACGGAAGAGAGGAACCTGCATGGCGATGGCTACAGCTCAGTGTCCAACCAGTCTCTGTCTATTCTCCCGGTTATCCTGTCTGACACCGGCTCGACTTTTTGTTGTATCTTAACTACATCATCGAGGGGCAAAAAAAAAAAAGGGAAGATGGACGAGGACGAGGTTCAGCCACAGGATGCGCGCAAGCATGCGAAAACGCCACAGCAGCGACTCCTACTGCGATTCCGACTGCCAGCCCGACCGCCGCAGGAGACAGCAGAGACAGGGCGACAGATCTATCAGGCGCAGCACAATCGCATCGGGGCGACGGACGACGCGGATGGCATCCATGGTTCATCGTCGACCAGCCCAGCCGCATCCACGACCGTGAAGACAGGGAGCAGCAGCAGCAGCAGCAGCAGCAGCGAGAGAAGCATCCGTGGCAGGCCCCCGACGCTCCATAGCTCGCACGACTGGGGAGCATTGGATATAGAGAAGGGCAGACAGGGTGCTGCCAGCATGTCGCGCAACCGTCCGAGAGGGCCGGCGACGAGAGAGAACGGGCTGGCGGCAGACGAGGAGGTTGAGATGTGGAACAAGATCTGCCAGGATATCAGAAAGGCCGCTGAGAAGAACGACAGGCAGAGGGCCATTGGCCTGCAGATTGCCGCCTTGAACGAGAAGATAGCACGGAACGGCAGCAGTACGTTGATTCCCGCCTTTCTCTCCATATACACATCTTATACACATCTTATACACTACGGATGGATGCTAACATCATGTGTAGAGCCGACACTGGCGGAGATAGACCACCTGGACAGCCTCCACCGGCAGCAGCTGAAGCTGAGCGAGGAGGAGAGGGCCATCCTGCAGGACGAGCCGGCGGACGTCACCAAGAACCTGGGCATCCTGATCGCCCTCCGCTCGGCGTCAGAGGCAGACCCCCAGAGCCGGTCTCTCTCGCAGAACAAGTCTCGCAAGAGAAAAGGAGACGTCGACCTCGCCTCGACCGAGTCTCCCGGGCCGTCGTCCTCGGGCGTGTCGTCAGACAAGCTGAATCGGATCAAGGGCGGCGCCCAGCGGAGCACCAGCGTGTCGAGCAGCCATCGTGAGGTCACCGCCTCGCTGGACAGCGGCGTCGAGGGCGGCCGGCCGTCCGAGAGAGCAGACCAGCTTGTCGTCGGTGCCGAAGTCGTCTTCAAGCACAACAAGAAGCAGCAGGGCGTCGAGGGAGAGGGAATACAGTGCATCATCAAGAACATCAGCGGCGAAGGAAACAAAAGACGGTAAGCCCTGTCACTCTCCACGATGCCACCACCACCACCACCGCTACTACCACGGATTACTTATTACATGCTATAGATACGACGTCCAGGACCCGGAGCCCATCGAGAACGGGGAAGAGGGCGCCATCTACAAGACCACGGCGGCCTCCCTGATCCCCATCCCCAAGGCCGGCTCCCCGCTGCCGCAGTTCCAGGTGGGCAAGCAGGTTCTGGCCCGGTATCCGGACACGACGACCTTCTACCGGGCCGAAGTCATGGGCCTGAAGAAGGACGTCTACCGTCTCAAGTTCGAGGGCGAAGAAGACGACAAGGAGATGGAGGTCGACCGCCGCTACGTCCTCGACATCCCTAGCAAGTGATTCCGCCCGTTTGTTCCGCTCTCTTTCGTCTCGTCCTTTCGTCTCGTCCTTTCGTCTCTATTCTATAGGCTGGAGTTGGAGGAGTCCTGGTTATTGATATCTCGTTTTTTTCGCATGCAATGGATAAATTGTGTATCTTGGGACTGGCTTCTTACTATCCATGTATTATACTAGAACATAATACTCATATCTCAGTCCTTCTTCGTCGTCGTCGTCGTCTTCTTCTTCTCGTCTCTTCTTCTTGCTTAGTGAAGGCTGACCTCATGCTTACTCAGCCTTCCGGCGGCCGAGGCTCTTTTTTTTCTCCCTGCAAGTTCTTCGAAGCAACGAAGAAACATCTAAAAAGGATGATAAAGAGCTGAAAGAACGAGAAGAAGAAGAACTCTTACATCCTACTTCCATGTGCTAGAGTCACGATGCCGTCGCCGTCCGCCCAAGCCTCTCCCTTCATCGCTCCACGGCCCATCCACCCTCACCAGCAGCAGCAGGTCGCTGATTATTCCCGGACACAGGGAGAGCCGTCCCGGAGGATACCAGCGTCTTCAGATGCCAGAGACAGCCATGCCGGCTCGCACACAGCAGAGGAGGGCGGCAGACTCAGTGATACCGACGACCACGCCTCCTCGACCCCCGCCTTGCCATCCTCTATAATATCTCCCGCCTTCACTCCTCCGTCCACTCCCGGAGGCGGCAGCGGCAGCACCAGCGTCTACCCTTCCATTCTCTCTCCAAAGCCTAGAATTGAGGCTAGACACACGCCCTCTAAGCCGCCGAGGCTGCTGCCGCATCTTCCACAGGTAGAATGCATCGTTCGTGCTAGGATACCGACCACCACCGGCGCAGAGATGTTCCTGCACCTCTACCAGAACGACGCCGATAACAAGGAACACCTAGCCATTGTCTTTGGAAACTCAATCCGCAGCCGCAGCCTGGACAGGGTTCGAGAGGGAGAGACAGAGATGGACCGTATGATCAGGGGTGCATACGTTGGCAGACTACGGCCAGGGCGGATAAGCAGTCGATACGACGAACTTGCAAACACGGGCGGCAGACCCGGGGAGCGCACAGAGACTCCGCCAGAAACTGCAGTACAGCCTCCGTCGCAGGCTCCGCTGGTCAGAATACATTCGGAATGCTACACCGGGGAGACTGCATGGTCGGCTCGGTGTGACTGCGGCGAGCAGCTAGACGAAGCCGCACGACTGATGTCGGAACCCACGTCCACCGGCACCGATGCCGGCTTCCAAGAGCCCGGCGGCGTGATCGTCTATCTGCGTCAGGAAGGGCGTGGCATCGGCCTCGGTGAGAAACTCAAGGCATACAACCTGCAGGATCTTGGCTCGGACACCGTAGAAGCCAACCTGCTCCTCCGCCACCCTGCAGATGCTCGCAGCTACGGTCTTGCAACCGCCATACTCGTCGACCTGGGGCTGGGACAAGACTCGTCAGACCGTGGCATCCGGCTGTTGACCAATAATCCGGATAAAGTCGCTGCGGTGGAAGGCCCGAACCGAGAGATTGCTGTCAAGGAGAGAGTGCCCATGGTACCACTTGCGTGGAAAACAGGCGGTACCAAGGGAATAAAGAGCGTAGAGATTGAAGGATACCTTCGGACGAAGGTGAGTTCACTTGTGTTCCTCCTCCCATACTTTTTTTTTGTTATTAACGGTCTATAGATTGGAAAGATGGGCCATATGATTGAATAGACCCGAGCCCGTATTTCCTACCTCGTATATTTCAGATACTCTCAAGACCATTTCCCCGGCACCTTATCCATTTACAGCGTTCTTTTTTGTTTTTCATGTGTTGACGAGCCTATAAATTTCATTTGTTTTTCAGCAGCCTGTTCCTATCGCTGGGAGGTTTTGGTCCTGCATGCATAACCATGACCTGGTTATTACGCCCGAATATCTATATCCATACGCTAGATCTGCTCGCCCTTTCTTATCTTCAAGCATTTTATTGAAAGACATTGTACAGCAATGCATCCACTATGTCTACTGAGGCAATAATACCCAAAAACAGCAACGCGGACAAGCAGCGACGCCTCTTCCGATATCCATCACTTTCTCCCCTTTGCGAAGAAAAGCGTCATCTTCCCACCCCAAGCTTCAGGGACGGTCATCTGCTCTTTCAACACTGTATAGTCACTCTCCTTGCACCCTGCCGAGCTGAAAAGGCCATCCATCTCCTCCTTGGTAAAACCGCTATGCGACACCGTATGCGCAGCAGGATGGTCGATTTTCGCCGGGTTAAATCCCTTGCCTTCCTTCTCCCAATCGGCAACGACCACGATACCACCGGGACTAAGACGTTCGACGAACCGGTTAATCAGCGTCTGCGGATCCTCGACATGATGCAGCGCGTGGACGATGATGATGAGGTCAAAGTTGAAGAACTCCTCCTTTGCAATGGATGAAGTGGCTTCCGACTCGGTCAGGTTACCTTTGACCGCGTATATCTGGTGCTCGGACAGCCCCTCCTTACGAGCTGTTTGGTTGAACTTCTCGACCATCCCGGCAGCCACGTCGACGCCGATACATTTGGAGAAGTACGATGTGAAGAACTTTGCAATTGATTAGCCGTGTTATGCCCAAGGAGGGGCTATCTTCATCTTACTCGTGAGATGTATCCTTCGCCGCAGGCATAGTCCATCATCTTCTGCCCCGATTGGCCATCCTTTATACCAAACCAGGATAAGTTCTCTTGGAGGTGTTCGCAAATCTGCTTCTGACAAGAAACGACCCATTCATTGTCAAATACAGTAGATGCAGCGGAACTATCGTGATGCCCTTAGTACTAGAACAAAAAAAACCAGTTCATGGAAGCATTAAAAGGCTCTTCATACCTCCAGTACTCTCCATTAACCTGGGTATGGTTTTGGTCATGGCCGTGATGGTGATGATGGTTGCCACACATGGTTGCTGGGTTATCAGGCTCAGGGTTGAAGATTATCAATTGAGAGTGTTTATATGCTCATTACCAAAGTGTTGTCTGATTGTCTCGAAAAAAGTGTTTAGGACAACATGAATGTCCATGGCCTTTATATACCCCTAGATTCTCCTTTTCTCCCTTATCACTAAACCCGGAGACATTCTCTAATTGTCTCCGAGGAATATTATTAATCCCCTTAGTTGTCCTGTTCCAGTCTATCTAGTTTAGATTTTGTATCTACCATGCATGTTTGCGGCTTCAGCCTTGTTTACTTGTTCACGAAGACCACATTCCACTTCCCAAGCGGTCCCCCCAGCCCAAAGTATCTCCCTATATTGATATTACTAGACCATCCGCTGTACGTATACTCCATATCCTTTGTATACAAAATCATACCGACGAATTCAGATGCAAACATGTGATCTCCGCTGACCGCCAGCCTCGAAAATCAAGGCGTGACACGAAAGAGCTCAGAGACCGCAAGGGGCTGCATAACGCTCCGAGAAGTCTCCGCGCTCTGCATATCAAGTATCCACCCAGACATCCTACATGTGCTTGTAGGATAGTTGGATATATAGATAAGCACAGAAGGCCCCACTGGCCATACGTGAATTAATACAATATACACGGAATCTGGGCTATATCGTTAAGCATGCATCGTCACTTGGCCCTGGAGTGCAAAGTATGCCGAGATTGATAAGATTAGATAAGATTAGATGCCAAGCCAAGGCGCCTTAGCTAATTGGTCACATGATATGGCCCGAGGTTTCCCATGTTGGTTGCAGCCTGAGTAGAGAGAGGAAGACAAACTTGGCTTCTCTCGCTTCTTCTCCCAAGGTAAGCCTTAGATGGAGAATTAGGCAGCACAGAAGAAGATGGAGGGCCTACCACCTGTTACGCCGGGGGTGGCGCCACGGACATCCCTAGTCAGCATGTTCCGAAAGAACGGCAGGCCAACCTCCTGTGAACCATGTCGTATCTCCAAGGTCAGATGTGATCATGTAACACCCATCTGCCAGCGATGCGAGAAGCGAGGGATTGCTGATAAGGTAATGGAGTACTGTCACCATTATGTGACCGCCTGTTATTGTTTTGAGGGATATATATTGATCGAATCCTAGTGCTATTACCATGAGGCGCCTTTGACTCGGGCTGGTCCAAGAAATCGTAATAGAGTCACCAAGTCATCTAGTCTATCCGGGACAGACGCTGTGAGCCGACGCAGCTCTGACATTAAAAGTGCCCTTCTTAAATACCCTACGCCCTCCGATGGAAAAGCGGATGGCGGCACAACTATTCAGAACGCCTATCTTGGTTCAACCAGCTTCCTGTCTGTTTTCCAAGAAACCCCTTCGGGATTCTCCAGCTGCTCTGTTCTATCGCCCCAAGTGGACCTGGGACAATGGGGTTACGATGCTGCTTATACAGAGCTCAACTTGGCCCGGCTCCTTTCCGCGTTTGACTTGTATGAAAAGCTGATCATATCGTTTTATGAAAAATATCACCTCACCATCATTCCCATGCAGTTAGTGCTTACTCCTCTCAGGGCCACCAAGGCCTATTTGGAAACTGGAGGGTGGCTTCAAGAGTCGCGTCAGCGTGAGCTCTACGCCAAAATCACCCAAAGCACCGCTCGTCCACTCCAAATCCAAATTTCTGGCACCTCATCACTGGAAGACTTCAGTGCCTTATTTTCTGGGGAGAATTTGAGATGGGAATTTGTTGGGGTAATTTATTCACTAGCAGGGCTGAGTGCCATCTCAGATCACCTCCTCACGCCCGTGCCTTGGTCTTATAATGAGGAGGTTCAGGACAAAGAAGCGTTTGCTAAAGAGATGGCTGCAGCATGTAATAGCTGCTCGCAATTATGCAAACGCTATGATAATTGCAATGACTTAATGATTTGGCTACACTACATCTACGCAGTGCTGGCATCAGACGTTTTAGGAGAAACAAGTAAGTATTACCTCCCTTTGAAGCCCCATTTATTGAGTTGAGCATAGGTCACTGAGAATTTAGGCCACCACGTATACGCAGTCATGGGCGACTTGGTCACTGATATATACGGAATGGGCCTTCACCGATATAAAACTCCAGATTCAGACGTCCCCTTCTTTCTTTCGGAAGTCCGCAAGAGATTGGTTGCTGCCACGTACCGAACGGATAAAAACTTAGCAACGTTTCTGGGCCGGCCACCGCGTCTCCCTTATCACTATTGTGATGCCGCTTTACCCCTGGATATTGGGGATGAAGACCTTTTCCTTCAAGGTGAGGAGCTTCAAGCAGTCCTTAGGAAGCTAACACACGACGGATGGGGCTCTGAGGGAACCTCGAATGGCAAAATCCGGCCTGTAACCGCCATTAGGATGCGTTATTTCTCCTCAATTTTTCGAGAGAAAGTCCTGAGGCTGTCCCTTGGACGAAAAGGGGAAACTTTCACGCACGACCTCCAGTAAGTGTACTACCAATATCATTTTCATAACCCAATAATTAACTTGTAGCTAGAGAAACTTATCAGGAATGCAAGCGGATGTTGGACGGAGTTCCTGGATGGTTTCACTACCGTACAGACTGCTGGGAAACACTCGATTCGGTCACATGCATTGTGAGCCTTGTTATTTATCTTGAATGTATTCACACAATGTTTCAGGTTGAGCGCATTCGATGCCGGGAGAAACAGGGCTCCGTAAGGGATCTTCTTGATAGCTCAATGCAGGCTGTTTCCGCTGTGATAGATTTCACGAAACAAGGGGAGAAGAAGGGTAATAAGGTTTGGAAAGATTTTGCTTGGGTGGTAAGTTTATATACCTAGGCTACCCACGGCAGTATAACATATTAATTAACACATGCGTGCAGTTCCTACTATATGCTCTGCCGACTGCGGGTGTTCTCGCAATTGAACTTCATAGATGCACAGTCACGGAGACCCCTCTTTCATCCACTGCGCCTCGGTCTGAGGTTATTCGCAACCTAAGCACCATTGTTTCATGGTTTGAGTGCACCGACCTCCCAGTTAATGCTACTCATAACACCTGTGTGGAGGTTAGTAAGGCTATCAACAAACTCCTGGACGATACTTTAAACTATCAGCCCGGTACCGGCCAGCGCCGAATAGGGGGTGACCATCGAGTCGCAGAACTCGCCATCTCCTCTGAGATGCCTCCTGGAGTAGATACGGATACTGTCATGAAAAACACTAAGCCTTATGACTTGGGGGTCCCGATGTTACACCCTGAGCCGTTTGGTAGTGATCTGACCAATGGCATATCAATTGGGACGGGAGAAAGCTTTCTCACCTGGCTTGATGGACTGGGGATGGACACGTCTATTCCAGAGTTTCTGCTATGAATGTATTGACATATTGCCTCGTGGCAGCGCGCTTCGAGTAGCACTTTTACAGCGCCATAACAGACCTGAGCAACCCCCCTCCAAACCCTGTTTCATGGCCTTGGGGGTGTCTGCGATTGGTACACTAATTAGTGTCGCTAATAATAGCCTTCAGACTATTCATGCAGTCCAGAATAATACTTGAGGCTGACCACATAAGGAAATAGAGTTGCACGGTCTGGGCTCTGGACCGCTGCGGGAAGCCTGCTCTGCCTTCGACAAATTAGGCAAAAGGTGGTTAGTAAACGGCTCTTGAGGCGTCTTTTCCGGACCGCAGACCGGGGCTGTGGATGTACGAACACTGCGGGACAAGAGCCTACGGGTCCGCTGCAGCAGATAAGCACTTGGAGCCAGACAGACGATAGCGATCAACGGCCTGCTCTGGTGATCTCATTCGTCGTACTTCGGGAGCCCCCTATGCAAATGGCTTGTGCTATTATTGCTTTGGGGGTGAGTATCACACTCTTTCCTTTTTGATACGGAGCCTATCCACGACTTTAAAGCCTCAGACCAGACCTCGATCGACTGGAATGCGTCCAGCCATCGCCATGCTGATCCCAGCCAGACAAATTATAATCGAACGCGCCGTTTATTCGATGGCCTCGCCGTAATTTTATCCAGGCGAGGGTTTTGATAGAGTCAACCCGTAACGCCAACCATTCATCACGGCTTAAAAACAAGACTATAACGGCGTGCATATCGAAGGGCAATATTTATTTCTTTTTGTTATCAACATATTGTCGCCTATTAGCAGATGTAACAACCTGTATTCGACATCTCGACTGCATGTTTTAGCTGAAGTAAATCCTGCATGAGTCGTCATCTGCCATCGAACTCTACAGACACAGCGAGGCTTCTTCCCCCTAGTGCTGAGACGAGACCCCTCAAGCCAACGGTGGCGCTCTAGCAAGGCCCAATCATGGAGACAGCATGTTCCATCCCTGGACTCGACCATCGTTAAAGCGCCTCTTGTCCCCAAAGGCTGGGTGAAGCCCGCCATCCCATCTTCCTGGATCCATATTCATATTGGCTAAGGGAAAAAAAGAAGGAATCGTTGATATATAACTGCAATCGGACAGCGGTTCAGGGGGCGAAAGCCTCTCATTTTAACTTCAATTTTTTTTTTTTCGTACCGTCTCGACCAACACTGCGAACGGCAAAAAAACTCCATCCTTTTGGAGTCGCAATTAAATACGTCCTCTGTCCTGGGCCCAAGTCGCACATAACTATACATACGTGTTTGCAATATCGTTTGGCCGCGGGAAAGAAGGTGGACGAACGTCTGACTGGCCGTACGTCACGGCGAAGGGTTGAAGCATCATGGCTGGACAGGCGCCGCCCGCCCTAGGAACTGTATCGGGCGGCGACTCGTCCTCCGTCAAACAGGAATGTGTTAATTCCCCCAGTTCCGGTTTGGGTACTGGTGTCACGGCGACAACAGCTGGGCCTGCGCTGCCTGGGAAGAAGCGAGCGAGCACATCCTCACGAGGAGTCGCTAATCTCACCGCAGAGCAACTGGCAAAGAAGCGGGCGAACGACAGGGAAGCACAACGGGCAATTCGAAAGAGAACGCGCACCCAGATCGAGTTGCTTGAGCAGAGGGTGCGTGAGCTGACCTCGCTGCAGCCATATCAGGACCTACAGGAGGCACTGCGGCAGAAACATATCCTACAGGCGGAGAATAATGAGATCAAGCGGAGGCTCGCCTCCGTTATGGCGACCCTCCAGCCGATTCTCAATCACTCAGGCTCTCTAGCATCGACGATACCACCATTAAGCCCCCATAGCGAAGTTTTTCCTGCCCGCAGAACCAATTCCACCTCCCATACGGATATCCCTCCAACTCCGCCGCCCCAGCCAGACCACAATTCTCAGCATGGATTGCCCAGTGAACAGCCTGATCGACGTGTACGGAATCCCGCCAGCGTCGAATCTATAAATGGGGCCGCTGCTGCCTATTCAAGTTCTCCTACAACGAGTGTGAGCCCATCTCCGTCAGCCTCTACTCAAGGACCTGGCCATTTACAAAGCTGGCAGCAGAATCCTCCCACCCCTCGCAACACTGACCATGGTTGGCCATCGCATACTCAGCTCTTTGACTACCAAAAGCGCAACCTTACACATAACCTTGAGCTTTCAGGAAACGGCGAGAGACTAGGATTCAATTTTCTTCTGGATTCAAACCAGAATATACCTAGGATCAACGACTTCCGTCTTAGTAGTTCGTCCTCCTCCAATGGCTCCTTGCCGTACGATGGCCGTCTGAACAATCCTTCATACATTGATTCCAACATGTGTCCGTACTCGATACCAATCCGCAATGTCGAGCCTACATGTCCGCTAGATGGCATTCTACTTGATTTTCTTCGCACCCGCCAGCGTGAGGCAGCCGAAGGTGTCCCTAACCGACAGCTTATTGGCCCTCCTTACCCAAGTGTCTCTTCCTTGCTCAACCCAGCTAAAGGAATTTACTCACATCCTCTTTCAAAAGTATTTACAGACATTCTCAGTAAATTCCCCAATATTTCCAATTTGCCTGAACAAGTCGCTGTCCTATACGTCATGTTCCTTCTCATGAGGTGGCAGATATACCCAACGCGCGAGAATTATGACCGTCTCCCCGAGTGGATGACACCACGAACATCGCAGATCGTCACACCGCATGCAGCGTGGATTGACTATCTCCCATGGCCTCGTATGCGTGATAGGATGGTCGCTTCATATGCCGACTACGATTTCTCCAACTGGTTTATTCCCTATACGACAGGACTCAGTCTGAACTGGCCTTACGAACCAACCGATACCCTACTAGCCACCAATGACTCTGAAGAATTAATAATAAACCCAGTCTTCGAACGGCATTTGCGTGATCTGAATAACTGGTCTCTCGGAACGCTCTTTGCAACCACATATCCTCATCTAGTTGACACAACTCGAATTGTTCCAGAGTCGAACCACCAAAAGCAGCCGCCGAAGTAGAAGTACCTCAACCCCTTGCACGTCTTTTTTTTGTACTCTTACATTCCCTTGAGTTACCTTACTGGACTTTTCTTTCACGGTATCTGGATGCTTCTAGCGGGGGAGTTGGGGGTTTCTTTTTACATGGGATTAAATCTGGAGTCTAACATGTCATATATATAAACAATAGCCGGACATTTCTGCAGCCAAATAAACGGCCTAGTCCTATATCTTGATAAATTTTTAACATATCCCTGGCCTCATATAAATCAATCATATCATAATACTTCAAGAAATAATGTCTTTACATAGTAAATGTTGATTTTATTATATGGAGGGCACGCTAAACCCATTTGGGAAACTACGCAACTACGCAACTTCAAGTTCGTACTTCGCGGAGAACAACACGATCAGAACAGCTTTAGCAAAACAATCTGGCGAAGGCCGCCCAGCATTATTATTCATTGCACAGGTGCTCTCTGGTACAGACAACCAACCCCTTGAAGAAACGGCCATACCCCCTCTCTCCCTCTAGAAAATGGCGGAGCCTCCTATCGGTAACACCCCCTCCCTCCTATACAAAAATCATATGGCTCCCATGTTGTTAACAATGGGATTAATCTAGTTCTCGACGGTGGAACGGGTTTCTTAAAAGTCGGATATGCCGCGCAGGTAGAGCCCTCCTCGACACGACAGCCATTGCTGTGGGAGAAATAAGTGGTTGCTAATTGTATATTCTCCCCGCACTGCCAGAACTTCCCAGAACACCAGTTCCCTTCGATAGTGGGACGCCCAATCCTTCGAACAGAAGAACAGGCGGGTGATATAGTAGTCAAGGATATTATGTGTGGAGATGAGGCCGCTGCCGCCCGATCTATGCTTCAGATTTCTTACCCTGTACGAGCCGAGATTCCCTGCTGCCTGATACACTCCTAACGTCGGTTTGACTAGATGGAAAATGGAATTGTGAAGAACTGGGAAGATATGCAGCATCTATGGAACTACACGTTTTATGAAAAGATGAAAATTGATCCCACTGGCCGAAAGATTCTCCTGACCGAACCTCCGATGAACCCTCTCCGAAACCGCGAGAAGATGTGCGAGACCATGTTTGAAGGATACAATTTTGGCGGTGTATATGTTGCTATCCAGGCTGTTCTAGCACTTTATGCTCAAGGTGTGATTACATCTATTCCGCTTGACATGGGTCATAGTTGAATGCTAATATGGTGTGAAGGGCTGAGCAGCGGTGTTGTGGTAGACTCTGGCGATGGCGTAACTCACGTCATTCCTGTGTACGAGTCTACGGTCCTGAACCACCTCACCCGTCGTCTTGATGTTGCTGGCAGAGATGTGACCCGTAACCTTATCGCCCTGCTCCTCCGCAGAGGTTACGCCCTCAACCGTACCGCAGACTTTGAAACGGTGCGCCAAATTAAAGAAAAGCTTTGCTATGTCTCGTATGACTTGGAGCTTGACAAACGCCTCTCCGAAGATACCACCGTGTTGGTAGAATCATACACTCTCCCAGACGGCCGAGTGATAAGGGTCGGAAGCGAGCGCTTCGAGGCTCCCGAATGTCTTTTCCAGCCGCACCTGGTCGATGTTGATCAGCCGGGTATCGCTGAATTATTATTCAACACCATACAGGCTGCCGATGTAGATGTCAGAAGTAGCCTGTACAAAGCTATTGTCCTCAGTGGCGGAAGCAGCATGTACCCCGGTCTACCATCGCGATTAGAAAAGGAGTTGAAGCAGCTATGGTTGACCAGAAATCTACACGGTGACCCAGAGCGACTAGACGTAAGACAGTACATCTTCGCACCGTCTGGATCTTTACTAACACCCTTTATACAGAAATTCAAACCCCGAATCGAAGATCCTCCACGAAGGCGACATATGGTCTTCCTGGGAGGCGCTGTCCTTGCAAACTTGGTAAGTGTAGACCCATCAATGCATTGTAGGGACTTCTTGACACTAACTGCCAACTCCCCACAGCTCGCTGATAAGGACAACATGTGGATCTCAAAACAAGAATGGGAGGAACAGGGCACCAGAGCTCTGGAAAAGCTGGGCCCTAGATAAATCAGTATATACAAAAAGACTACTAGACCTAGCTCTCCAGAGTACGTACTTTATGACCAATTAAGATATAGCCCTGTTTGCCTATGTAATAGTTCAGCGCCTACCTAGAAACTAGAATATTCGACGCGGTAAGTAAAGTCTATCATATTAAAATGTATATCGCATTGCTTCTTCAGCTTTCTGCCCAGCTGGTGAAAGGAAGACATGTTAGCCGTTGCGGGCCCGGTGTATGTAGCAGTCCAGTAGAGAAAGTATTCACATCGTAGAAATACAGAGACGACTTCAAAAAAAAATTAGATACCACCCATAGCTCACTGTTTTAGGAGGCTTTAAAAATAGCCGTATGAGCATGTTCCAAAGTTATACAAGGATGAAGGATATAAAACAAAAACCCAGGACCACAAAGAGATCTATGAAGATAGAAAGAAAAAGGGAGCCCTCTCGGTAAGGCCCGAAGGTAAATTCCATAAAACCACACGGCTTTCCGTTGCTCGACCTCATGCATAGTCGTGAAATGAACATTCATTCGTCAGACTCAGAATCAGGTCCTTCATCTTCCAGTCGCTTCCTTCGTTCCTCATCGAGCTCACGATATGTACTCCAGCTGAGGAGTAGGAAGGCGAGAGTAATCAGAATTCCACCGATGATAGAACTGAAGCCAAGGGCCTTGTGGTTGAACTTCCAGTCGACAAGAGCCACCAGGAATATGGTAAGAAGTGCCGCGACGGATGACAGGACGGGCGAGGTAAGAGATATGAGAACAAGGAATGAACCAGAGAAAGCTGGAGCGATATGCAGTCAGTACTCACGGTATACAATAAAAAGAGGGAAGCTAATGATATAAGAGGATATACGTACTAGCATTTGAAAGGGTAGAAATGATCAGAAGCCAGGCAGTTTCTCCCCGTGGTATCTCGAATGTTTCCCACCCAAGAATATGGAAAAATGGTAATGGAATCCAAAGGCAAAGAAGAGTAAATAGACCGATCATGCTCCCGAAAGTATTTGCAAAGATAACACCCCGACCTGAGCTTGTCCCTTCCGGCGGGCAAGCAAACCGTTTAAACAAAACCTCGTATAACCCATAAAGAACACTACCAACGCCAATAATGATGTTACCGACTGCCCTGTTTGATGCTTTTTTGAGAGTATCAGCGTCTCCCGCCGGCGTACCTTCCGGAGGTCCACCGGGGCCGTATGCAATAATGATGACTCCAACGATGGCGACGCAGACAGAAAAGACTTTGTCAAATCGTAATTTGTCGTTGAGTAGTGGGATCGAGAATGCGTAGGCAAAGAAGGCGGAACAGTTATAGATTGCAGTCAAGTCACTGCTGGTGGTTAAGTCAACGGCAACGTACCAAGAGCCCCCGGCTATGGTGAGAGCCAAGGCAACGAAGACTGTCGTTTTGACCATGTACGGGACCGGCGACTTGTTTGACTCGCGGGTAGTGAGGTGTAGGTCCTGGGATTCCACCATCTGCGCTGTTGTTCGTAGGATATAAACATGTCTACGCCAGAAAGCAGGCCACTTGAGATGTCTTTTTTGGACCCGAAGAACGAGAAGCTGGATTGGCCATAGAAAGATCCACGACCCGTGTGTAAGATAGCTATATCACCATAAGACGAGTCATTAGCATCCATGGATTAATATTACCATAGAATAGCCATAGAGCGAGCGAAGTGTAACCTTCGGGAGAGAGGAAAGAAAAATGACAACTCACAGCATGCAGTACGGTTTGTTCCATCCTAACTCCTGTTGAATATAGACGGCAGTCTGGGTCTGGACGGTAAAACTGATGAGACTGATGACCAAGGCAAAGGCAGCAATAAGATATTTCTTCCTCGTGGCATTCTTCGCCCCAAAATCCGGGCTTCTGCTTCTAAAACTTGACCGTCCTCTGGTTAAGGACGGTCGTCCTTCTTCGATGCTCGCAGGCCCGACACTCGAAGACCGTCCACGGTTCTCACCCTTCAACAGCGGTACCTTAGACCGACTCTCACCCGGACATTGCATGCTAGGACGTCCGACTGCCATGTCTCCATCCGAGTCTTCCTCTGCCGAGCTATCAGCTGTCTTGGTGTGGCCGTCGTCTGCTGAAAAGAGAGTCGTCGAGTTCGACTTGCTTGGCTTTAGCTCTCGCAGCCGAATATCAGTGTTGGAAGAAAGATTGCTATATCCTGCTACTGCTGCGGCTGCCGATCTACGACGAGAAAGCGAGCTCCGTCGTTCAGAATCAGATCTGCTGAGCCCGTCGTCGTCCCGTTGAGTAGTAGGATAGTGAGTTGCCTGGTTGGAGCTTTGTGGTGACATCCATGCAGGTTCTTTAAAAAGATCTCCTATCGTCTATTTTTCCCTCTTCTCTCTCTCTCTTTATATATCTCTCTCCGCTCCCTTTCTGTCCTGTTGGGCCCGTCTCGCTTGATAGGCTGATGGCCTTGCGGCTTCACGTCTGCACCAGTGACATCGGATGGTTGCGCAGGACAACCAACGAGAACAAATTGCAGCTCTGCCTGTGGTTCCGGTGTGTCAAACGTCGTGTGAGAGGGAAGCTGAAAAATCACACACGCGATGGTGATATTATCCGTTAGTTATTTGCTTCAACTGGCTTCTTCTTGTTGAAGACTGAAAAATACGAAACTTCGAAGTTTCGCCCCTTTTGCTTAGTAAGTGTTGCGCCCCCCAAGCACGATTCAAGAGCAAGGAGGGAGAAGCATTTCATTTGAACAGTTTTTCTATTGTGAATAAGTGATTGATTCTTGGATGCTTGGACGTGCCTGGTTGGCCTTGTGGTTGGCGTGCAGCTTGTTCAGGAGACCAACCTGCCATCACCAGGTCAGTCAGGGGTCAACTTATTATTCGAGACAATATATCAGAGTGACGGCGGAAAAGTTACCCTCAAGAGTTATCTTCATACGAAGACGACCACGGCGTCTGATAAGGGTTGGAAACAATCCTTTGTCCGGATGCCATCATCCCAGAGGTGCAACATGTACGAGTTACACCGGAAGAGATACTTGGAGAGCATGCAGGATAAAAGAGTACAGGCAGTGCGTACTCCTATGCAAAGGCTCCTCGTACTCCATAGTATTTATGTATGTACAACTGTGGCTCGACAGTTTCCCTTGTCTTCCTGTCTTCTTCTTGTCTTCCTGTGCTATAGACGGCCTTTTATAGAATGACGTCACATCCTAGCCTTCAACTTGATGCCAAAAAAAACATGCATCACCATCGGATGATGGCCTTTTTATAAGCTTCTTTGATGGCTGGATGGTGTCCATTAGACCGGTTAGCGTGTCGCAAGGGATTGTCGCTGTATCAGGACTTGGCTTACAGTAAGTATCCTGTCTTCGTGTAGGGTGTCAAGCCTGTAGCCGTCGAGATATAAAAACAATTAGTAATTCGAGCAGCGATAGTGAATACGAGTTTATTTACGCTCTTTACTCCCTTTATAAAAAAGGTTGCTTATAATCGTGGCAAGGGAATATATAAACATCTCTCCATAGCCAACAAAGAGAGCCTCATCATTTGAAAACACCTAAGAGACCGATCGTTGACCATTACAGCCATGCCTCTTGTAGTGCCGAAATTTCCCCGGGTGATCCTGGGGCTCATGACCTTTGGTCCGGACGAAAAGGCGATGGCCCGGATAACAAGCCTTGACGAGTTCAAGCGGTGCCTGGACTGTTTCACGGCTAGGGGGTACAATGAAGTCGACACTGCTCGGGTCTATGTCGGCGGAAAGCAGGAAGCCTTCACGGCTCAGGCTGGCTGGAAAGAACGCGGCCTCAAGCTGGCGACTAAATGGTACCCCAGGACTCCTGGCGCGCACAAGGGAGACCAGGTCCGGGCTAAGCTCGAGGAGTCCTTGAAGGAGCTGCAGACAGACTGTGTTGACATTTTCTATCTCCATGCTGCGGATCGGTCTGTGCCGTTTTCAGAAACCCTAGAGGCCGTCAATGAGTTGCACAAGGAAGGGAAATTTGTCCAGCTGGCATTGAGCAACTATACTGCCTTCGAGGTTGCGGAGATTGTCACCATGTGCAACGAGAGAGGATGGGTGCGGCCGACAATCTACCAAGCCATGTACAATGCCATCAGTGAGTACCTTGGATGCTTGTTTATGTATTATTATACATGTAAAATCCTGCAACTAATAGTGTGAAATCTGTAACGCAGCGCGATCCATTGAAGCTGAACTAATACCCTGCTGCAAGCGATATGGAATGGATATCGTCGTGTACAACCCGCTAGCTGGAGGAATCCTGTCGGGTAAGTATAAGACCGCAGATATCCCAGCGGAGGGTCGATATAGCAACGCCCACTCCGGAGGACAGCTCTATCGGGGCCGATATTTCAAGGACTCTGTATTCGATGCGTTGAAGATTATCGAGCCTGTGGCAGAGAAGCACAAGCTGAGTCTGGTCGAGATAGCGTTCCGCTGGATAATGCACCATTCTGCTCTGAACATTAAAGATGGGAACGATGGAATCATCATCGGCGTGAGTAGCTATGAGCAGCTTGAGAAGAACTTGGACGACCTGGAAAAAGGCCCGCTTCCGGAGGAAGTTGTTGCTGCGCTCGACGAGGCCTGGATGGTTGCAAAGGCTACGACGGCTAATTATTGGCATCTTGACTTGAAGTATACATATGACACCCAGGCAGCGCTGTTTAAGCCTAGGTAGTAGTTAGACCTTCAGTCTATATACCATGCATACATAGTTTTTGCCGTATATTGAATACTTCTATATTCTGCGTTGCTCGCGTGCGTTGCGTCTGCATTCAATTCCAAGTGGGCCCACAAACTGGGTGGACATCTCGGGATGATAGTTAACTACTGTTTTTTTGTAGATCTTTAAAAGGCGATGGGCCCGATAGAGCAGACATCCACGCCTCGATTTATCTACCTGGAAACTCCCATATGTCGAGAGCCCAAGCTAATTCACCTGACAAGTTAACTTCTTCGCAAACCATCAAGTATTGATATTGAGCAGGACAAGATGCCTTACCGGCTCCTCATAATCAACCCAAACACATCGACTCATATGACAGATGCCCTGAAACCGATAGTCAACGGGGTAAACCTAAGGGGTAATTCGGCTGTCGAAATCTACAACGGAGGAAAAGTGCTTCCGGACAAGCTCCCGGAGGTTCAAGTTGACTATTTCACAGCTCCCAGAGAGCCAACCGTCTCGAAAGAAGGGATCACCCTCGAAGGCATACCGAGCATCAATAACGGCAAACAATCGATCCTATCTGCCCAGCACTGCTTCCCACATCTCCAGTCGTTGATAGGGGAATATGACGGCTTTCTGGTCGCATGCTACTCTCCGCATCCGCTGGTCGGTATGCTAAGGAGGGCAATCGAGGAACGCAATAACGTGAAGCCCACAGCCGCCATCGAGAGACCGTTCCACAGAAGGCAGTATGTGACCGGCATCATGGATGCAAGCATAGAGATGAGCGCATATTTCGTCAATTGCGCTTCTCAGGAGTCACAACAGCACACTCCAGGCAAATTTGGAATCGTCACCACTGCTGATGAATGGAAAGAAGAGTTAGACACAGCAGCGAGAGACATGCTGCTGTCCAACGGGAACGACCCTGATCTGACGGTATTCGCAGGCGTTGAAACGACAGGGCTCACGGCCAGTGAACTGCACAGCGCTCCAGCGGACCTGGTCAAGTCCCGTATCAAGAGTGCAACTGAACGGCTGAAGCACCGCGCTGGGCCTTCACTGCGAGTAATCAGCATGGGATGTGCAGCAATGGCCGGGATGGAAAAAGCTGTTCGTGAAGCCTTCGATACGAGCCAGCCAGTCACTGTTGTAGATGGAACTGCTGCTGGCGTCGCAGTTCTGCTTGGGCTGTGTAGAGCCAGCTAGATAGACCTAATAGCTATGTAGAAAATACATCTTCTTCGGTCGTCTTCGCTACTATTTGTTGTACGGCGTAACTTGTAGCTTGTCGGTTCGATGTTTTGTTGCCAATTAAATAGTTAATAGTTAAGAAACTCGCAGCGCGTCGCGTTTCCAGGGAAAAACCACAACCGCAGAGCGATGTAATGAGACAGCAATGCCCAGGTAAGTACTTTGAATCGCCGGATCTCTTATTATCATGATGAATATACTGAAATTTATGGCCTTTTCAGGGAAATAATTACCATACAGGCTGGCCAGTGTGGCAACAACAGTACGTTCAAGCCGTCATATATCTCTTTATCTCCCCCCCTTCTGTCGACAGCGGCGTGAAGCATGATAAAGCAAGCAGAATGGCAAATATGAAGCTGTTATGTCTTTTATACGATGCTACGGCGACTGCAGGCTTGCGAGTTCTAGGGCTAACATGGGTTAATCGTAGTTGGGACGCAGTTCTGGCAGCAACTCTGCCTGGAGCATGGCATCAACCAGGATGGGAATCTGGAAGAGTTTGCAACTGAGGGAGGAGACCGCAAAGATGTGTTTTTTTACCAGGTATGAACTCTGCTAGATGATGAAATGCTGCGATGTTTTCCGTACGGCATTGCTAACTGGCCCATAGAGTGATGACACTCGCTACATCCCGCGAGCAATATTAATCGACCTTGAGCCTAGAGTATGCTCCAACTGTGCATTATTGACACCGGGTATATACTGCGGGAACTAGGCTAACCGATACCTAGGTCCTCAGCGCGATCCAGAATGGCCCGTACAGCAACATCTACAACCCAGAGAACTTCTTTATAGGCAAAGATGGAAGTGGTGCGGGGAACAATTGGGCTGCTGGATATGCTACGGGCGACACCGTACAGGAGGAGATATTTGATATGATCGATCGAGAGGCAGACGGCAGCGATTCACTGGAGGTAAATAGGGAGAGCTACGACTTGTCTGAGTAATATGGCTAACTGTACCAGGGTTTCATGCTTCTTCACTCCATTGCTGGAGGAACAGGTTCTGGCCTAGGAAGCTACATTCTCGAGCGGATGAACGACCGATTTCCGAAGAAGCTGATCCAGACATATTCGGTGTTCCCTGACACGCAGGCAGCAGATGTAGTCGTTAACCCCTACAACAGTCTTCTTACCATGAGACGATTAACCCAAAACGCAGACTCAGTGGTAAGTTTTATTAACGCTTTAGACATGTACTCGTCTGCTGACAATTCAATGCAAAAGGTTGTACTAGACAATGGAGCGCTTTCAAGGATAGCAGCGGATCGGCTCCATGTGCAAGAACCATCTTTCCAACAGACAAACCAGCTTGTAGGAGGCACCTAGACATACATGCTCATGAAACATTTTTATTGTTATTATCTCCGCTTGCTAACCCATGCGCCAGGTTTCCACTGTAATGTCCGCGTCTACAACTACCCTTCGGTATCCAGGGTACATGCATAACGACCTCGTTAGCGTGATTGCATCTCTCATCCCTATTCCGCGCGCACATTTCCTGATTACATCATACACACCATTCACTGGCGATCAAGTTGAGCAGGCCAAGACAGTACGGAAGACCACGGTGCTGGACGTGATGCGCAGACTGCTCCAGCCCAAAAACCGCATGATGTCTATAACACCGGGTAAATCCAGCTGCTATATCAGCATCCTTAACATCATACAGGGAGAGGCAGATCAAACGGACGTGCACAAATCAGTTTTGCGCATCCGCGAGAGACATCTGGCATCCTTCATCCCATGGGGCCCAGCTAGCATCCAGGTAGCGATCCCTAAGAAATCGCCCTACCTTCAGAACACGCATCGAGTCAGTGGCCTCATGCTGGCCAACCACACGTCTGTGGCAACGCTGTTTAAGCGCATCGTCAGCCAGTACGACCGTCTGCGGAAGCGCAACGCCTTCCTCGAGCAGTACAAGAAGGAGACCCCCTTTGCAGACGGCCTGGGCGAGTTTGATGAAGCGCGGGAGGTCGTGATGGATCTGGTCGCTGAATACGAAGCGGCGGAGAAACCGGACTACCTAGGAGGAGGGGCAGAGGGAGATCATGGAGATGAGGGATAAATAAAACAGAAAACAAAAACAAACAAAATTATCGAAAATCTTAACTAATGGAAATGCTATCTTCTCTTTCACCTGTCTTTTTCTTGGGCAATTTCAAACACGCCTGCTAAGCCCCGGGATATGGGGTCGTGGAGTATATACATACTTAATAGCAGCACGAAAGGAACAATTACATAGTATGACATATTATGGGTACTTGGGGTAAAACAGACAGCATCTAGAGTCCACCATCAGTCAGCGCGCCCTCCACTCTCAACCTGGCAGCGCTGGCAGTGGTTGGCTCTGGGCGTGGAAGAGTGTCCACTGAGCAGCCGGCCTAACAGCGATGACCTGGTCAAGACCCGTTCAGCTTCCCCAAACCATCCACATCTCCACGGAGTCTCATCTCATCTCGCTCAGTATCTGGACAGCCTCTTCTTTCAGCTTCTTCATCTTCACCAACAGCACAACACCACAACTTCTTTTTCTTTCTATAAAAAACAAGAATTCCGCCTTATGCAGAAATTCGTCAGCCAAGCAAAAAAGCTTAACTTGGCCTTCCCGTTCTCGGCATGCGCTTCCGAGCCGCGGCATCTTTATTTCTACGGCAAAGGAAAATAGAAGCTTCGACAGAACTTCTACATCCATATATATATATATATGTACGTTATATGTGCAACTCACTCCAGGTATATACGTTGTGTTATGCGGAGACACACACATATACTTAGCACCCCTGGGGGAGCCGGCCCACCTCTGACATATATAAAATATTCGAGAAGGATGCATCGGTGTTGCAGCGCCCCACGGCGACGGTGGAGCTGTGGTGCAGTCGCCGTTGGTCCTGGTTGCATCCAAGACGTCAGCGTCCGGAGCAGATCGTTGCCCTTTGCTATAATTCCGCTCTAAAAGGCGAACTTGGCTGATCTTCTGAGCATGGTCAGCCGTTTGCCCGGCATGGCTATTGGCCTACACGGCTGATCATACCTTCTTCGTGTATTCTCTCTACCCGGGGTGTCCGGGGAAGTTGGAATTATCAGGTAATCACAGAAGAACCCAATCCCAACATGATCCTGGACTGGGAAACTCTCAGCAGTGGGTTTTGCCTAGGAACTGGGCTCGGATGAGGTTCGCGGCGAGAGCTACCCAAACCAACCGTGGACGCCCTTTTTTAGGCTGATACTATCTTGTTCCCTTACTTCTTATGAGTGGCGAACGGAGGACCGGGGAACCGAAATTTCCCAAACTTTAGAGAAGTTTTGGTTTAAAGGTTAAGCTGTCGCCGCTTGTTGAACGCTCGATGATTCAATTGTTGAGATATTCCATTTCGACTTGCTCATCCATATAACAATATATGCCTTCCTGAGCTTGCTCGTCGTGGTTTCTTGTCATCCTCCAATATCCATCCCCTTCCGTATAAACCACCTCTCTCTTTCCTTAACTCGTCATTTAGCCTCTCCCCTCAAACACAGACACACAAAAAAAATAACATCCACGCATATTAAGCTGTCGCCATGTTGACAGAACAAAAGGCGGAGGAGTCAAAGGTCAATCAAGACATCTCCCTCCGCAACAATAACATAGACGAAGAGCAAAATGAAATCTCAAAAGATCTACCGGCCTACCAAAATAATGACCCTTTTGGAGACGAAGAATTTTCGGATGTTAAATACAAGGTCATGACGTGGTGGTAAGTCATTTTACATCAGCCCCAAAGCGAGTCCAATCATTAACAGGCTACATAGGCAATGTGGAATGAGTATGTACTCCTGCGGATGCGTTATGTCCGTCCTTTGTACAGAACTAACGCCGGGTTCAAGTAATGATTGCGGAGACGATATCTCTTGGAATCCTTTCACTACCCTCTGCAGTTGCTGCACTGGGTATCGTTCCGTAAGCGCATCCCTACACAAAGCTGCTGCTAATTATCATACGGGTTCTAATGTTTCTCCTATTGTGTAGTGCCGTAATTATTATAGTAGGCCTAGGAGGCCTTGCCACATATACCGGATTTGTTATTGGCCAGTTTAAGATGAAATACCCCCATGTACACAACATGGCAGATGCTGGGGAGGTGCTCATGGGTCCTATTGGACGTGAAATCCTAGGAGGAGCCCAACTGTTGTTCTTGGTTTTTATCATGGGGAGCCATATCCTAACGTTCATTGTCATGATGAATACTCTCACCGAGCATGGAACGTGCAGTATCGTATTTGGTGTTGTCGGAATGATCGTTTCTCTACTCCTGGCGCTTCCACGAACACTGAAGAACGTTTCCTGGTTGTCAATATCATGTAAGTGTCTCGTTTTCTTCTGAATTATCAGTTTATTAACTACCCCCCAGCTTTCATTAGTATCCTTGCTGCCGTATTTGTCACCATGATTGGAATTGGCATTCAGCACCCAGGAAAGGCGGTTGAAGTCACTGTGAAAACTGATCTCTACCACGGCTTTTTGGCTGTTAGCAACATTGTTTTTGCCTATGGTACGTCTTAAATCATTCTAAGAATACTACCCATCATTCTAAACAAGCTAATAATAAACAGCCGGTCATGTGGCATTCTTCGGTTTCATTTCTGAGTTGAAGGAACCTGCCGGCTACCCCAAGGCTCTTTTCCTCCTTCAAGGCAGCAACACCACCCTCTATACCGTCTCTGCCATTGTAATTTACGTTTATGGTGGAAAGGATGTCGCTTCGCCAGCTCTCGGCTCCACCGGGCCGATCCTGCGAAAAGTTGCCTACGGAGTCGCCATGCCAACGGTATGGCTCAACTTTGAACTTTCTACATGTTAATATAATTACTGACTTAAAGTTTTTATAGATTGTTATTGCTGGTGTCATCAACGGTCACGTTGCTAGCAAGTATTTATATGTCCGAATTTTCCGTGGAACCAACAAGATGTCGCAGCGAACCTTCACCTCCGTAGGAACCTGGGTCGTTATCACCGTCATCCTGTGGGTTATCGCTTGGATTATCGCTGAAGCTATCCCTGTTTTCAATAACCTTCTCAGCTTGATCACTGCTCTCTTCGCGAGCTGGTTTACTTGTAAGTTTACCCATAAAAACAGATTAACTCGACTCCTCCATATTGTAATGATTGGCTAACGGATGCAACAGATGGTCTTAGCGGTTTATTCTGGCTATTCATTAACAAGGGGCAATACTTCTCCTCGCCTCGCAAGATCTTCCTCACGTTCCTTAACTCATTCGTATTCATTGCTGGTGCCGCAATTGTATGTGTTAATCCGCACTACCAATCATGCATCTCTACCTAGAGCTCACTGCTAACTTATATATTAGTGTGGCCTTGGACTATATGTCTCCGGCAAAGCGCTCCACGACAGCCCAGCCGGCACCAGTTTCTCGTGTGCAAGCAATGTGGAATATTAGAAAGGGCCATGAGAATCTCAAAATTCTTACTATACCATTTGATGAATTCTTTCTGGAAAATCGTTTAGATTTTAGATCGTCTGTTAGGGTGCTTGGATTCACCTATTGACTGCAATTCGTTTTCTAGCGAGTCCGGAGTGGGCATTATTTTTATATTCAACTTTTGATGTACAGATACTATGATACGGTTTGTTAAGAAAACAATCCTCAAATGATGAAATTTTTCTAAGAAATTCAATTCAATGAGGCCCATATAGCTCCCTGACCCATGCGTGTTAAAGTCTAGCTCTCCACCTATTTAACACTGACCCTTCCAACAAGCCATTATCAAGTACAAATATTGTGGCAGTTGGTTTTAAGCACTGGTAACTGAATCAGTATTAATATAGATAACTATAGGGAACGAAGTCCATAAGCGAGTGACTGGGTGGTTACATCTGCAACACAAGGCAAAGATATAAGAAAAGGAATATAGCAAGGTTGCATTATATGTCTTCTAGGCCCTTCCTGGGCCTATTCCGTCAACAATTCCTCGCAATTTCTGCGCAAGAGAGTGCTAACTATCTAGCCACTCTCACTTTCTCCCTTCTGCTCAGTAGACGGCTCGGCTTGGTCATTAATGTAAAGGCATTTGATGCTCTTGGTTTGACGGCCGTTGTGTTTGAAAGCATCTGGAATGCTGCGGGATGAGACAATAGAAGTGCTGGTCTCACAGTTTGCGTCCCTGAGCCATTGTTATAAACTGAAATGCAACGAAATTATCGAGGGCAGGGGAGATGGGGAAATCATACGAATAAAACTGGCACAGGGCACCATGCGGCAACTTGGCGGACCCGACGGAGGTAACGCTAGATTAGCAGTCGAAATTAGCAATATGATCACATTTCTTGGAGAAATTGGTAAAAGCAGGGCTTACAACGGATCAGCTAGAGGGTTGCATTCGGAATCAATTGGGAGTTCCTTGCGGCGGCCATTGAATCCAGTTAAACTCCAGATGGATGCCTGATGAACAACCGTTAGTACGTATCTTCCAGTACCGGGATGATATCCTAGTCAATTATGCTTCGGGGCCAAGTCTTACATTGATGTTGCAAGTATCGCTGCTAGGAGTGGGACCGGCGCTGATGAGGGCGACATTCGTCGCTACCGCAAGAGCAAAGAGGCGGGAGAAGAACATTTTGGTATAGTTAGGCGGGGAGTAATGTGCAAATGATATTTGAACAAAGCTGGCTATATGATGTCGACTCCTGCTAACCCAAGTTGACCTTGATTTCTGAGATTAAAAGAGGAGGAGGCAAAAGACATAGTATTTATATTGTCTCCTGGGACTCTTTATCGATGGAAAAGGGGTTCTCAGTTAACCGTCTCAATTATCTCGTGGAACTGTGATAGTATCAGCTCCGCCACTAACATCACAATATCAGCATTTCCCTCCTGTTTTTGGGTGTTGTAATTCACACAGGGTAGGAGGTAGCTCTACCCCAAGCACTGTATTTCGGAATGACGTTTCACGGCATTCTGGCGTGAAAAAAATGATAATTGGCGCTTTAGAAATATAGGCGTGTGCGTCCTTCAAGTTAAAGAGTAGAGTATCGAAGCTGGTTACTCGAGATTTAACGACCATGTCCTCAAAAAGTCCATCCACCCCTTTTTATGGTTTCTTAAGCATATCTCGATACGCAGTCCATGATTTTAATCAGAGTACAGAGTTATCACCCAGCCGCTCACTAGTGGTATAGTAGTATTGACTCAGATTTCTGTTAAACAAATAGCCATTTGATACGACCATTCCTATATTGTAGGCTGAAGTTCGTATCGGCAGGCTAGGAAGAAGACTAAGCTTAGTTATCCCCAGATATATCGTTAAAATTAGCGCTCCCCATAAAACAATCCCAGGCTTGATGCCTGGAAACGGCTTGTAGGTATGTAGTGTTTGAATACAAACACGTATCTGTATTGAAACATAAATCTGCATAGCAGTTTAGAGGATATATAAACAGCCGATATACTGTTTATGCGTTCATAAAAGGGGCTACAATGTTGACATGCAGTCAAGACATTGAGTAACGTGACTACCAAGTTGTCCGACCCGGAGCTAGTTGAGAGTACCTGTCGATTAATGCCGAAGAACATACCTAGTTGCCGTTGCAATATTGCCACTGGATTAGAATCCTGGCTGGCCCAATTAAAAAGTGACATCATGTTGGATTTATGCTCGTTGCTCGGCATATTATAACGGGTGCCATAAAAGACTAGCTATTTTATTTTGCCCCCAAATTGAATATCGCGTACATCTCGACTGACTTGGCGGCTTGGACTGCGCCTTAATATCAGGGATCAGTTAGACGTGCAGATTTATTGAATTCAATAAAATAGTAACTGGCATCTATTGATGTGTTGTGACGGTGGTATTTCTCTGGGGCATAGCTCCTAAGCATTGGTATCAAATGGCCTCAAGGAAAAGAGTTTAGCGGAGGCGAGATGCCTATTACTAGAGATACCAAGGAGAATAGCTAACTTGTCCGGATAATTTAACAAGTTTCTCGTTAAAGAGTATTTTAATAGTCTTCGCCTGAAGGTAATGTCGTACCACACCCAACGGGCATGCAGGGGGATGAACGTTTATCCTGAGAGAATAATCGTTAAATCATAAAGCAAGGGACAAAAACTGAAGTCATAGAATTGTCTAGGCTGTGTTAAACTCGAAGAACATGTTCGCCTTCAAAAAGTGGCAATGATAAGAGTACATTAGAATGTACTCATCCGATGCAAGTCTCTTAGTCCGTCCGATAGAGTAGAAGAGTTTCGTCACAGTAGCCTAGAGCCTGAAGTGCTCTCCACCTGAGAAAAGAAGAAATAAACTGTTTGAGATGCAAAGGATATGATGTACAAGATGGTAGATCTAGATAATAACGTAGAGATGAAGAACAAATAGAGTGTTGTTAGAGGCGGCCATGACGTTTGGCCAAAACTCAGCGGTCACGTGGATCAGCGAGGCTCAAGTAGTTAAAAGAGAGAAGAAGTGAAGTTCCCCCACCCTCTTGGAAGCATATCAAGAGCATACAACTACACTCCAGCACAAGGGAAAAGACAAAGTACGACAGGCTACAGGTTATTATTTTTTTACGGTGCGTTGAATGTGAAGGGGTTTTTAGAACTGAGCGGAGAGTAGAAGAGAGCTGATGCCATGTCTAGAAGCTGAACAGCTGAACTATAGAAAACCAGGCATTATGGACAAGATCCCGGACCAGATGAAGGGTGCCCAGCAGCCCGGTAAGAGAAGACGATACCTTTTCTCCCAGATACCCAAGACTCAACCAGGCCAAAGCGGAATATCCGTCCCTCGTCCCTTTGCCAAACATGCAAGCTAATGGGAACAATCTCACGCTAGGTGACGCCAAGAACACAGCCAAAAAGTTCACTGATCAAGGCCAGAGCAAGGTCGATGAGTTTAAGCAGAAGGGCCAGGAGGCTGCCCAGTCTGTCAAGGATGCCGCATCCAACGTCACAGGTAGTGTACCAGGCGGTTCGTTCTCCCACCGAATCCGGTTCTGGTTTTTATTTAGCCCCTTTATCAGATATTGTTTCTTAGAATGACTGCTAACCCACTGGCATCCGTAGCCAAATAAATGATGGACTAAATGTCCTTATGTTTTTTTTTTAAAAAAAAACAATCCTGTGTAACTAGGCGAGCCGGCTGTCTCATGGTATCGAATTGGATAGGTGGGCATTGCCTGGATCAAAAAACACAGAATGGTTTAGTGAATATGGAGGGATCATGGATAGTAACATCGATAATTTCAAATTGAACATTCACTCAGGGTATCAAGGCTACCACGCGTCCTATGTCACAGTGGTACTTCAGTATTCATGTAGAAGCTGGCGAGCATCTCAAAAAGCAAAGCAGTCAGCGACATATCGAGTACGACATATTCTAATTCTTCCCATTCACTGTCTCGCATGTGCTAGACCTCGTCCTCCGGCCCCACCAGCAGTAGCTGAGACATCATGTACAACACAGAGAAGGTACTTGCGGTCTGGTATTATGATTATTTCGTGGATTTTCGTCCTTAGCCGTAGAAGCTTTAGTTCATCATCTTCCTCACGTTCGGACAATGCCTGGTCCTCGAACGGATTACTACCAGCCGTGTCACCGTCTTTATTGAGGCTGTTCCCATTCCCACTCTCTGCTCCATGGTCATCTTCACTGTCCAATGGTGAAGATAGTGCAGTGCTTAGGGATGATGCAGAACAGACGAATGCATGGATGTGTACGGCGAGGGTCTCTGCCGGGCTAGGTTTGTATGGCGTGGGCTGTGTCGGAGGTTGTATGACCACCGGGCTACTGGCCGTCTCTGAGCGCCTGTCGTCTAGGTCTATTGTTGAGGAAGGTGTTGCTGGCTCTGCTGAAGGTGCTGAACTCGAAGATGTGCCATCTGCCGGACTCGACGTAGCAAGTAGACCAGTTGTCTGTATTATCGAGCCGTCTTTGCGCGATAGTATCAACGTTGATTGTACACCAGGCCTCGATGTGAGATGTGACAATTGAGCAACTACATGCTGGGGAATTTCTGGCAGCTTTAAATAACTTGTTAGCTTGGTGGACAAGAAATGAGAGCAGTACCAACGAACCGGGTTTCGTTCCATCATTTCTAGTATCCTAGCCAGAGCTCGGTTTTTCCCTCAGTAGATCTCCGAAAAGGCAGAGCGTCGATGTTGTGAAAGCTGAATTAGAAACTCCTTGTAATCCGTCTTGAGATCTTGAGTTACTCCTTAACTATTTGAAAGCTGTGGTGCTGACTAAGCACAGTTATAGTTAAAAAGTTCTTTTGGACGTCAAAGAAGATGAAGTATTTTATTCCAGCTACCACCTTTGAGTACAAGAGGACCATTTATTACAGTCGTTTCCCCTCTGATGCTGATGTATTCTGGCTATTAAACCGATTTTAATCGCTCGACTTGCATCAGTCGGGCAGCAATGGGCTCCAGCCAAAAAAAGAAAAACGAAAAGAAGAAGGATTTCCAGGTGTGTGCAATTGCTATAGAGATAAATGAGATATTCTACAACGCCCACATAACTAATAAACTGTAGAAAACGAAGCTTAAGGTTGGAAAGAAGAAGGCTGCCCCTTCGAACTTCACAAATACCAGCTTTAAATCGAAATGTAAGCTCGCTTAGAGCGCTGGCCTTATTAGACTAGACGGATTGGCAGAGCTGACTTCGTGGGATACCCAGCAATCGTATTAAACCAACAGTCGCTTTCGACCACCGCCCCGTCAGAGTCCTCGCAGTTCACCCATTCGCTATCTCTGTTAGGCTCCAAGACAGATAGCCAACGTAAAGAGTCCTTATCTCACCTCACCACCGCTGTTGCATCGCGACCAGTTGATTCTCCACTTCCACGGCCAGTCGGAGTTATACTGCCACTACTATTCCCCTTAATTCTGGATGGCAATAATGGAGTGCGGACTCAGCTACTCAAACTGTTGAAGGTTCTCCCTCAACCTGACCTGGAAGGCCATGCGCCAGCATTCTTACCTTACCTTCGAGCTGGAATGACACATTTGGCTGCGGATATTAGACTATCATCAGTCGAAATGCTATCCTGGTTACTGTCTATTGCTGGCCAGGAACTGGTGTCTGCCGCGGGGGGTTGGATTAAAACCTTGAACTGCTTTCTCTCGCTGTTGGGATGGCATACTGAAGCTTCGACAAAGTGGACATCTAATAGAACTTCATTTGGGAAATCCGGCAGCGAAGGAAAGTTAATGGTGAGGGTTCTACAAGTATTTGCTGAGTTCCTACATGCAGGGATCGGTCGACCAGGCCAGAGTTTATCCGAAGAGGGACAAGGAGTAAATGATGCCCGGGCATTATTTCCACTCCGACATATCCAATATCACATCCTCCCGACTAAAGCATCCCCATTCGCGTATCTCGACTTATTTGGCAGCGTCAAAAGCGAAGAGGGAGACATGTATGAATCTCGTGAAGATCGACTGAGGGTCTTCACCGAACTCTTTCAACACCCTGTTGAAAGAGGTATTGACGCTGCCCGACAAGACGGGGGTGAAATCGGTCGTGTCTCTGCTGGCGTTAGAAAAGTACTCCGGGAATGCAATATGTCTTCTAATCTGTGAGAATCGATCATGGTAACTCTGCGATCCATCATTCGGTTTCGCAGCCCTACGTATGGATTGCCCAGTTTACCTGGATGCTTCTCAAAGGGGGGAAAATATTAACCAGCCTGGCCTTCTTTCTCTCAAGGATAAAAGCAAGCCAACCCAACAAGCCTTCGGGAATGGAGTTTGGTACACTTTCGCCGTCAAGTCTCTTATCCGGACGTAAAGGAAAGCCATCTCTATTGGCTTCCTATCCCGGCCAAAAGTAGAAGGACATATATGTTCGAGATTTTATACCATCTCATGCAGCATGAATGAAATAGGGACTATTACTTCTCAATTCGAGAATACCCTAACACAATATGTCTTACTCTTTATCTTGACAGAGCACTGTCAGAAATACTATACTCCTATATAAACAATTCTATGCTTCAATATCTCATTTGCTTCACCGGCAATATTCAATATTGAGAGTTGTTCCTCACTCCCTCTAACAAACCCTTCACCTCAGTTTATTAGTTTACTCAACTATCAACAAAGAAAGAACGGAGGTGATATATAGAGTATCATCTCGCTAGATGAAGAGCAGGACTTCTAGATACATTACCCTTATTCACACTTCAGGTGGCCATAACCTCTGGGTAAGTGAACTGAAGGCTTTTCCCCCTAAACGTCAGAAGTTTCTTACACTACCGACCTCTATAGCTCCTACTCTGTGCTACGGCTATGTTGCTGGGAAACCACGAACAGAGCTTTTTGCATATTTTTTCCTTCCTACTTCACAGCTTGACTCGACTGTGACTACAACAGATTTCCCGTTAAAGACCAGGCTTTTTCTCTATCTTTCCACCTATATCCATATCATACGATATCCAAATTTCAGCAGTTCTGTAACAAGTATTTCTTACCCCCCTTATCCACTATGGACGACCCTGTGTTCAAGAAACCCTTTCTCCCGATTAAGCGAGCTCCGATTGTGTCGGTTGAGGCATTGCTAGATGAGCCGTTGCCAGTGGAATTGCCGGTCAAGGTGTGGTTTTATGTCATTTGCCTATCCACTGCTGAGAGGCTTTGTGGTCCCTATAGGCTTAGGAGACTGCTTCTCAATAGGTCCGCTGATGATCTTATGTGTAAGGTCGCCGTTCCCGAGATACATCCACTGTAGGTGCCTTGATGTATTATTTTACCAGTTATGTTATTGATATCTCGCGAGCTAGGTCAGATGCCTTTATGGAAGCCACTGAGCCGAAGGTACCTTCAGCATCGTCTTCTCCGAATTTGTCAGAGCTATCAGCTACGTCACATGTTTGGACACAACCGGCCTCGCCTGTAGGCCAAGCATCGATGGCCCTGGATGGACGGCTCGAAGCAAGCCCAAACACAGTGTCAAATATGCTTGGACAACTGCGTGATGGAGAACTCCTTCCGCGGGAAACGATTCAACTAGCTGCTGTGGATACCTTTTCTATAGCTAAGGGCCAAAATTCAAAACGCAAGAGAGACGAAGAAAGCCTCAATGACGATAGTTCTAATGATGAAAGGCCTTTGAAACTCTCAAGGTCTAGTGACGAAGATACCCCGAGCCTCCAGCCATCCTCGCCGAACAACTCTGAAAAATACAAACCTCAACTCATTTATCTCCCCGCCGAGATACACAGGGGAATTATCGACAAGCTTGATTTGTTAGACATAATCCACCTTGGCCTTACATCACGGTATTTTCTTAGGCTGCTCGCAAACCACCTCAGGTTGATTACTACTAGAAACTTGGGGAAATGGGCGGGAGAGAGTATTTTATGCCTTGGAGACGTGATTGAACAAGATGACTTTCCTCCAGCCGTGTTCAAGGACCCTCATCTTCAATATATCTTTGCCCCCGAGCTAGACAAACTCATCGACACTGAGCACCCGACTCTGCTCGAGTATTTACGTGAATGCGGCCCTGTTTTCCCTCTTTCTGTTCCTTCTCCGTTAGATTGCGGGTTTCTTCATTCGGAAGGGTTCAACGATGAGTTTTACACACTGCCAGTTACCGTTATAAGTGAAATGATTGATCTACTCTGCCCATCCCCAAGTGACTTTTATCCAACAGATGCCCACTGGGTGCTCAGAAACCTCACAACCAAAGAGTATGCCCTACTAGACGAGCCATATGGACAACGCCACCAGAAAGCCTGTTTTGGCCTTGGAGATCTGATTCTCCTGCGGACATGTTGGTCCAGCAAACCTCCAGCGGGACTTCAAGTCGACGACAAGAAACCGATACACCGAGGTATATGGGCCGGCCACCGCTTCGAAATTGTACAATTGTATAACCATAATCGAGAAATGATATCAGAGAGTAGGGATAACGAGCGGCGGCGCAGACTAGGTGTCCCAATCGAGAAAACCTGGAAGGACGCCACTGCTAGTTTATTGAATGAGCTATCTGGGCTATGGGCTCGTGAGTGTGGTCGCTATTGGGAAGCACTTACGTGGCACCGGCCTGTGAGGTGAAGGGGATTTGTTTTATATCCCCAACGTTTTTCTTCATTCTCTATCATGACTTCAGAAGATTGTGAACATGAATTGGCCTTCCCCTCTTTTTCTTTGCATACTTTCGTTATCTTCTCGGAGATTAGGCTTAGATACTAATGCCGAAGAGACAGCTGTTTCCTTGAACATTGCCTATTTTACTCCGAGACGTCTTCCATTCAATGTAATAGTGAAAGTAATCTAGGTATTCCAGAAAAGTATGCCGTAAAGGAAGAAGCTATGAGAATATAGGGTATGGTAAGGTGTACAGAAATAACTATACTTCTCCCTCGCCCGGTAGTCTGATGTCAGCCCAGCCTTTCTTTCCATCATTGCTATTCTCCTTTATAGCTTTCCAAATATCCATATCAAGCCAGCCAATCCTCGCCCTATCACCAAACCCGCCTACCCAAAATCCTTTCTCCACAATAAATCGTGCCCAGTACCCGCTGTGCGGTGAATCAGGAGACCCTGGAAGCCAGTACTTTGAATCTGGATGGCTAGTTAGGAAACACTGTTCAATAGCCTGTTGGTCCTCATCCGATAGAGAGGTAAGAGGGATTTCTTCCAGATGGCCGAGAAGAGACAGACGAGGAAGAGAAGCCGGGACACCATCTAGAGGATCTTTTCCTTTCCCAGGAACATGGGAGTGATGCCACCAGTCTATTGACAAAGAAATATTGGAGCCAGCCTTGACATTCTTAAACGTTGTACCAATATCCAGCGCAAGTAAAAGAGGGTTTCCTCGTCCGAGAATCTTTGTCAAAGCGACGTTGTTATCGTGTGCAGAGCAGTCAGCAATGTAGTCAGGCAAACCGATTGGCACTCCCTCTAGAGTATGATCTTTATAACCTTTTGGGAAACCGGTGGAGAGAACGGCCGTGGAGGAGACAGCAAGCAGACGCCGTGCTAGAAGGTGAGATGTGGCCCAGTCTGGGAAGGCCATATCGGATACGGACGCGGACTCTTCATCTTCTTTGTGTGCCTTATTCTGGCTCCCTCGGCGAGGGGGAGCAAAAGGTGGAGAGTAGAAGGCGTCTCCTTTGAAGAAGCCAACGCGTGTCTGTTCCCGTACCTCGATCATCTCATCTCTGAAGCCTGGCCTAACGCCAACTGGAGATGCAGAGGCCAGAAAACTTAAGAGTAGAATTAAGGCAACAAACGACATCTTGTTGGCCCCGTACTCCGAAGGTGATGATGTAAACAGAGGTAATGTAAGGTCGGACAGAAGACGATAGGAGAGGGCCGGTGTTAAGAAAAGAAAGTAGATCTCCCTCTCGGGAGTCGAATACTCATTAATATGTGTTTGCTAAGAAGGAAGAAGGTGAAACAGAAGAAGGAAGAAGTGAAGTTTGAAGAAGGGGGAGAATCCCGGCGATTATCAGATTAAGATAAGATGCGAAAAGATCAGATAAGATCATGCCACATGACTTCATGTGCCAAGAACCGCCAAGAGCCAAGCCTTAACTTTCCTTTGCCTCAGTTTCTTCCTTTCTTCCGCCTTTCTATAATCGAGAAACGAAGACAAAGACAGGGCAAACCCAGCGGTTCAGCAAGATGATAGAGGCTACGGAGTATATATGGCGAATAAACCCGCGGAGTTTGCCGATAGACCAAGGCACTGGAGGCAATTTAACACTTTCCAAGTTTCTCTGAACCAACTAGTTGATGCAGATAACTGACTTTTCAATGGGGGTAATCACAAGAGCAAACAGCATGACCAAGTTACATTCATTTTATCTACAGGCCACATATCAAGCCGGTCTTTGTCGGCTCGCCCCGCAAGCGAGGGTACAGCCTTCACCTCAGTTCCCTGCTTAGCTCCCACTACAACACCCGAAAGAACAATGAAGACAGCAGAAACGCTCGCAAAGCTCCCCGGGCAGGTCATATCCATCATACCGCCATATTAGCTCCGTCCTTCGTCACTCTAGAGGGCCTGACCTGAGCCGTGAGGCCCCTGCCGAATGAGCTCAATATCGGGGCTTTGAATGGCACTCTGCTGTTGTATGTTACGAACTGTGTTAAAGAGGAAGATCTCTCTATTAGACTATTTATGACGACTATCAAACGTTTAACAGGACCGCATGGATGCCCTGGCGGGTCTGCGTCTGCCCAGGTTACCGAAACGGTAGACATGGGTTGAAGGTATACGTCGGTGGCTGGAGAGGAGTTTCTAGGAGATACTCCTGATGGGACATGCCCATAATTTATAGCACAGCCCGAGGGGATAGGTTTGTGAACGTCAGCAGATTCCTCAGTAGATTGCTAACTTGGCGGTATCAATCAAGGATTCAATCTGGAGAATGCTTGTTATGGCTGGTCGTAGTGCTCGTTTCCATCAGTATATTACCGTCACTCGCTCAGTTATAAGGAATTGATGTGTCCTGGTGAATGTACCTTATCAGATTACCCTTAGAACCGGAGAGCATACGGTAGGACGACAACATATTTTGTGGGTGAAGTAGACTGCTAGTTGCACACGTCCATCGTTTTATCAAGTATTCTAATCGATTTCAAAGTTCAACTGAAGTTTTGTTATTTATGGTCCACGAGAATTTTAAGTTTGCGCCTGGCCCAAGAGTTTCGCTGCGACAAAACCTCGAATTCTCGACATTCAGCAGCGACAAGCAGCCTACGACCAATACCTACGGCGGACTTCTGTTAATTAGGATCGCAAACCCATATACATTAGCATCCTGCCAATAGATCGCTTCACAGCCATGTCTGCCTCCTTTCTTGGCGCGCGCGGTGAGTTCTAACTCCCTTCGGTGGACGCACATCCAGTGAAACGTAAACCGAATCAGTTGCTAACGGCCGAGCAATGAAGCGTTCAACCATGAACAGCACACAGATGCAGAGGCTGAGTATGATCGGCTACGAGGATTAGCCAGACACGAAGCTGGACTTCGCGGTTCTTGTTTTGACAGGGTACGATCAGCTATCTTTCTCCAAGCGCATCGATCGATATTCAAGGACCAATCTCCTGACTACCTATTACTCATATAGTCCCGTCAAGCCTACGAGAATGGTGATGGCCAACGGGCCAAGGAGCTATCCGAGGAGGGCAAGGAGCACGGCCGAAAGATGGAGCAATATAACAAGCAAGCTTCGGAATTTATCTTTAGAGAGAACAACGCCGAAGGTCGTGTTGCTGCGGATACTATAGACCTGCACGGCCAATTCGTCGAGGAAGCGGAGGATATTTTGGAAGAGCGCATCAAATACGCGAGGCAGCATGGGCAGGACCATCTTCACGTGTATGTTGGAATATATTCGTCCATTAACTGGTAAGGAAACTAACATGGAATGGCCCATAGGATCGTTGGCAAGGGGAACCATTCCGCGAACCACGTCCAGAAGATCAAGCCTCGTGTTGAGCAAGTTTGTCGTGACCTTGGACTCCAATATGCCACCGAGGAGAATGCCGGGCGGATATATGTTAACCTCACCGGTGGCCCTGCTAACATGCCACCGCATTCATCACACCCTGGCCAGGGCCATGGTCAGTACAACCAACCTCCCCACGGCCAACCTCATCATGGCCAACCTCATCACGGTCAGCCTCATCACGGTCAGCCACACGGTCAGCCCCAACACCAGCAGGGTCACCAACAAGAGACTCCTGCCGAAAAGATTGCCCGGAAAGCCTTGCCTATCGTTCTCAGGAAGCTTGAAAAGGCTTGCTGTATTGTTATGTAGATGTTTATGGGGTGGATCTTATCTTTTTTTTACTTAGATGTGTGAGATTTTTTGCTGGAATGCTTTTACGACACCGGCGATTGGTACCATGATCAATCGTCACAGAACGGATGACTATTACCGTTTTCAGATCTACCGCTATATACACTGTTGCATGATACAGACCTAGCCTTAGATAGAAGTTATGAACGTATTTATTAGATATTCTTATTGTCAATATTTGCATCATAATTAAACAAAAACATCAAGTCGATCGCTTGGGCACGTATATATTATCATAAGGGCTATCTAAAATGAAAAGCAAAGGAGAAATAATAATAACTAGATAACAGACATCATATCATCAATATCAACCAATTAGCCTAGCCTTCAAAATCCACTCAACTATCCCCATAGTCTGTCAACACAGGGTCAATGATTCGATTAAGGATCGCTCGCACCAAGTTACCACTGCCCGTCTCTCCATTTATTCCCCTCTGTCCAGGTATTACGGCAAAAGTGCGTTCTAATTCATCGATCAAAGTAAAGGCCTTGTCACGTAGTTCGATTGCGACCTTTCTTGTGTACTCGAAACTGCCAGTGCTCTTCATGTACCTCACAGCATACTGTTTGACTTCATTGTCGTTAGTCTTCTGCTTTAGGATGTTGATAAGTTGGCGGTTTTCCGGCTGTGCTCGAATACTATGAATGACAGGGAAGGAGAATTTTCCTTCTGTCAAGTCTTCACATAACCCCTTGTTCTTGCTATAAGTTGGGTTGGAGAGGTTGAGATAGTCATCACAGACCTGGAACATCAGTCCCATCAGGTCAACTAGGGGTACACAGTCTCTTTAACATTCATTTAGTACAGTTAGCGCTTCATTATTTGAAAGGGAAGTAGGGAAAGGGGGGGATTGGTGTCATACATACATGGGAACATTGCTTTCTGTCTGCATAAGTTTGATTGCCAGTCTGAAGAGGCCGCCGGTCTTATTGCCGACCATTTCCAGATAGTCTTCTTCAGTGGGACAGGTCAGGGTATCTCTCCAGTACAAGTCCATGCCTTGGCCTCGGTGCAGATTCATAAGTTCCTTGATGAAGATATTGATGGCCTCGGGGTTGTTTAGTTTCTGGATCTCTTCCAAAGCCAGAAAATATACATAGTTTGCAGAGTTGATGGTCTGCGGGACGCCGAAGATGTTGTGTGCCACTGGGGCTCCTCTGCGAAGATGCGATGAGTCTTCAACATCATCAACCCTGGGAAGATACATTAGTGGGATGTTACTTTTTTTTCGAATGTTCTATGGTGACTCTGCGGCGAAGACAGCTTACAGCAACGAAGCAGTATGCAACATCACCACAACTTTGGTAACGATGGCGAGGCTTTCCTCCGGCACCTGCAGCCATCGATTATATGCTGCGATCATCTGTCCTCGTATGTCCTTACCGGGCTGATGGACCATATAATTATACGGCCCCAGCACGATATTCT